CCCCCCCCCCCCCCCCCCCCCGCCCCCCCCCCCGCCCCCCCCCCCCCCCCCCCCCCCCCCCCCCCCCCCCCCCCCCCCCCCCCCCCCCCCCCCCCGCGAATATGACACTCGGTCTATTGAAAACCACCCCCTGGAAAGCTTCCCCGGCGCACAATAGCCAATAATCCGGCTTCAGGGACCCTAACCCTGCAGGTTGCCGCCACGGATCAGGCGGCCCTGCACTGCAGGACTCCCATGTTTGACACCTCCCTGGCCTTATCATTTTCTCGAGTGAGGGGGAAGTAAAAGCAAGAGAAGAGCGCCGCTGTCCGTCCACCCGGCTAAGGCGCGGAAGGGGAGTGACAACATAGACATCGCAGGGCTCGTGCTATGAGAAATCGACAGTTGATGATGGTTAACGGTGGCTTTTGGATCCGCCGTGGTTGGGGGGGAGGTGTAAGAAAGGACCAAAAGCTGGATACCCTACCCGCCCGCAGGTCTTACGACGACGGCGTGGCCAGAACCCACATAAGACATGCTCCCAACCGAGTTACACATACCCCAGCTGGTAGAGCCCGCGTAAGGCAAGCAGCAGAGGCCGACCCATGCTTAGCGACCTCGGGGTATCAACCCTTGCCTTTCTTGGGCATAGAATACCTCTGCCCAACCAAGCCCTGTCTATGCATTGCTGGATTTCCCACACCAGACCCAATGTGTGTGTCCGCGCGGCGTCCATCACCAACCGGACCTGATTCCGCAGCAGTTGGTTTCTCAGATGGTTCAACCATGTCACCAATACCGGAACTGAGCGATGATAACCGAGACTCTTCTCATTGAATATGAGCGCATTGTCTCATAGTAGGACAAAGAATATGCTAACCTCCTGTCCCCCCCTTGCTCCGACGCAAATGCAAACCCGACACGTAGATAGGAAAATAGGGAAATCGCTGTCACTCTAGAATTGGTGTGCCTAGGAGAACTCGAAGCGGTCTGGGAGGACGATCGGTGCGACCAGGCTCCAAATGTACATGGCGTAGCAAACCCATGAGCTGACGATCTTGACCCAGCTAGCCCAAAGGGTACGACCAACGGCCGCAAAGTCGCCGTCCCTTGAGTTGTCATCGTAATTCATGGTCAGGAGTATAGCCACCCAGGCCGTGGCGAGGAAGAAAATGATATGGAACGTAGAGTAGTTGTACTGAGTATTTGACCGCTCGTCGTCATGAGCAGTGTTGTTCCCTGCATCGCTTTCGTCGTCGTCATCTGATAGAAGGGCATCTGCGGGCAGGCTTCCCTCCTCGACGGCTCGGCGCAGTGCCTCGGCCCTCATCTCTCGACGAGCGGGTTGGGTGGTCACGAGGTCGTGTTCGTCGTCCTCTGGCAAGCGGATCTGGCCATTTCCAGAGCCACCAAGCCCGAAACTCTGCGTTGCGGCTCTCGTGGTGGTGTATGCCACGGTCAGCATAGTGAGGATAGCGCCGACCACCACGGTCGTTGTCCTGGTGCCTCGAGCAAGAACAAGCGGATTGCAGCGCTTATCTTCCGTGTCGTCCGGCTCCATGGAAATAGCAGACATGGTTAGGTAGGTGCAGTAAACCGCGACCATGGCAGCCTGTGCAAGCCCGGCTTTGGGGTTGTACTCCTGCACGGTCGGGTGGACGGAGATGGCCGAGACGCCCAGGAAAAGCAGGAGGTTGATGGTAATGGCTGCTTGGTTCATGGCGCAACCACTTGAGGCAAAGAAAAGGTACTGGACGATGGTCATGGCAAGTGATGCCAGGTACATCCCCAGTGTAGATCCAATCAAAACGAACCTCCAGAACCGCGAGTCGGTATCTTCGATCTGCGCCAAGCAGTACTCAGCCCAGGTGTGAGCTAAGTCCACCAGGAGAACTAGGCCGAGGATGAGGAACAGCATGCCGCAGATGAACGCGATGTATTTGCCCCAGACGACGAAGAACTCATCCGGAATGAAGAAGGTCAGGACGATCAAGGCCAGCCAGGTAATGATCTTGGGACCCCAGAAGCCGTTCTGAATAGCCGCACGAGGATTCTTGGACGACCGGACACCTAGTAGTAGGCCGGCAAATATAAGGTGGAACAAGCCCAGAGCGAAGTTAATCCGGTGGACAGCGAGCCAGCCATAACACTGCCCGTTGGGACAGTTGATCTTGACGTAATCCAGCGTTAGGTGTTGAAGTTTCTCGATCGCCCATGGCGTGAGCATAATCCATGACAGTATCGAATTGACGAGGAGTATGAGGGCGTAGGCTATGCGCGTTGCGACACTGTAGGGCAGGCGTTAGATGAAGTCAGAGGCCGGTTGTTGACGAGAGGCCGGTTGTTGACGAAGGAGGCGCTTACCTGTTGCCACACTTCCCACAGGCACTGCACACGACCGAGCATGTTGCTGCACCGCAGCAACTGGCACCGAAGGACAACAGCTAGATAGTGAGAGAGGCTCTGGTAAGCAACTATTCGCAAGGGAGCAGGCAGGGCTGGCAGGGTTGGTAAAGCAGAGAGAGCAAAGAAGGGGGACCAGACGGAGGAGCACAACTTACAGTGCCCATGCTCGGCACCACCATCAGCGGTATCGATAGTAATGCGCCCATATTGTATTCGAGCTCCAATTATCGGAGGTTCGTGGTAGTGAGTTCGATGGTCTTGTGGTGGCAGGCGATGGGAAAGGATAATCTGTCAGTCAATTGAATGATAGATGGAATGAGGCTTGAATGGTCGGCGACAGTGGTTTGCGCCTCGGTCGTGCGTCATATGATCACGTGGGTCAAACACCCCATGAACAAAATGCCGGGCGTAAGATCTGATTGGCCCTGGTCTTCAAGGCAAAGGCCAGGGATGAGGACTGAAGGGGCTCCAAGTCCTCGAATATTCGAATATTCTGGGGAACTACGGGTTGTTACGTAGGAAGACAGGTAGGTGCTTGTCCAGGTATGTAAAGTAGAGACATGCGAGAAGGAAAGGCCCGGCTACTGGGCAGTTTCCTTGCCGTTCGAGTCCAAGTTCAGCGTTGACTGCCAGCACTACCATAGCCTCTTGGCTCGAGCGCTGCCACCGCCGTGGTCGGAATGCATTACGCCGACCATCCAATTAACTGAGGGCAAATGAAACAGCCAAGGGCCCAGACGGCTTCGCCTGCCGAGTCGGATACGGTCACTAGACATAGAAAAACAGCAATCCCCCAAATCGACGACTTTCCCAGGGGTTTATACTTGGAAAAGAAATGCCTTTCTCTCAACCGTAGAGCATCTGAATCGACAAGAACTCCGCGGTAACTCGCCCATCTCCACGTCGCACGCCAGCAGGCATGCATACTTGACCCACCGAGAACGATCTTGCATCATATAGGGGCGACCATGCGGGAGACGACGAAGCGTCACCGCGCTCGCATTGTGTCGAGCGTGGCAGCGACTCTCATCTCGCTGGCTTGTGGAAGTAATGTACGCTCTAGCCACCCGCTTCCATCCGCGCGCGCCGCCCTTCCCATTTTTTTACTGACTCGTCCCTCCCTCGCAGTATGTCTACTCGGCATGGGCTCCGCAATTCGCAGATAGGCTGCACCTATCTGCTACCGAAAGCAACCTCATCGGCTTGTTCGGGAACCTTGGGATGTACTCGCTCGGTGTACCTGCTGGCTTGCTCGTGGACATGAAGGGACCGCGCCCGGCCGTCATCGTTGGAGCCCTGCTACTCGGGATCGGATACTTCCCCTTCCGCGCGTCGTACGACAATGCCTCGGGCTCTGTCGCAATGCTGTGCTTCTTTTCGTTCCTGACTGGTCTCGGAGGATGCACCGCGTTTGCCGGCGCCGTGAAGACGTCGGCACTGAACTGGCCAAACCATCGGGGCACCGCGACAGCCTTCCCTCTGGCCGCCTTCGGCCTCAGTGCCTTCTTCTTCTCCTTCCTGGGCAGCGTCTTCTTTTCGGGGGATACGGGCGCATTTCTCATGCTACTAGCAGCCGGAACCTTCGGCGTGACCTTCGTTGGCTTCTTCTTCATTCAAGTGGTACCGCACACTTCCTACCATGCCCTGCCGAACCATCCCGGCCTCCGCGGTGCGCAACAACTCCGCCGAACACCGTCCGAAGAGGCGAAGATCCGCAATGGACTCCCCGTCCCAGATATTGAACCTGGTATGTCGCCCACCAAGTACACGAATCCCACAACGTCGGAAGCGAGAGGCCAAGTCGCTCGAGCGGGGTCCCCCAGCTCCCAGGCGGCCAGCGCCGCCCCCGTCGATGTCGAGGCGGCACCTCCACCATCCGCTACGGACGATCCCGATCAAACAGACGAAACCTCGTCGCTCATGAGCAAGGGTTCATCGCTGCCGGGGGATGTTTTAGTGCAGAGCAGTGTTGATATGGATCGTTCCCACCGTGTAGATATCCGTGGTTGGCACTTGCTCCGTAGTCTCGACTTTTGGCTGCTATTCAGCATCATGGGCATTCTTGCCGGCATTGGCCTGATGACAATCAAGTACGATCTCCTACCGCGGCAGCATCTATGAGTTCGTTCGCGACTAACCTAGACATCTTAGCAACATCGGTCACAATGCCAACGCGTTGTGGAGGCGCTTTGACGATTCGGTTGGCGAGGACTTCCTGATTAGACGTCAGCAGATGCATGTTTCCATCCTGTCTGTCGCCAGCTTCTTGGGCAGGCTTCTCAGCGGTGAGTTGGGTCCAGCAATCTCTCTCACCTTGGACCCCACACCCTACTACCTCTCTCGCTGCGTACTGACGTTATATATAGGGGTCGGATCCGATTTTCTCGTCAAAGTACTCGGAGCAAGCCGCGTGTGGTGCCTCGTGGTCGCGAGCGGCATCTTCTGCGTTGCCCAGATATTCGCGCTCAGCATCGCCAACCCGTACTTCCTGTGGCTTGTCTCCAGCCTATCCGGGCTCGGCTACGGCTTCTTGTTCGGAGTCTTCCCGTCGATCGTTGCCGAGACGTTCGGCATCCACGGCCTGAGCCAGAACTGGGGCTTCATGACCCTCAGCCCCGTCCTTTCGGGCGCCCTCTTCAATCAGTTTTACGGCTTGATTTTTGACAGGCATACTATCGTTGGCCCGGACGGCGACCGATCTTGCCTGGACGGCACCGGTTGTTATCGTGCCGCTTACATGGTCACCCTGGGTGCTGGCGCACTGGGCCTGCTCGTGACCCTGATGACTATCCGACACCAGCATCGCCAAAGAATGCAAGAGGAGGCCGATAGGATTGCTCGGGACTGATTGTGGTCGTATTGAAGAGAGAGAAGGCATACAAATACTGGAGGCTGAGACCTGGAGCATTGTGAGAGATTCTAAAGGAGGCGTCGTACGAAAGATCCGTGGCTTGCATTTCAACACACATTGGGCGGCGTCTTGAAAGAGGTGGCAGCGGCGTTTGGGATTTAGAACATGCCTATATAACACTTGTAGTCAGAGTTGGCTGTCCTGTAACTTCCTTGGGGTTTGCATCGACTTAATAGATACCTATAATAAGGCTGTAAACAGGTGCAAGAATGCAATAATACAATTTACAGCCATACCTCTACTACTTAAAATACCTCCTTCCTTCGTAGGGCATGGTTATCGCGAGTTCAGATGACCCTCGATCCCCTGCCACAACCCTAACCCGAGACCGAGGGTGCCGGTGAACTGCCGCCCCACTTCATCCACCTCCCACCGCGACTTTGTCAACGTCTTGACGAGGTTCCTTGGACGGGATCCCCGAGCAATCATGTTGTCCTTCATTCTAATACAAAACAGACAGTGGGTTTTCCTTTCCTCCTATCACAGCGCCACTGGTCTAATACGATGAGCAGGGGCAAGACACGACTTGCCAAGTGGTACGTCCCGTACAGCGATGACGAGAAGATCAAGCTCAAGGGCGAGGTACGCAAAGGAGCCACACTCCGCCCTCCACCCCCCCGGGCGCCCTCCCGGATGCCCCAGCACTCGGAAGCAAAGACTGACCCCGTCACCCGGCGGCGACAGGTGCACCGACTCGTAGCCCCCCGGGACCAGAAGTACCAGTCCAACTTTGTCGAGTTCCGCAACAACAAGATTGTGTACCGGCGGTACGCGGGGCTCTTCTTCTGCGCGTGCGTCGACACAAACGACAACGAGCTCGCCTACCTCGAGGCCATCCACTTCTTCGTCGAGGTCCTCGACGCCTTCTTCGGCAACGTCTGCGAGCTCGACCTCGTCTTCAACTTCTACAAGGTCTACGCCATCCTCGACGAGGTCTTCCTCGCCGGCGAGATCGAGGAGACGAGCAAGCAGGTCGTCCTGACAAGACTGGAGCACCTGGACAAGCTGGAGTGAAGACGGGCGGGGGTGGGGGGACTGGGTGGGAGAGGCAGTTCCGGTGGGAGAAAGGAAAAAAAAAGACGGGCTGCCTCGAAATATGCCACAAGCCCGGGGTGAAGGATATTTGTCACAGGGACCTGGCCCAGGCGTTTGGAGTAGAAAGGCATACCCTTTGCAAATGCACCCAAAGGATTCTGTTCACCGATTAATTCCTCTTGATTGGAGACACTAATATACAACAGAAACCGTGGTACCAGCAGTACCCGGTATTAAACCAGTTTTCCTGGGCCTTTTACAGATTGGCCCTCTTGTCCCCTGGATATGCTATCAGAGCTTCCTAGAACACCTGTCATCGATGATCAAAACCTTGCCCCCAACTAGCACGAAGAGCTAATTTTACAAAGTTTACAGCAACATCTGACACGCAACATTATCGCATTCTTTGGCGGTGGGATCTACTCCGAACAGTCCATGGGACCGTCGCTTTTTTTTTTAAAAAAAAAAATCTGTTAGTGCTGTCTCAGTGGCCGTCTCTAGGAAGTGGTCTCACCCGCTCTTGCGCTTCTTGCGCTCATCTTCTTCCCACATCTGCAAAGCAGTGGGACGTTTGGGCTTTCTGTAGGGGACGTTCTCCATGTTCCGGAATAGGTGGAGAACCGCGGCTGAAAGCCCGGGTTTTTCGATGCTCTTGGCCGTCTTGCCGAGCTTGATAGGTGGCGATGGCTCTCGCTCTCCTTGCCCATCGTCAGAGGATCGAGTCTCGTGGTCGCTTCGAGTGTCCTGGTAGACCGGAGCTGGCCAAACAAATTGCGGGTATCCATGGAGAGCATCGGCACCCATCTCCATGAGACTGCCAGGGTTCTGCTGCTGGTGGGTGGCCGAGGCAGCGTCGACCAGCTCCTCTCTCAACAACTCAAGGAAGGCCCAAGCCTGTGCTTCAGCCTCTCCTTCATCGTAGACTTGGATTTTCGACACCTTTAATCTGCCTCGGAGATGGTCCAACGCTTCCTCCTCGTGGCCCTCCTCCTCTGACAACTTCTCGACGACGGCCGTTGCTTCGGGATGGTCGGTCTCTTTGTTATCACGGGACGTTTCCTTCAACGTCTCCGCTTCGCCGACCTTGCGAAATGAGAGATGGCCTGACGCTTTCTCCTCGTCGGACACTCCCTCCGAGTCACTCTCAACATCCCTATACGACAATCTACCTTCGTTATCACTGGCCTCAGATCTCTTCCAGAGTCCGCGTCCGCCTAGGAACCCCCAAGCTCGATCGACGTCGCGGAGTGGGATGGAAGGCTTGACGCGGTTTTGGGGGAAACCAGGCCGCAGGAGCTGCCGGCCCGAGTAATCATTAAACCTGTCGAGCGAGTGGTCGTAGCTCAGCTGAGATAGGGTATAGTCAGTCCCAACCTGACCAAGAGAAGTAGACATCTCTGCGCCGAGTTTCTCGCCCCTGGGCTGGGTGCCATTGCTGCATGGCACCCTCGTCTCACAAACATTGGATCCCTTGCCGTGATTAGAGGGGCCACGCTCACTCTTCAGGCGCTCTTCGGCCACCCTCAAGGCTCGCTTGCGCCTTTGCGCGATGGAATTGTAGCCCTTGTTCTCCGGGCAGAAGAGATTCCAGTGTGCACCAGTAGCGTTGCATACGGTACATATATAACTCCTGGGAGGAACAGTATCATATGATGGATCAAGGTTCGTTGGGCAATCCTTCAAAAGATGATCCCCTATCATAAGTCCGGTCAGCTAACAAGCTCTCACGTCGAAAGAAAGTAACAAACACGTACCTTTTTCGTTGCATCGGAAACAACGATAATCCAATCGAACTAGACTTGTGGCGACGCCCTCCGCCGGATCCAGGTCGGCGAGTTTAGACATCATTCTGGCCGGCGCGGTGGTGACGCGGTCTTCTTGATGTTGTTGCCGAACCCGCACTTGGCCCTGCAAAGAAGCACCTGGTTCCTGGCTGCGATTACGCTGCGGCAACGGTTGGCCTCGTGCCGATGCCCGGTTTCTCTCACTCATCGTCGGTCTCTTTCTGGCCTTGGTCTTTTTTCTTCCTTTCCCCGCAGTATTTTTTGGGGAGTTGGAAAGGGAGGTACCGTTTGGTCCAGTCAGAAATGATGGGTTCTGCTTTGCTTCGGGTGGAAGAGTGAGGTGGTCTTCATCAGAGCTATCTGAACTGATATCCACTACGGGCCTTTTCCAGGTTGCCAGGTCGATGACGGGGATATGGCCCGGCTGTACCTTGCTAGGCAATCGTGGCTCCAAGTCGAGGATGGACACTCGGTCAGGGTGCATCTGGCCAAGTGAATAGTGCGGCTCGGGGGCTACCAGTACTGGGGGGTCCTTGTGTGAACTGGGCATAGGACTGCCGGCCACGACATGACCAGGTGTTCCAGGGCTTGGGAATACCTCTCGTATCTCGAGCTCAGTGAGCCCCAGCATCCTTGCGCTGCCAGGCTCAAGGGTGAGTTGATCCAGCATCCACTGAAGGAAACGACTTAGGACAGAATCCTTGTCAAACCCGTGGGTATAGAGTGAGTGACACCATTGGTATATCTCTGCACTAAAACCAGAAAAGCTAGACATATCCACAGCCTGGAGCCTTTTACCTAGCCATTCTATGTATGCTTGAAGAACCTGGTCCTTGGATATCTTGATGAGAGACTTCCGGCATAGTCTCTGCTCAAGGCTCTCAAGGGGTTCGCTCTCGAGGGGTTCACTGCTCAGGGTATCGTCAAGACCCAGGGTGGTAAGACTTTGTCCCAGCCTGCCCCGTTGGCTCATGGTGTATAATTCTGCAATGGCCTGGGATATTATCTTTGCTTCAAGGTGTTGTAGAGCATGGGGCGCCAGGGGGGTGCTATCATGCAAGGTTCTCTGGATCCAATGTGGGAGGCTGAGATTGTAAGTCCTTGTAAAGAAGATGAGAATCAAGGAAAAGCTGCCGAGGGTGCAAGAAAAAATAAGTTGTGCAAGAAGTGTATTATGGCATCTTGAGATTATGGGGTGGCCGTGGTGTCGGTGGGAAACAGGGGACCGAGAATGACACACTGTATTGGCGGCAGACAACGTAGTGAGAAAGATGCCTTGTTTCTAAGCCTGTCAGAGAACAAAGACGGCTTGAGTTGGACTGGTACCAAATATTTGGGCAGGGAGGTAAGGTAGGGCATCCTACAACCAGGGAGCATCACAGGAGAAGGAGCTTCATAGACAGCAGCATATGAAAGAGGAAGGCGTGACACTGCACCTGGTATGGCTCTAGGTATCGACTTACCTGGCACCTACCTATCTAGGTACCTACCAAGCCTTAGGAGTATTAATGCCCACCCACCTACATACCTAGGCAGGTAATCTACAATAAATGAGGTAGGTTTATGAAATGCGTTCCCAAAGACCGCTACTGATGCCGGGTCTGAATCAAAGCCTTCAAGGATATGGCTGTCTGAACGCCAGGGGGGTTAGAATCAAAGAAGCACCAAATATCATCAGCATGGCGGTGAGAGGGAGAGGGTCTTGGTGTGGAACTTCTATTAATACCCGCAATATTGTGATAGAACTCTTCATATGGGAGCAAATGATGCACAAGAACACTGGGCTAAGACATTGCCTTTGTGTGTTAGGATATGAGGAATGATATGCCCAAGGACACTGCATCAGTGAAGAAGACTCAAAGAACGGCAGCCAGCTGGATAATAACCCCATCCAAACTCCAATGCATAATCCGGGGCAACAGGATGACACAACGTAAACAGTCACCACACAATTACCACAGTCCTTCAACCCGCCCCAAGTTCCCCAGCCCAATGAACAAACGAGACCAAAAGTCCTCTCCAGAAAAGACCCATACTCCCATAAACACGCATTTCAAATGCAAATCACTTACCTCTTCAGAGCTGCAAACCTCTTCGCAAGCTCGTCAACATCAGGAATCCCATCCCCGATACCCCCTTTAGCCTCAGGAGACGGTTTCTTGGCTATGCCAGCATTGATCATCTTCTTGCTGGGCTTTATTTCCATCGAGTTCAGGGTGACTCGAGGATGGATATTTTCCGTTGATGGGCTGGGCGGGTTGACATGAAGTGGGCTGGCCGGCCCGAACGTTTTGGGAGGCGTTGCCTTGCTGAGCTCCTCCTGAACCTCCGTCTCTTTGTATTGGGCGACCAGCGGGGCCTCGAGATTCTTCTGGGCTTGACCGCCGTTCGGGCTGTCATCGTCGTCGTCATCCATGAAGTCCGGAGGCTCGCCGAGTTCTTCCTGGGGCCTCTTCGGCCAGTTCACACCGTACGCCTTCGCTATCTCTTCCAAGTACCCCTGAACGAGCTCCGGCTTGGGCGGCGCCACGGCGAGCTTCTTCACGACCTTCTCCGAAACCTTCCCGTCCGAGTTCTCCACTGCCGATATGACAAACTCCTTCCCAAACTTCTCGGCGAGGAGCACCCGGACCTGGTGCAACTCCTTTATTTCCGTTTTCGGCGCCGCGTAGATGATGCTCTTGACTGCCTCCTCAAGCCCGGGATCGCAGGTCGGGCCTTCGAGGAGGCCGGCCCTTGCCAGTAACAACTCGCAATACAGCTCGAGGATTTCGTGCAACTCGGATGAGATATCGGAGCGGATGATGTTCTCGACTCGGATCCGTGCGGAATCCTCTTTGCCGACCTCGAGTAGCTGCGCCATACCCCGTCGCTGGTTCTTCGCTAGAGCTTCATCCCGTCGCTGAACCATGCGAAGCCTCGCGATGGCTAGTTTCAGCTGCACCTTGACCTTGGCCTGCGACCGCATCGCAGTTAGTACATTATTCGAGCTACTAGGAGTGGGCCGGATCTGTTTCCTACCGTAAGAGCTGGAGAAGAAGGAGGAGGCATGCTGACTGGAACTTGTGAGCTACAATGCCATGAAAGACAATACAAGGCCTCCGGTCGAGAAATAGATCTCAGCAGTTATCAGTACTTTATGGAGTGTAGTTGATGGCTGCCCGATGGAGTGGTTGCCTTGGTGGGGCTGTGAACGGGCAGGTAATCAATCTGATGGAGGGGTAGGTCAGGTAAGCTAGGTACCTGGTAGGTAGAACATGACTCGGGTGACGGTTCTCAACAGCAAATGACCACAGGTGCGGTAACCAATAGCGTAACGGGGAACCTGGTGGATCGTCGAGAGGAGGCGCTCTGAATACCTACTTATTCTAAGTTCCAACGGCTTTGCCTTCCACTACCTCAACTACTTACGACGTACTGATGAGATGGAAGTTGTTTGCTGTACGTTGAGCTTGAAGATAGCCCTCAATTGATGAATGGGCTTAGCACCTCACATGACCTGCTCTCAACGACTTCCTTCGGGACCAGGACAATGGCCCCCTCCGGGACGACGACTATCTCAACCCTCTATCCCGACAAGCTCTCCTGACAATGGGACAGCCCATGAGGATCCCGAGCTGGCTCGCAGGGGTCGGCGTGAAGCTGCGACAGAACCACCTCTGGCAGCGGATAGTGAAGCACACCACCGCCGTCACCATTGCTCTCATCATCGTTTTCATCCCGGCCGTTAATGCCCGCTATGGGCCTTCCAGCTTCCTGGCCCCGATGACGACCGTATTTGGCCACTCGGGCCAGCGTTTCGGTCAGATGGCCGAGTCGCTTTTCCTGATCGTCTGCGGCGTAACGCTGGGACTCGGCTGGGCTCTCTTGGGTCTGCATTTGTCGAGTCTCATTTTCGATACGAACCAGGCCGCCGGGTACACCATCAGAGCCATCTTCGTGGTCATCGCCATCATATTCCATGGCTACATCCGGTCTCACAGCCCAAGGCTCTTCATCATGGTGTTTGTTGTCCTCATCATATGCTTTACTATCTTGATGGGTACCGTACATACCGTCACCACCGCGCTGGTCACCCAGATTCTGTATCCAATGCTCACGGCCATGGGGGTACTACTGGTTACCAACGTATCCATTTTCCCAGAGTTCTCGGGCAGCTTCTTGGGCGAGACCACGATCGAGGTTCTATCCCAAACCGAGACCACGCTAAAGGCAGCCGTGGAATGGTTTACAGAACCGATCGCAGAAAAAAAAGCCAGGCCGTCCAACGCAGATTCAGATTCACCCTTTGAAGCACACAACGCCGCCTCTTCGGCCTCAACGTCTGCACACGCAGATAATCAAAATGGCCAACAACGCCAGGTTGACTCGAGAAAGCCGCTGGATAAGTCGACGCGGGTCTCTCGGCTTGCTGCCCTTACCGTCGCGAAGGAGAATCTGAGGATGAAACTGGGCAGCTGCAAGAAGGCTTACGAAGAATGCACGTTTGAGATCATGTACTCCGTCCTACCTCCACGAAGCTTGAAGCCGATAAGCAAGAGGGCAATGGCAGGCCTTGTGCGAAACGTTATTACACTAATTAGTGCTTGTGAAAGCAAGTTTGCACTGATTGGCGAAGATATCGAGGATCCCCCGTCGAGGACGAGTGAGTTGGATGCTAGCTCCGATTCCTCACATTCCGAGAGCGACTCCTCTTCCTCCGAGGATAGTGGCTCAGACGACGTCGGTCGAGAGGGCATGAGCAGATCTAGCAAAAGGAAACTAAAGAGCCTGAAAGCCCGTCAGGCCCTTGCCGATGTGCTAAATGAGCTGAAGCCTCATCGGGAGATTGCCTCTGGCGATGTCGATGTTCTCGAGTCTCTCCTCGGTCGTGTTAGAGAACCTGTGGCAGAGCTGTTGACAAACGTCAACGACGCCATTGACTTGGTTATGACGTGTCTAGCTTATTGCTACGATGTAAAAAGACTACCCTCAGGCGCCATCGTCCCGAAGGGCATCAGAATCGAGGAGGTTGATATCCGCGTGGACATTTTCGCCACTGCGATAGCTTCCTTCGATATAAGCTCTACGGAAGCACTTGGGAAAGCGGCGTTGGTGGGTGCCGCGGATGGCGAGGTAAGCCTCCTCCAGTTCAGTGATATCTGAAAACAGTGGGCTTACAAGGATACGCAGGTCGATATCATGCCGAGAATCGAAACCTTTGTCATGTCGTCATGCCTCCTGAGCCTGCGGCAGGCGGCGGAGCAGACCATGCAGATGCTCAAACATACCAGAGTCCTCGTGGAGCGGAGACAAGCGAGACACGAGCGGAAACGGGTTTACATGCCCAGGAGGATCAAGTGGAGGAAGTGGCTCCTTTCCGGAGGAGAGCAAGATGTGATGGCACTCCCCGAGGATGCGCGTAAGGACATGCGGACCGGCAAGCACGTCAAGAAAAGTCCAATCAAAGAGAAAGAAGACGATGAAGATGGCAATATAAGCGATTCCCGCCCAGTTTGGTCTCGAAGCAGAGATCCGGAAACAGCTGTCGCCGACACCCCCGAGAAGAAATCACGTCCACGGGAGCTGCGACGACCACCCCGACGCAGGGCTGAGAGCAAGAATAGAGCCTCCGAACCCTCCACCCTCTTACAGCACAGGGGCCAGGTGGCAAACTTGGTGGAATCCATCATGCACTCCGAACATCTCGGCTACGCCCTCAAACTTGCTGTCGCGGTCATGCTGGTGAGCTGGGTCGCCTTCTTTGGACCGCTGAACTCGTGGTATGCATCCTCTCGAGCGACCTGGGCGCCGCTGCAGTTAGTTCTCGTCTTCGAGGTCGCCATTGGCTCTTCATTCTGGATCTTCATGGTTCGAGCCGTCGGAGTGCTCTTCGGATGCGTATGGGGCTTCGTCGCGTATAAGATCAGCCAGGGCAACCTTGTTGCGCTCGTTGTTCTTCTGGTCATTGCAATAATCCCGTCGGCTTATGTCCAGCTGGGTACTCCGTATGTCAAGGCTGGCATGATCTCGATTGTATCAATGAGCGTGGTTTCCTTAGGTACGTGACGTGCGTGGCCTTGCTTGCTTGCCCCGGATGACCAATAGAACTAACCGTCGCAGCTATCATCAGTTTCTCGGGTGCCCCATGGGAGATCTTCCTAAAACGCCTTGCTGCCTTCATGGTCGGCGGAGCTGTCGCGATCCTCGTTGAGCTGGTGCTATATCCTGTCAGGGCGAGAGATCGGCTGGTGGAGTCGCTATCGTCGTGCATCAGCCAAATCAGTCACATGGAGGGAACTATTGCTGGTGGGGTAGAGGACCCGAATAAGGTCTCGGACATACTGTCAGCACGCTCGATCTCGCGATTTAACAAGGCGGAAAAGAAGGCACAAAACGCCCTCAGGGCTGCCGAGACCTTTCTCCCGTTCTGCCTCAGTGAACCCCGTCTTCGGGGCAGCTTTAAGAGCCTGGAGCCCATCTACCGCGAGATCATCTACGTTCTCCACCAGATCATCGACCGCATGGACAATGTGATGGCACTGCGCCTGGCCTATGGAAGCTCCGTGCTCAAGGAGCTTAACCCCCAGATCTACTCGTACCGACGGAATCTCGCGGCCAGCGTCACGCTGACCCTCTTCGCCGTGAACGAAGCGCTGACTACAAGGCTGCCGCTGCCGCAGTTCCTCCCGTCGTGCCGCCTCGCCCAGCTAAGGCTCGTCAACCGGGTCCGCGAGGTCATGCAGTCGGAGCCGTCGTTCGCGGGGGCCGTGGTCATCGGGGCTCCCAGCGAGAGGAGGGGATGGGTAGGGGGAGGGGGAAGGGGGGGATCGGGCGTCGGCACTCCCGGGACCCGCTCCAGGGCGACCAGCCAGGTGATACGCAGCGCCAGCAAGCAGACCTTCCTCTCGTGGAACGCCACCACGGCCGGCCAGATGGAGATCATCGAGTACCTCGAGGAGCTGGTCGACCTGGCCAAGCTGCTGGTCGGCGTCAACGCCTTCCGCAGCGGTATGCTGGACCGGCCGAGCTACCAGAACTACGTCGAGCGCCTCCGCATGCAGGACGGGCGGCGGTCGTCCGCGGCCGCGCCCCCCGACGACAGCGACGCGACCATGACGATGCCCATGTCCCCCGTCTCGAGCGCGCCGGCGGCCGTGCGGCGGTGGAGGGCGCCCAGCATGGGGACGACGGGCCTGGAGCGCTCGCTGTCCGCGTTCCGGGACAACGTCGTGCGGAGGAGGAAGCGGAGCAACACGGAGGCGCAGCGGGGCCAGGACGGTGCCGGTGGCGGTGCCGAGAGGGCGGAACAGCTCCCGGTCAGCCTTCAACGTGTGGGCACTAGAATTAGAAAGGAGAGGAGTTTGGCTGGGAAGATGAACATGCCGAATAGCTAGCATGGTGGAAGAGTGATCATGAGCCTGTATGCTAGTTAAAACATGCCCAAGAACGCAAAAGGGATGTGTTTTTGGCCAAGAATGGCGGCGATGTAAATAGTAGGCATGGTCTTGTACTTGCTAATACTACAGCTAATACTACAAAAGCGACAAGAGTGCCTAAACCGCGTCCAGACCTACAACTAGAAAATGCATGCTCAGCGGGTGGTCTCTTTTCTTCATGTCCACCCTTCGCCGAGCATGTCTGCCACGGTGTACCCCTCTCGCCAGATTTGCAAGGGGGTAGCTAGTTTTTGTGCGCCGTAATCATGGCAAATAATTGAGAAAAGCACAAAAGCCAAGAATAGAAAAAAGCCGCCTGACCATGCGCCTCATACAAAAGCCAACACCAGTGGAACGCCTCATGCCAACCACGAGAGTGGTGGTGGAAGGCGGAATAGCAAAAAGACAGAAGAAGGAAGGAGATATTCGGGAGGTGGCGACGTGATGCAATCGCACGCGAATGCGAAAAGTAATGATCGGAGTGATTCAAGTACGGAGTAGTCTCAGATCTGGGAGATTTATTAGCAACAAGAAAACCTGATGGTCCGGACGTCCGGTCTTTCTGAGAAGAGGAAGAAAACATACCAGCTTAAGATTGGTTCGCTGCTGCAAACTCGTCCCGTTGAGCATGGCCCGCAACTTGGTGGGCCTGGCCTGGAGGCGGCGGAAGGCCTCCTGGATGTGGCGGGACTCGACGGGGGAGCGGCCCTCGCTGGGCGGGTCGAACAGGCCCTGGGCGAGCTTACGCTTCTTTGTGCCGGCGTCCTCGCCCGTCCTCTCCTTCAGGAGGTCCTCGTGGTCCTTTATCCTCAGCGCCTCCTCGGTGAGCGTCTGGACCATCTCGAAGGTGAGGAAGCCGAGGATGTCGACAATATCGTCCGAGGGCTTACCGTCGGTGATGGTGCTGAAGCCGACCCACTCCCGGAACCGCTTGCTCTTGCGGTAGGTGAATGACGCCTGGCGGAATTCGGACCACGTCACGTATTCTTCCCTGGTCATCACCTTGGTCCGCTCGTCTGCTTTCCTGAGGCGCTGGAGAGTGATGTAGTTCATCTCTTCCTCCTCTTCGTCTTCCTCATCTTCGCGCTCGGGGACTTCCTGGTTGTAGAACGATAGCGGCTCCCAGGGTAAGCCGACCCTCGCCTTCTTGTTCTTCTTCGCGGCGTCGTCTACTGGGGCACCGGCTACCACCCCTCCGACGGGGTCCTCCGCCGCAGCCAAATCGGCGTCGCCGGCTTTGTCGTCCGAGTCCTTGACGTTCTTGCGCACTTCCTTCCACGACAGAAATGTCCGGAGCCGGGAGACCTTGGGCGCGTCGTGGCGGATCTGGAAGATCAGATCGTTGATTGTAATCGAACGAGAGCCGCGGCGAGCTGCGAGCTCGGTGCAATTCCGGAGCTGCATGATGCGTTAGAACCATCCCCAACATAGCAGAAACGACCAGCGGGTGCTCACCATCTCGATAACCTGCTGGCGCACAATCTCTTCGATCATGCCCGTGGTTTCGGCTGAGGGCTCGCCTGTTTCTCCAGAGACGTACATCATCTTCCCTATCATGTTAGCAAGATACTCCTTAAAATTGGCCTGCTCTTCGATTTCATCCTGCCAGGGCTCTGTCTGAGGAGCGAGAGGAGGTAAAGGCCGTTCGTGGGCCACCTCGAAGGCACTAGCCATGTCTTGCTTAGAGGGATGCGAGCTTTCGACCTTGATCCGATGTGGAAAATCACTAGAAGCATCTAAGAACAGACTTGCTCCACACGAATCGACGCCACTCAGGGGGTTATGGGTTGGTCTGAGTTGCCTAGTCGATCCATATCCGGGCGAAAGACCTCCTTTTCTGGTCGAAAAACGACTCTTCTTCCGACCGGGAATGCCAAGAGCTTCGTCAAATACATCCAAGAACAGTGCAGCTCCGTCGGGATCCACTGCGCCAAGCGAATTACTATTGGGATTCGGTTGTCGAGTCCACTGATAGCTGGGAAGCATTGTCCGCTCGGGAACAAGCTGACCGGCACGCGGGCCTTGGTCTCCCACGGACGAGTTGGGCACTTCGCTCGCAATGGGGCCCACCTCTCCAGGGCTATACAGATGGGAACCGCTAGCGATGGAGACTGCGCCTCCAGGCGTAGGTGGATAGGGACTGCTGACGGCATAACCCATCTCCCTAGGGGTAGAAGAAGGGCGAGAGCTGCCAGTGGCGGAGATGCCTTGCCGCGTGGCATCCTCTCGGAACATAACCCGCACGCCCGGCCTGGGAATAGGGGTATAATGTTGAGCCATATGGGGTTCTGGGACTCGAGACCCCAAGATTATGGCGTGGTTACGAGCCACTGGGCCATTTGGAAGATGTTGTTGGATCCGTGGGCCATGATAAAATGTTCCTTGTCCTGGCACGTTCAGTGGCGACAGAGCAAAAGGGTCTGATAGAGGGTTGGCAGGCATGCTGCCGCCAGTCACCGTTGGGAGAGAGTCACGTCCGCCGGATGAAGCTCGAGAACTAAAGCCGGCAGCAGGAATTGTGTCGCTTCCCAGTCCGGCCGGAAGGGTTCTGGAGTCAGTAGGCGTGACAGGCAGGCGACCTGGGGTATAGTAGCGAGGGAGCGAGGGGCTGGACGGGAAACAGGGAGGTGATGAATCGTCAGGAGGTTGCATAGTACGGAGGTATCTGTCGGCGCCTAGCGGACTGCTGATGTTTTGTCGCGGGGATGACTCGTAGGCCATTCTCTCTGCGAAGGCGGAAGGGATCCGATAGGTGGGAAACGGGTCGGGAGTCTTGTACATTACGCTGGCGATGGAAGGGAAGTGTTGGTTAGAGGCCATCTTGGGCGTTGAACCATGTCCTGCACGGCCCGGGAACTGGGGCGAAATGGCAGCTCCGACCAGTGCTCTTGGTGTCCTGGGTGTGTTGCTTGTGGCAACTTGACGAGTGTTGTCCACGGCTACTCCGGGTGGCACTGCAACCTCTCGCGATGAAGGGTTACTTGGCGTACCCCGAGCACGCTGCTCACGCTTCCGAAGATCATACCGGGCCTGAGGATTCGGGTTGGTGGCGGCCGTCGCAGAGGAAGCACCTGATCGGCCCCGAGATGTGGTGCGGGAAGAAGGTGTGGCGGAAGAGGCCGAAGTCTGCGCACCACCTGAGGCCGCCGTTATTCTCGGGGTCGTAGGCACGGCAGGGCTTGAAGCACGCATGTCCACTTCTTGGTCTGCAGATCCCGAAGCTTGCTTGGTTGATGGTTGAGTAGCAGATGGCCTTGTTGACGAGCCACGGTTCATGCTCTTTAGGTCCTCGGCCATGCTTTTCGGTGGCCCCATCTTGTCTCTCTTGCTTGCCCCTGGCTTGACGATAGCGAGGCAGGAAACGTTCCCCCAGGTACTCCAAGGCCGCCCAGGCTCCTGCTTCCGAAATGTGTGTGGGGGCTGGATCCTATTGCCTCCTGTGGGGATATTTAACCGATCGTCCTGATGATGAAGGATAGAGGATGACCTGAGCAAAGGCGAGAAATCAACGAAATCATAGGTTGCATGTCTTCCTTTCTTTCCCATTCAACTTTTCTGAGTTTGTTGTCTTGGAAATTTCAGATCCTCCAAGTAGTTCGTGTTTTGTTGTTGCCTGGGGCGACTGGTAGGGGTGCTTGGGGTTGTTTTCTGGCGACATGTACCAGTAAGGTGAACCTGGGGTCAACCTGGTCCCATCCCAGGGGTGACGCCTGTTGCCCTGGTACCCTTAATCGTCAGGATATCCACGAGGGAGGAGACGCCGGCCTGTGCCAAGGCAAAGGAGTGCTCGTTGAGAGCTTGCTGGCAAGATGGCTTCCACTTAGATAGATCCCCGAATATCCCCGTGTATTTCTCCGGGATTTTCTTGTTCGGATACTTGCCAAACCGAAGCCCCTTCTGACAATAGGACCGGGACATCCTGTTGAGCAGTCCTAATCTGCTTCTCTGCGGCTGAAGCCCAGTACACGACCCACCCATATGCCTCGATGGTGACCATTGTGGCTCCTTGCTGCCGACAGAGCAGTAACCTCCCAGCAGGACACTCAACAGCCAGAACACTCAACAGCCAGGCCGCCTAACTGTCCCAACAGTCCCAACTGGATTGACGCTGGCCGTGGACACCGGCAGGGCCCGACTCAGGCAAAGGCTCATTCACCCCTTCTTGTCGGACTAGATCTCGCCAGCACTTGCTGGTGAGTGTCTTGGCTGGCATTTTGTTGACACTCTCCCCTCTACCGTTGAACCCTGGACGCACCTACACCTCGGGTGTGTCTGGGCTTAGATGTCTTGAGGTTCCTCGGCATACAATCAAAACAAACAAAACTTGAAAGGCAGGATGCGTTTCGACTGGCTAAAGAACACTATCAAAGGGAGCCTTGACTAACCTGCTGGATCTCCTGGCGGTACTTCTGCTGCTTGTGATCTTTGCTCTCAGCCATCTTGATAGGTTTAGAGATGTTTTTAATTGAGTGAATTGGTTATAAGAGAGTTTGTAGAGAGAAATTCCCATATGCCAATACGAGAGTTGGAGATAGTTGGGAAGAAGAGAGACAAAATGCGAAAGTTGAAGAGCTGTAAGTTAAAGTGAAGAGCCGCCAGTTAGAGTTAGAGTTGAGTTGAGAGCGCTTAAGTAAGCCAATTTGCCTTACATAAGCCAACATTCAGGTGAGCCTTGAGTCAAGGACGGGAGCTACGTACCTAGTTCTGGGTTGGATTCAGGTACGGAACGCAATATACCTAGGCACATGAAAGTTTGTCTTTCATACATGTAGATGTGTAGACTACTTATATGCGAGTTCTTGCCCTGTGGATATACGCCTGACAACCCCCCGACCCCGTCTGACAGCTACCACTGAAGCCACGACCCAAATCCCGAGCCTTTCCAGCCCCAAGCAACTATGTAATGGCCGGCCAGCAATTTCCACTCTTCCACCTCGTCGAGGCCCTCCAAATTGTCAACTCTTTCTTTCTCGCTCTCCGAAATCCATTTCTCCCAGATCTCGTCGACCGCCATCTGCCTGACGTGGTCAAAGCCGGCGCCTCTCAGTCTATTCTCTTGGTCCCGAGGTTCTCTGTACTCCTCGAGGGTCGGCATCCTGATCCCCCTTGCGGAAAGATTGGAGACCATCATCCTCCCGAACGGGTCGTCTGGCTTTATGGGTTCGTAGATGACAATACCTAGATCGGGGATTCTGTCCGTAAACCACTTGATGACATCGCGTGCCTCCGACGTCTGAAGATAGCAGAGGCAGCACTCAGAGACAAGCAGTGTGGGAACGTCAGTCTTGAGGCCTTTGAGTATGGATGTATCCTCAGTTTGAGCGAGTTCACGGAGGTCTACACCATGGCACCACAGCTGCGAACCGGTCGGCGACTGGCTGCACCACGTCGACCCGTTCTGTTCGACCGGCTTCGGTAGAATTTGCCCTAGCTTGGGGGATGCTGAGATGGTGTTGAACTTCTGCTTGCAGATGGCGGGAAAGTCAACCTCGTGATAGGTGATGATGGGCGGGTTTTCTTGGGAGAATATCCGGAGGCATCTCGTGTCGGTTCCAGCACCTAGTGAGATGATTTGTCTCTCTTGAGACGGGCCTACCTCGTCCTTCGAAAGGAAGAGATCTATGAGGCGATCCAACGCCGCGGTCCTGGTATAGGTTCCTGGATGACATACTCAGCTCTCGGCCCTTGGGGCATAGCTAGTGCAAGGTGCGTAAGCTGACCTCGGTTGATGATGGGCAACCTCCTAGGGGCGGTCCCAGAACCACGTCGCACAAAAGAGTGGACAAACGGGTCTTCGAGATAGCCCAGTTCGACCGCACTCAGCCGCGATAGAGCGGCGTCATCATCGGTGCCCTGAATAACGGCATCATGGCCAGACGGGCGGCCTGGATGTTGACCGACCCGGCCCCTCCCTCGGCCTCGGCCTCCTCGGGAGTTACCTCGAAGGGACAGGAGGTTAGGAATCGAGGCTGCCGACATTAGTAAAGTGAGATGCGATGGTTTTTGTACCTGGCGATCACACGACGCGGTAGAGGATTTGGTGAACGCCGGTTGCAGCCTTACGAAGCACGGACCCCACCTTGACTCTTTAGCGTGTTTTCCCCCAGGTGCCAAGACATTCGTGTTCGGCCGGATAGCTCGGGCAGTCGCTGGATGGGATTCTACAAGCCCCGGCCTCGCAGTGTCCCCAGGTTTTGGATGGAAACCACGAATTATAAGTGAAGTAGGCAGGGAAATGCTTGGACTGTAGTTCTTGTCGGCCGTTTCATGCCCAGGGTTAAAGAAACGGGCGACGCCACCATAATTATGTAGTGGCAAATGAGAATTGCTTGGGTGAATCCTACGCCGGCAACGGCGAATAGCATCGCGATATACGCAATGCCTTTCGCGGCCGAGACCCGAATAACTAGGGTGGTTCTCACGGGCCCCGCAAGGCTGCCTAGCCATGCAACAGGGGGGCACAGCGGGGCAGTGCTGCCACTTTCGTATCCGTTTGATCCTTTAAAACCGGCCATTGCTCCAGCGTCCTTTCTTTCCTTCCATCCCATCGTACCTCTTGTCGTTATCGCCACTGCTAAACTACCTTTACTCTCTCTTGCTTTTATTTTTCACACCTTATTATTCCACCTACCCAACGAGTGCGGGCACACTGGAAGGTATCGAAGCAATACAACATTCAAGATGTTGAAGCAACTGGTTGCCTCGGGAGGCATGTCGCTTTATAAGCGCGGAGCTGAGGACGGCAATGCCATCCATCTCCCATCCTGGGCTTGGGGAGTGCTGTTTCTGAACTTCGTCATCTTCATCCCGATCACTCTCTATGTAAGTCCGATATAGCTCCCTATCACGGCCACCTGCAGCTGCACCTGTTCTTCGATTAACACGCCTGACAGGTGTCGTACACCCTCGGCTCTCTATTCCCCACCCTGGCCATGGTCGAGGACCCGAATCCACCGGCCTACGAGCGCTTGTCGTTGAATGAGGACCCCGAGACTCTGGCCGACGACGAGGCAGCGGCCGCAGCGCCGCCCAAGCCCATCTCTGCCTCCCTCCGGGCCCTCGAACGCCTCGTCTTCTCGGTCGGCGGCTGGCGCTCCAATTTCCGGGGCTTCTGGTGTTCCTTTGCCTACGGCGTCTCGGTCGCCTTTATTAGCGGCATCTTCATGTCTCTGCCCTTCATCCCGGCCTTCGTCGGCACTCTCCTCGCGACCCTTGCCCTGGTGCAGATATCCACGGCGTGGGTCCACATCGTCATGACACCCCCCAACCCCGCTCCCTTCTACCGCCGCCTGCCACCCTTCAAGAAGACCTTCGAGGCCACCGCCGCCCCCGTCCTGGCCTTGTGGCTGGCGGCGACCATCGGCGGTGCGGCCCCGAGGCTCGTCTCCCACCTCGTGCACCTCCCCACCTGGACTGTCGGCGACCCCAACGAGGTCCCCATCTACGGCTGGGGCGACTCGTGGAAGGGCCTCGTCGTCGGCGTGGTCACTTTCGCCATCTGGGCGCTGGCTATCATCCCCGCCCACGTCGTCCTAGTCCGCGTGCAGGCGTCGCTGCTGCCGCCCGACGAGGACTCCATCATCCCCTTCGACCGCTCCTTCGGCAGCTCCGTCGAGCCCGCCGTCGTCGGCGGCAAAGGCTTCGTCACCATGAAGGACGCTTGGACCACAGTCTCCCGCGCCTCATGGATCCGCATCTACATCCTGCACGCAAAGGTCTTCGCCGCCACCACCGCCGCGACCCTGCTCATGCTCGTCATCATCATCCCCGAGGTGATGCTCATGTCCAAGAAGGGCGAACCGCAGGGAGTCTGAGCGCTTCCATCTCTGCCGGGTTATGGAGGGCCGGTCTTCGCCCGATCACCCCGACCTTCTTGCTATCAGAACGAAACAAATTCCCCCACCTAATCAGTATGATTGGGACTTCCCTTTTACATTATCTCCTAGGTAGGGACTACGTTGTAGTTTGTACACGGTATTTCATAGGTGTCGCGTGTCGGTGAGCCATGCTTCGGCGAGCTAAGGGGGACCCAACTGGCTTGCTAGGATAATCAGGGTCACAAACTGCCTTGGGGAGAGACCAGGGATGGGATCTGCAGACCACACAGGCCACAGGCCAAAGCGAAAGCAAAATGACAGCTTCCAATGATGTCCATCCAAGTCTTGCAAAAACGCGTGCTCTATCTTCTTTCCATTGATTCGACTTACTCTGCCCCTGGCTCCAGGGAGACGTGCTATTAAGGACAAAATGCCTCCAACCCCGCCCCAATCACCACCCACCTTCCCATGCAGACCCCGCCCGCCTTCGCCACCCTTGCAAACTTGCCATATCGTAAAAGGGGGGAGAATTGAGAAATGAAACCCGGACTTGTCAACTTCGGCCCCTCCGTCCCTCACTTAACCAAAAAGCTTTGAGGTATAAATCGATTCTCCGTCGCCTCCAGGGGCCCTCTTGAGGCTAGTCTGGACTACCGCGAGTCTATGAACCTCTCTTGTTATATTGAACACAAGGAAATAACACGTGAGGGAGGTGCAGAATGGAGGTTTCTTGCTTGGCTAGGTAAACCAGATGATAGGATCATGGGGGCATCATCATCCGTGATACAACCCGGCCTCATTTGTTGAAGAACCAACTCGATCTCTTATTCTCGGTCGGGTTCTGCAGGTTGGCGATGGCCGGGTTGGTCGCCGTCTCGCCGCCGCCGCCCCCGCGGAGCGGCTTCGCTATCCTGCTGCCGATGCTGAACCCCCCGATGCCCGTGGGCGAGTTCAGGCCCCGAGTGCTGCCAGCCTTGGCGGCCTCCAGGCGGTCCTTGACGGCCGCGAGCTGGACCTCGAATCTAGAAGTGAGTGGGTTAGCATGCGAACAGGAAGGCATTTGACATGGTTGAAAGGGGAAATGAGGGGGAGCGGTGAAGTTGGTATCGTACTTATGATTGGCCTGAGCCATCTTCTCCTGGCTCTCCTGGAGCAGGCTTTCCAGGCTCTGGATCCGCTCATTCCTCGCGATGAGCTTGCGCTCGGCGATGGCGACCTCCTTCTTGAGACTGGAGTTCTGCTCAACGAGCTGCCGCTGCACCTGTGTCAGCTGCTCGAGGTTGCGCTCCAGGAAGGCCATCTTCTTCTGCTGGGCGCGGTTGTTGCTACTGCGCAGCACGTTGTTGTACTGCTCGCGAGTCTCGTCCAGGGAGATCTCCAGCTCGACGACGCGCTCGCACCGGTTCTGGAGGTCACGCATGAGGCTCTTCTTCATGACGTCGAACTCGGCTAGCTGCTGCTGGATCGTCTTGCCGTTGGCCATGGGCACCGTAGCGCCGCCGGTCTTAACTCGGCGCTGCATGTCCTCGATGAGGGCCTTCATCCGCTCGTTCTCGGCCGACTTGCGGGCGATGTCCTCCTTGAGCTCGTCGACGAGCTCGGCTTGGGCGCTATGCTTGCTCTCGAGCGTCTTGGATAGTCGTCCCTTGACCTCTTCGAGGTCGCCCTCGCCGAGGTTGCGTGCCAGAAGGTCCTCGTATTCTTCTTGTAGCGTCTCCAACCGCGACTCGAGCTCTGCTCGCCTGCGCGCCTCCGCCTCGCTCGATGACACACTGTACGCGGCGAGCTCGGCTTGTCGCACGATCCCTTGCGTCTCAATCAGTTTCTCCTTCAGGGCTTGGAGGTCATCCGGCGGAATGGGATCGCCCGTCGAGCTCATCTCATGCAACGCATCCAGCTGCGCAATGGCGTCTGCAATGGCACGGTCGTTTTCGCTGAAGACGTCCCCACTAAGGTCGAATCCAGCCATCATCTTGGCCATCTTCTCCGCCTTCTTCTTCTCCTTCTCGTCCAGGACCGCGCTTGTCTCCTTCGCGCTCATCTTGATGTCTAACATCTGTTGTTTCACCTCGTCGAGCTCCGCCGTGAGCTCACTGTTGGCCTCCTTCAAACCATCCATGGTGATCTGAGCCTCCTTGCTCTCGAAGACGAGGCGCTCGAGCTGCATCTTGAATTCATTGACATCGCTGATTAGCTTCTCGTTTTCCTTGCCCAGCTTGCTGTCGTGTTCCTTTAGGTAGGTCATTTCCTCCTTAGTGTCCCGTAGTTGCTTCTCTGCGGCGGTAGCTTGGGACTCTCTCTCCGCCAGCTGGTCCTGGAGTTCATTCTCACGGCGTAGATACTCTTCCCGCTCATCCTTGTCCAACGGCAGACTCGGGGTCCCCGCCCGTTCCGAGATAGCCGGCGTCTCAGACCGGCTCTCGGGCACCAGCCGCGACGGCGTAGAAGGCCGAGGGGCCCTGGCATCCGACTTCGCGCCCGACACGCCATCCGTGCCTCGCGGCGGGACCCATCTCTCTCTCGGGACGGTCTCTCCAGCACGCCATAGCTGTACCTCGCCCTCCAGGTTGACGATGTAGTTCTCAAAGGACGTGATCTGTGTCTTGGCCTTGCCGAGCATGGCCTTGAGTTCTGCAGGGCTGATCTCGGCGTTGACTTTGGCCTTGTTCTTGATCGACTTGGCTCTCATGCCGAATCGCAGGGTACCCAGGGTTTCGGCATCGTTGTAGCTGCTGGGCGAGCAGTTGACGATAAGGGTCGTCCGGCTGTTACCACCCAGCGACTCTTGCAATATTCGGGTGAGCTTAGAGTCGCGGTAGGGGATGTGCGAGGATTTGCCGTCCGTCAGAGCGTTGATAACCATCCCCAGAGCACTCAAGCTCTTGTTAATCTTCTTTGCCTCCTCCAGCGTCTGTCCACTAGCACCCGTCTTGCCAACCTTCTCGCTACCGGCCAAATCCACCAAGAATAACTGGCCGCTCTTGGCCGAGCCCGTCTCGACGTTCTTCTGGGTGATGGTGACGACGAAGATGGAGTGTGAACGTGACGACTCCTGGTTCATGTTGGTCGCAGCGACTGCCCGGGCGTTTCCACCCCTCCTCATGACCTCGAAGACTTCCTGGACGCTGGAAACGTAGATCTCCAGCAGGCCCTTGACATAGACGCCACGGTTCTTTTCCTCATGCACCGGCAGATTGTCGTTTTGCGGCGCCAGAAGATCTCGAATGCGCTCCATGTAGATCTCCATGTAACTGACTCGGACAGTGTACTCGATATTCAGCGGGCTGGACAAGATGCTCTCAAATATCTGCTCCACTATTCGGGGGATGACACCTCGGCCTTCTTCGTCGTCTATGCTCGTGCCCATCATGGTGTAAGATTTCCCGGCACCTGTTTGCCCGTATGCGAAGACGGTGCCATTGTAACCATTAAGGATGTCGTCGACGGTGGGTCTAATGGAGAAGTCGAAGATGTCGGATTGTTTGCATGACATGTCAAACACCCTATCGAACGTGAAGGAGCCCTGTGCCTCCTTGGACTGTGGTGCCCAACATTAGCAGGGCGGGCAGGGCGGGGCGTTCAGATGGAGCCGCAACTTACTTCGATGGTACATGTGTCGTTGCCATCGAAGCTCACGATGGGCTGGCCGCCCGAGTCGAGCTCGATCCGGTTCTGCGGCCGGAACCGGGCCACAACCTTGATACTATTCGCACTAGACATGATGGCGGCCCGTGTTATGCCCGGAGGAGGGCGATCTTATGGATGTGCGCGCCGGCAGCTGTTCAAGGGGTGGTGCCAGGCGGTAGAAAGGGCCGCCCTGGCAGGCAAGCGAGGCAACGTTGCTGAGGACGAGTGAGATCGCGCGTTGGTGGGTGGTGGGTGGCGGGTGGTGCAACTGAGGGGGGGTATCAAAGCTCTATGGGAAAGTGCTAGAATCAAGCCAACAGTCTGACGTGGGGAGAAGGGAATAAAAAGAGCGTCGTCCTTTGGCAGGAAAGACAAAGATGCCAGTCTTAGTGTTTGGTGGTCGGGTGTTGACGACGCGCTAAAAGGGAGGGTTCGCGCATAGTAGTTAAATTTGTCTGGGCTGTTTCAGTGAGCCGGACTCCGCACCGCAACCGTCGACTTCAGGCGAGATAACTAAGCAACTCCCAACGGCACAGTTTCCCTTTTTTCAGGTAATAACTCGAATTTCTGGCCAGAAATTGTAGTCGTCTATGCGACCGAGATGGGCGGGCAGTTAATGATGCTGCTCACATCAATACCTCGCCAACTCCAACCTTAAATATGTGACTTGAACGGGACGCGGTTTGGGGAATCACATTATGGTTGCCTTGGTTGTCTAAACAACTAGTAACTCGGCCTAATGCGGTTGTATGCTAATCGCTAATCCCCAATCTTGACCCAAGTAATATCAAGCTCCAGCTCCACTTCGCCCAAAATAAACAAAAATAGAAGGCAACTAATGAAGACCACCAGAGTAACGAGGCAGATTGCAAGAGTGGCCCCGAACAAGCAACGCCGTATGCCACCAAACGCCATACCCCCACTTTGCAAAGGCCGGGTTTCTGCCGCGCAGGCTGTGACATACTGGGCATGCTGGACAGCCAAACTCGCAATGCCTCGGGTGCCACTTCCACTGAGCTTGGCCATTCTCATCACCTGACATATCCATCGCCTCCTCCTTGCGGCGCCAACCCCCAGTGGTTCGGGGCCGAACCGGACGGACCCGGGCGATAACTTTTGTCCACTATGGCAACATAGCAACATGCTTAGTCTTCCCAGCTCTTCTCCACCGTCTCCCGGACCCGTTTGGTATATTCCTTCCTGTTGTCCTTGTATAGGTTCGAGGCCTCCACGTTTGCTGGGGATCCCGTATTGGGGTCGTTTAGCAGACTACGCCAGGTAGTAGATGAGTCAGCTATCTTCCATGTTCCGAGGAGAACCGCGGCCCGATATCACCAGCCACTGTTCGGGTCTCTGCCGGCTTACCTCTGGATGCTTGTCAGAACCGCGGCGACGTCGTACGTCGGGCTCCACCTGTTTTGGAGGATGTCCAAGCATAGCTCCCCGGTCGCGTAGACATTGGGATGGAACATCTGGCTAATAAACTTGACCGCCGGCGGCTTGTTGGGATACTGCTCCTCAAAGTGCATCACGAGCCTGAAGGTTCCATCTTCGAAAGGTGTATCTGCAGGCCCAATGATGACGGCATTCCTGGCGAGTCCCTCGAGTCAGTTTTGAGTTTCGGCGTTGATGTCGGGCCCAAACTCATGATCCTCACCATGTCATAACATTGTCGGGGACGGGAGACGCGGACACGCCAGCCGGAGGATCTGTTTGCATCCGCTGTCGAGGGCTCGTCAGTAAACGTCAATGACACGGACTGCGACAGGGTCCCGCGGCTTGCCTTGAAGTCCCGCATCAAACGACGGCGAGCTGTTGTCGACATGATGGAAAGTCGCGTCGATAAAACTGGAAGACTGTTTTTGAAATCGGAAAAGGCGCCGAGAGCGAATTCGCCTGTTCAGGGGAGTGGTTGATTATGGAAGGCGTTCTATCACACTGGTAGAGGGACTCACCCCACGCGCTCAAGTAAGGCTACCAGGGCACACGCCTAGCCTTATTTAGTTAGGCTCTAAAATACGAAAGGCAGTCGCCCAATAATCACCTGACCAGATACCTATCCCGCTCCCTAATGCATACCCCGTAGGAAACCCATGTCGTCCGCAATCAGTCAGGTACCACAGTCAGGCCCGCCTTTTTTTGGTGGCGGAAAGGTACTGAGTTGTGGCTGCTTCCATGTGTTTCGCTTCACATGTAAGATGTAAGGTAAGGTAAGATCGGTGTAAGCCACTTACAATTTCCAGGTTCTGTCAACGGGCATCTGCAGTGACGAGGTACCTACATATGCGATGGTCCCGATCCAGGAGTGGCACGTGCTAAAGTGAGCACCTACCACTACCTACCACTGCTACCAGACATCCATGAATGCCCCCCGCCAGCCATTCCGCACAATGCCGACAGTTGCCGAAGCGTGATGCACTGTCTTCGAGTGAAGGACTCTTAAACTTTCCTTCCTACCTCCTAATTATTAAAGACCTAGTTATCGTATGCGTTACCTTGCTATTTATATATCTGCCTGCTTCTGATCTAATTCTCGTATTGTCGCACTTCTCTCTCCCGGCCTCTCTCACAATGGCATTAAGCAGTCTGGGACCACTTAGACCGGCGTTCACATGTGCCAGGGTTGCTTCGCAGAGGCTACCCGGTGCCCCCGTTCGCCCGTTTTCTTCGCAGTCATGCCTTCGGAAGGAGATTCGGGATGCTTACATTCTGAGCGCCTCGAGGACACCAACAGCCAAGGTCAGTGATGAATGGATCCATGTCCCAAACTCGCACGTTACCTTGCTTACATATACTGTAGTTCAATGGCTCCTTCACGACAGTGCCAGCTCCCCAGCTCGGCGCTGTCGCCATCAAGTCTGCCCTCGAAAAGTCCAAAGTACCTGTTGATAAGATCACCGACGTATACATGGGCAATGTTCTTCAGGGCTCTGTCGGGCAGGCGCCCGCGCGACAGGCTTCCATCTTTGCCGGCCTGCCACCGAGCGTCGAAGCTATCACAATCAACAAGGTCTGCGCATCGGGGTTGAAGGCGGTGGTGTTCGCAGCGCAAAACATCCAGTTAGGCCTGGCAGAAGCCCAGGTTGCTGGCGGCATGGAGAACATGACCAGGGTGCCATATTATGTCCCGCGATCAAGCAACCTGCCGCCGTTTGGACATGTCAAGATGGAGGATGGCCTGATCAAGGATGGCCTGACGGACGTCTACGACCAATTCCACATGGGCAACTGTGCGGAGAATACCGCCAAGAACTACGAGATCACCAGAGAGATGCAGGATCAATACGCCATCCAGTCGTACCAGAGGGCACAGGCTGCCTGGAAAGCCAATGCCTTTGCGGAAGAAATCGCGCCAGTCACAGTACCCGGGAAGAAGGGAGACAAAATCATCAGCGAGGACGAGGGATACCTAGATGTCAAACTAGACAGGGTCGCTACCCTGAAACCAGCCTTTGTGCGAGACGGCACTGGCACCGTCACGGCGGCCAACTCGTCCACATTAAACGACGGGGCGAGTGCGCTCGTTCTCGGCAGCAAAGACGTCGCGCAACAGTTCGGCTCTGGGTCTAGAGTCCTCGCACGGATTTGCGGATCAGCCGACGCCGCGGTAGATCCGATCGACTTCCCAATTGCCCCCGCAAAGGCTGTTCCCCTTGCATTGGAACGGGCAGGCATCACGAAAGACCAGGTTGCAGTTTGGGAGTTCAATGAGGCCTTCGCGGCCGTTATCAAGGCCAATGAGAAAGTACGTTCTCCCTCTATTCTGTCTGAATATGTGTCGCAGTAAGTCCTGACAGCGTACCCCAGATTCTCGGCCTCGAGGGTGCTCGGGTCAACCCCCTCGGAGGTGCCATTTCCTTGGGCCACGCCCTTGGCAGCTCTGGGTCACGTATTTTGGTGACCCTTCTGCACCAGCTGAAGCCGGGAGAGTATGGTGTGGCAGCGATTTGTAACGGTGGAGGGGCAGCGACTGCAATGGTTGTTCAGAGGATCGAATCTGTGTGATTATACGCTGTTATTGCCCATTGGATATGACGTAGATTCGGAAATCAAATGCAAAGTAAGCGCGAGATTCAGAGTTGATAAGTGATAGATCGCTCTGTTAAGTGTCCACTTCTTTGTCCAAAACTCGGGGTTAGGGTTGGGCACGCATAATTAGGTTGTTACCGTTGGAGCTTCGAATAGCCAAGTACCTAGGTAGTTGTAACTTACGAAGCTCTTCTTTGCTTCATTGCTCTTATACACAAAAGCTCCACTTGCATTTGGACCGAGCATGGCAGATATTGCCTGACAATTGAGAGTCCAGGACGGGATAGTGCTGCTAGAGCGCGTTTGACACGCACCTACTTTATTCTTCGTATCTCCTCCGTCCTGGCAGGCGCGTCTCAGGAGGAAATCCTCCGCCATGGCTCTTGTGATTCAATTCTTGACAAATATCAGGCAGTTCGTCATTGCTCAGGATGAAGGAAGTCTCCGCAACTGGCTGAAAGTCGAACCTCCAGTCCCAGATATTTATCATCAGCTGACCGCAGAACTGCGGTCAGCGTTTCCTAAGGACGGCGGCGATGCACTGGAGAAGACGGTTGACAAGTGCCTCCCCGAAGAGGATGAAGTCGCCGAGGACAAGGGCTCTCCGTGGCCAGGACTCAACTCGTTCGTCAAAGAGTATCTCGAGTACTGGCGAGATGTCGACTTCAATGACCCGGCCAGACTGTACACCCAACTGAGCGACCTGCTCAAGTGAGTTGCCCCTCGTCACGTATTGTGGCCCTCCCCATTATCGCTAAACCGATCCCAGCTCGTGCGCCAACGCGCTGGCCAATCCAACTTATGGGGTTATGCTTCTGAAGACCAGCATGTCGCTGTCCGAGTCGCTGTCCAAACTGGTTATGAACCTCACCCGACAGCCTCATCTCATGGCGCAGGTCAAGAAGGTCACGACCGGCGAGGGCGAGAGGAAGTCTATCGTGGAGAGCGCTGCGGATATCATTCAGAAGATCTTCACGTCCTGCCTCTCGGACAGGTCCAGCACCAGATGGACCCAGCCGAGGGGCAAGAAGGTTGGCGTTTACATCTTCGCCAACCTTGTGCTCAAGCTGCTGTTTACGGTACGTTAGCCTGCGTCCGCGACAGCCCGGCATCGCAAAGCTTGCTCGTTATCCTGACCCTGCATATACAGTGTAAGAAGTCTCGTCTTGCAGTCCAGATGTTCACAAACATCTCCAATGTGGGTCCTGCCCTGTCTCTGTATCCGGCATCGCAGCGGGTCACCTACCTCTACTATCTCGGACGCTTCTATTTCGACTGCAACCACTTCACACGAGCGCACTCCTGCCTCGAGGAAGCCTACCGTCAATGCCCGGTCCGCTTCCAGAAACACCGCCGACTGATCGTGACGTACTGGATCCCTACCAATCTGCTCCTCGCCCGCTTCCCCTCCCAGGCCCTCCTCCAACGTCCCGAGGCTGCGCACCTGGGCCAGATCTTTCTGCCCATCTGCTCGGCGATTCGCACTGGCAACTTTATCGACTTCTATGGCGCCATGGCGACGCACCAACCCTGGCTCTGGGACAAGGGCCTCTACCTCACCCTGCTCTACCGCCTCCGGCCCCTCCTCTGGCGCTCCTTCACCCGCCGGACCTTCATGCTGACCTACACCGCGCCCACTGCCGGCGACGGCATCGGCAGCGCCGCGCGCGCCGCCCCGATCCTCGACCTCGCCGATGTCGCCACTACGGCGTCGTACGTCCAGAAGCGCCTCGAGGGCTACTACCTCGCCGCCAACCCAGCGTCGCAGCAGCCGCCGCCAGCGCCGCGCGGCCGACCCCCCCACATCAACGCCCTCTTCATGCGCGCCGTGACCAACAACAACGCCGCCGCCGCGGCGCAACAGCAGCTCGTGGCTCCCCCCGGCGGGCCCCGGCGCCTCCGGCCCTCGGAGGGCCTCGTGTGCGGCAACATGGCGGTCGACGGCGCCGCAGTCGAGGGCCTCGTGGCTCCGCTCGTCGCGGCGGGCCTGCTCAACGGCTTCGTCGCCCACTCGCAGCGCAAGTTCGCCATCGCGGGCACCAAGCAGTCGGGCGGCGACCCCGTCGCCGCCGGGTGGCCCAACCCGCACCAGACCGTCGTCCAGCGGCTCGCCGAGGCGGACGCCGACGACGGGGAGCCGGCGCCCGACGTGTGGGAGGTGCCGGCTTGGGTCAAGGGGCCGTGAGGTGGGATGGCAAGAGAAGGGAAGGGAAAGGGGGGGGATGGAGTGCGGGTGGGGAATGAGAGATGCTTCTCTCCTGTCCTTTAGGGGACATAATGATGATGAGGAGCTGTTTTTGCCATGGAAAAGTCTACGGACTGTTGCGAGTACATTCACTCAATAGTGCCAATGATACCAAGTTTCTACACGGTCACACAGAAGGAAGCCCTGGACCGCAGAGAGCGAAGGAGGAATGTCGATCCCGCGAGTTATCGCGCCACATATCAACGTACAAATGCCCATGGCAATGACTGAACGCTTTCACGTGTGACAAGACACCCGAGCTGAAACAAGATACGAGTTTGGCAACCCGTAACCAACATGGTCATATAAGACTGCGAGAGGAGCCAGTTTTTTGTTTGGGTCGAATTTGTCGACTCTAATCTTCCTTCCTAGGACCTATTTTCCTAACCCTCCGATCTCCGATCGCCGATACCGTCAATCGTCAAAAAGTACCACAGTAAACATCAGCGTCGTCTGGAAAATCATGACGTCTCATAGACATGAAAGCATAGACCCATCCCTGCCTTGAATTTGACATCGGCAGAGATGATCTGAAGACGAATAAAGCTCCAAGCCGCCACCGCCACCTGCTGAATTGTCGATCCGTTCTCCAGCGAAGCTCCAGCACTTCCTCTCCTCTCTGTCTCTCTCTTAAAGGAAAAGTTTCCAAGTAATTGCTTGGTCCGGCTCTTTTTCACGACCCAATAATCAGAACCCAAAACCACCGCGGCTGAAATAAGGCCGAAAAGCACCAATCCAAAAATCCAGCTCAAATGGGTATATCGGTAGAAGTTCCAAGAAGAAAAGGCGAGCCCAAGAAGGTTAAGTAAGTAGCATCGAAAATCCAAGAATGGAAATCGAAAAAAAAGTGGAAGCAACCGGAAGTGCGGGTCGCCAACAATAGACACTAACAAGACCACCGAGATGATCTTAGAGGGGTAAGGACGAATAGGTACAACCAGTCGAGCGGAGCGAACGCCATGGTTCAAGCGGCCGCATCGACTGGCGTGGAGGGCAAACACCGCTCGCTCGGATTGAACGTGTACTTCGAGGCGAGGGATAAATGGCACGAAATGAAGAAGGGGCCAGTAAACCGAAAGCCAGGGAGGCCGGGTAGTGGCGAGTATATGCCCTAGTACAGCGCCGCAGCTGCAACGAGAGCAACGATCAAGCCGGCAATGGCTACACCACCCTGGTCTGCGGCACCATCATTCTTGGACGTTGTGATGGCAGGGGCTGCCGGACCAGTGACACTCGACGACGGGGGCCACGTAACGGTAGGCGAAGATCTCACCGGGCTGCCTGAGCTGTGTGTCATGTTTTCGTGGAAGACACCGGGCAACACGGTCGGGAAATTCGCGCTTGACGGGAGCGCTGGAACACCCGAGGAGAACGAACTGCTCCAAGACGACGAAACCTTGGCATACGAGGGCTTCGGCTCGCTTGATGACGAAGTGGCAGGTGGAGGAGGCGATGACGAGGAGGGTGGCGACGAGGTGGTGTCCGGCTCGCCGCCCGAGCCGTCCGTGTTGAATACCACGATATTGGCGCTTTCACCCCTTGGAACCGTGACCACACAGAATTGAGCGCCGCCTACTCCCTGGGTGGAGACTGGGCTGGTCAGTCCACCAATGCCATCCGTGGATGGATCGATCGAGCAGGGGAGTCCATTGCAGCCACCACCGTTGCACTCGATCTTAACCCCAAAGCTCGGCTTCGTCCGAGACAGATCTGAACCGGTCCAGATGGGATTCCACGCGATCTTGACGAAGGTCTGCCCAGACCCATCAGTGTTGGCCCCGGCGACATACGGACTCCAGTTGCCGATAGGTTTGCTCGGATCACCCCAGACACATCCCTCAGATGACGACACTCCTGGAGGGTTGATGTAATAGCTTGGAAGTTCGTTAGCATGAGGGGTCTTCTTTTCCCTCGAGGATATGAAGCTTACTGGGCCGCTGTGCTCGCCCAATAAGACGGTCCAGGCACGGCAATGACCTCGGTGGTTGAGACATCCGTCGGGATAAGCATGGCCTCGTTCCCGGGAAGGACTGTCTGGCAGAAAGAGACGACTTTGCCGCACTTGTTCGTAGCCTGGATGGCACCTGTGCCATCGACACAGTATGGAGAATCGGGGAACGGCTTCTTGGGGACTCCCCCGTCGCAATATAGACCACCGTTCTGCGCCAGTCAGTTTGGAGCCTGCAAGCAACCAGTTCCAGGAGCACTCACCATGGATTGCGGGTAGGCATATGTCGAATTAGGCTCCCACTGCGCCATCACCTTCCCCGGCACACAAGCAAAGGGGCAGTATTTGCCCGAGTCACAAGTTTGATCTGGGCTCATTGCAAAGCCGTTGTTGTCGGCGCCGGCGATCCTAACCAAGTCTGGGTGATCTGGGAGGGAGCAGGTGGTGCGCTTCTCGACGGCCTTTGGTGCGCCAACCAGCTCCACGAAGCTCTGTCCATGGCCATGTGTGTGCTTCTTCCCAAGGCGACTGTGGGCATGGCGGTGGGAGTGAGTTGCAGCAGCCGGCTGAGCAGACAGGAAAAGCGCGGCCGCGCCGCAGGCGGCCTGTAATGTCCCCAGTTTCATCGGAGCGTGGTCGGGTTCGTCGTATCGCAGTCGTGAGCAAAAGAGGGTTCAAAGCGAGAGCCCAGTCTCGCAGTCGGACGTGTCGTCGCAAACAAGAGAATGTGTTTCCCAACGCCTGACGATTCGCAGCTTTCGAGGGATTCGATGTCGTGGGGGTGCCGCTCAGTGCGATCAAGCGAATGGACAGAAGCAGGCAAAACCAGCAGCTTCACCGAAAGGGGGCAGGAACGAGAGTGGTAAGGAGTGAATGATCACCAGCGTCGATGTTTCTCCGGTATACTGCGAAAAGAGCGCGCAGAGGCAGATAGACGAATGGATAAATGGACGAAGGAGAGGACGTGCTAGCAGGACTCGCACAGAGCACAACGAAAGAGAGCGTTGGTGGGGAAATAGGAAGGCTCCTCCTGGCCGAGAGATGATTGAGATGAGGCGCGACCCACAGTTGTTTGCGCTCGCCAGGCATTGAAGTCGTGGGCGAAGTAGGGGCCCAAGCCAGGCACCCAACCAATCAGATGCATAATCTCATCTCGGCAATTCGTCAAACGAAATGAGCACTGAGCAAATCTCGACGTTGCCAGCGAACAGATCCAAAACGACGGCTTTTAAAGTTGGCTTTATTGGAGGATAGCATGGGGGTGGGTTTGATCAATTCCGTGATGAAATTTAGAGAACGGTCCAGCACGTCCAGCACCTCATAAGCTGTCATTTTCCCCTGGCCTCCTTTTCTACGGCGCCCAGCTTGAATTGTGGCGACAGTGGTGGCACGGCAACCACGACTGGAATGACTGGATCCCTCCTAATCTGCGGAAAATTGCAACCAACACCGAAACGAAGAAGACATTTTGACAGCAGAACCAACTTCAGCGCTCATGGATCCTGACGACGGGCTGCAGTGTTAATCTTGAGATGGCACCCGGAGCCGCGTTATTGTGATTCGTGAATTCATGCCATGTTTCAGTAGCGCGAACCACTATGATCTTCCAATGTCGATCAACCGATATACCGGGTCTCTCATGCGCGCGTGTTTCTGGTTCCAGAAGAAACTTCTTAACCCCACGACGTCTCAATCTGGCGGCCTCGGCGACCTTCTTTTCTTTTTCTTTTCGTTCTCGCAAGACAACCCCCAAGGTTTCAGGGAGTGTGCCGTGCCCCTCGACCCAATGTCTCGGCCTTTTGAGAGACATGGATGATTCGAGCGAATACTATGGCCTTCGGCCAAATTCTGAAGACACTTTATCCGGAAATTCATCGAGGCTCGGCCGTGTTGCTGGTGTTGCAATTATCCTGTGTTCGTTTGCCGCACCTGTGGATTGGCTTCCCAAAATCCGAACCGCTTCAGTGAGAAGAGCTCATCAGCGGCAACTGTTATGTCGGGCCAGCTCCCGAGCGCAGGAGTTGTTCCAACAAGACAGCGTCTTTCCTGTCCGGATGTCCGGGATGGCTCTTCGCTTCGTGCGAGGGCGAAGGAATCAGATGTCGGGACGACGGAATTACCGCTCCAGGCGAGAATTATCAACTTCACGGCAGAGACCGTCCTCTTATCCTGAAATACTAGCCAACCACAGGCATCCAAGAACCGAGGGTGAAGAGTCACAGGACGCCGGGGGGTCTGTCTTTGCGCAGATCTGATTGTCCACCTCAGGACAACTCGTCAACTTAAACCAGCCATGTCAAGTCCGCCATCGATACTGACATGATGCCTTCAGAATTACTACACGATTTGCTAGCAATCTATCACCAGACCCGCCCAACTCGTTGTGTAGCACTTCCGCTAGTTCTGCCACACAAAAATTTCAGTCCCATTAGGCTTCTCGCCTCAGCAGTCAAAGCGGGCTGATTTTGAATTAATTACTGACAGATGGACATGGCGAACGAACCCCTTTGACAAGACTGCAGGACGATTCGGGCTCGCGATATACCTAACCAGTTGGCTGAGGTTGGGCGAGGTTGGACGGAAGGATGAGGACCCGGAAGGCTGGGAGTCCTCGACGGCCCAAGACGACACCCTAAGGCGGAGCGCCTGCGCCTGTTGGCAAGACAATAGGTAGGTACTGTACCTTATTAGCTTGCTGACATGTGCATTGGGGAGATGTTGCGTTTATTTTGGAGAAGAGGGTCCGTTTATTTTTAGCGCGCGGTGCTTCGCCCCAAATAGACGCCAACACCACACAACGCCAACTCTAACCAACTGTACAACGTACCTCATCGGGAAGCTGGCTTTCCGACAGGCAGTGCCATTACTACTGGACTAGAGATGTCTCAATGGATCTTAGGCAGGGACTGAGAATGGAGAATAGTTCTCGTTATAGCCTCAGCACGGTTGACCAACCGATCGCCCCATTTGAGCCATCGTCAACCTCCTACCATGGTAAGTATGGTATATAAAGCTTTATTGTCACCTCGACGATTCCAAATTTTAATCAGCATCATTGAGACATTGCGATAATACCAAGGATATTACTCTTCCCTTTCCTCTTCTCTTTTATTTCTGTGGATCTCGACCTCTTTGAGTCTCCTTGCTTCCTCTTCTACCAAGTTCCTCTCGGACCAAGTCGCGTAATCCCTCTCTTCATAATACACAGACCAGTTTATTAGCAAAGATGTATCTCACTACTACTTCTCTCGCCATGCTTGTTTACGGCGCTGCCGTTCTTGCTGCCCCTGCCGGTTCGTCTCAAAGCGGATCTGCCTCAACAATCATCCCGACGTCGACAAGGTCGTCTACCACGGCGCCAACTACGACCGGATTGAGCCTGACCCAGCAGCTCTACCTTGCTGACACGTCAGTCCGAATACACCGCATCCTCCCTCTTCGCTTTGCTAACAGTGGTCTTCAGTGCCGTCGATCGCTTTGCCCTCCTTCCCGACGACAAGCAGTTTGTCTTTGACTTCAACCAAGCCCAGAAGAATCCCGGGAAGGGCGGCGAGTTAGTTGCTGCAAACCGCAAGACATTCCCTTCGTTGGTCTCCACTGGCTCTGGCATGGCAGTGGGCCGCGTTGGACGTAAGTCTACCTCCGGCATGAGAACACCTTCCAAGCGATAACCAGCTAACGGGCCATCCATCAGCTTGCGGCATGAACACTCTCCACGTGCACCCCCGCGGGACTGAACTCCAGATCGTCGTCGAAGGCCGCCTGGTGACCGAGATGGTGCCGGAGAATGGGGTTGTCGACGGCAACGGCAAGCGCCGGGTCATCACCAACACCATCGAGAAGTTCCAGATGACGCCATTCTACCAAGGCAGCATCCACACCCAGTTCAACCCGGACTGCACCGACGTTGTATTCATCGCCGCTTTCAACTCGGAGGACTTTGGCACTGGCCAGGTCGCCGACGGGACCTTTGCCTTTTCCGACGACGTCATTGCTGCCTCTTTTGGCCAGACCATTGCCGGCGCCGACATCGACACCGTTCGTAAGGCCATCCCCGCCAGCATTGCGCTTGGTGTCGATGAGTGTCTGAAAAAGTGCGGTATTCCCAAGCGCTCGCTCTAAACGATTGACTTGATACTCGTGAGCAGCGGAACCTGGTTTGCGATAAGTGCATGGCATCATGATACACTGGGCACATATATGGGAGCATCGGGAAGGAAGCATTCTTGTTTTACAGCGTTGCATTGGGCCGGAGTTATTTTCATATTCCATGTTGTTGCCTGCATATCTTGTGGATCTGTATCATAAACAGGTTATTGAATTTGAGCATTTCTTTAACTATGACTGGTCTTGGAACATACTTAAACCCCTTTTCAATATGAAAGGGGGATTCCCTAACCTTGCCATACAAACATCATCAATCTGGCCTGCTGATATTCCTAGAGCTCAATTCTAACCCAATGGCTTGCCATAATGTACCTCCTAGAGCTCGGTAGGCGCCTGTCGTTTCTTGAGACTGTCGGGCCAAGATACTTTTTGGCAGGATTGACGAATATTGGTTCATGAACAAATACTTCAGGGAGAGATGGAGGTGACGGGAAGGCCCGTGCGACCCAGTCAGGACAAGATAGAAGGCCACATGCTGACTAAGGTACAGTCTCGGCATCCTTTGATTTTGAACTCCCTCCAGTAGGGGGCCATTTACACCTTACAGAGTCTTGTTAGTTCGCCATGCTAGGCTCTGCTCACACCTGCCTCTACATATCATTCTCCTTAAAGCGCCGTCAGTAAGCATATTGGCACAAGTGACACAATTGACATGAGAATGATGTCGTTGGGTTTGGATCCAGTGATACAAATCCACCCTCTTATCTCGGTTGTTGACGCTTGACACTCTCATCTTTCCCCAGAGTCTTTTACCCCAAATATTTTCCCCGGAGCTTATTCCTGTCCCAACTAGAGCGACAAGGGCCAATGGCGTCTATCTCAAACAGGGAATACTACACGCCCCTCCGGGTTCCTCGGAGCGACGGCAGAGGCTACGATGTGAACAACCTCGAGCTGCTCTGGAGGGAGGACGAGCGTACCAATCCGGTAGACCAGAATGGCGAACAGCCTTCGCGATGGAAGGCATCTCTCGGGGCCCACCTCAGATACCAGCTTGGAACAGGAGAGGATGGTAAGTTGCAGCTCTGTCCATACCTGTACGCCATCTGCCGCATACTGAACTAAGGCAGCGAGTCCGTACATCCTCCAGGAATTCCCTAGCGGGTACGAATTACGGATCCAGCCAAAGAAGGACAAGGTGCAGGCATACCTGTACGGTCATCCGAAGGACGTCAGGGCAAGGTATCGAACTCCGGCCGAGTTCGTACCTCATCTGTTGTGGCTGATTAGCAATTCCACTGATCGGAATGACTGTTCCTGCCAGTTTTGCGTGGACATGGCTGGGAGGGAGGTTCAGGCAGAGGCAAGAACAGGCAGAGTTGCTTTTGCCTCACCGAGCAAGGACGGTCAACGCCTATTATCTGGCTCACCTAGGCAGCAACCTCAACAGCACCCATCTGCCTCGCTGGGACAACCTCGGCCGCGCCCAGCTACCTCGCCACTACACCCTGGAATGACTGGGCGGTTCAACGTTTTCAGGATTGGCGAGATGGTGTGGTACAAACATGCGGCTTGGCGGTTGGGTGTAGTCCTTAAATTCGCCCCCAAGGCCAGCAACCCGAATCCAAGCCAGGGAGAGGAGGACTACCAGTTCCTATTGGCTCCTTTGGGCCATTCGCTCATAGCCCAGGAGATCAATCAGCAGAATCTTGTGAAGGAGGCGAGCTCCATGCGTCCGTTCCTGACCTTCAGCGTCCCCGACATCACTGTGCCGGAGCTGGCCACCAGGCGCTGGTTCACCGACGTTGACTGGCCTAAATTTCTCAGCCCGTACACCCAGGATCCCGATGCCGCAAGGCGAGTTCGCAAGCTCGAGATTATCGGCCTCGAAGCCTCAAAGATGGCTGCGCGCCAGATTAATGGTTCCTTCTCAGCCTTCAATCAACTCCCCGGGACGCCTGTCACCACTGTTCCTAACGCGCACATGACCACCGGGTACGGCGGTGTTTACCTAGGCGCTGAGATGATCCAGCTCGGTGACCCCATCCGCATTGCTGCCGGCGATACGCCTGGCGAGGCCAGCCCGACGGTGATGATCGTCCAGGAGATCGTCATCTCCGGCAGCCACCCGGGGGTACACGACTCGTTACTGTTCCGCGGGAACATCTACCAGCTCCACCTCGCCACCACCCCGCCCCAGATCGCCGCCGCCGCCAACCCCGCAGAGCTCTGCCCAGCCTGCCTCGAGGAGGTGGCCTTCCGCAACAGCCTCATAGGCGGCGGCGGCACCACGGGGGCCCCCGAGCCGAGCTCCTCCCGCTGGGTGTGGTCCCCGCTGGAGCGCGACGCCGTCCGCGGCGAGGCCGACGTCCAGGGCCGCTTCTACGTCACGCACAAGCTGATGAGGGTCATCGACCCGGCGCGCGCGGCCGCGGCGCTGCAGCAGCGCACCATCGAGGACGCCCAGGCATACCTCAACTACCGCATGCACAGCGGCACGTCAAACTACTGCGGCTGGCGCCCCGGGCGGGCTGCCACCCTCGGAGCCGCCGTCCGGACGATGCTCGTCCTGCCCGAGGGGATCGTCGAGGGTGAGGGTTCGTAGTAGCTTTGATCTTTTCGGTGATAGAAGGGTGGGGGCTTTCTTGAGGGAAGGAAGGGCGAGGGAGGGAGAGGTTTCCGCGATACTTCGGCTTCAGGGCCTTTATTTGATTATTTTATCGACCAGACTGAGCTTTGAGCATTATGATGGCATGTAACTAGACGACCAAGGACAATCCTAAAGCCAGGTAGTAGATACCTAGTCTCTCTGAAACCCCATCTATAAGCACAACCATCACGACCTATTCCTTTCTCAGCGATCACTTGCGCAAAACCCAGTGCCGTCACTTAGAGCGCGTAGTATAACCCCCAGCCTTGCCACCAGACATCCAGAAACCCGTCCTGTGGTTGACCAGCTGGGTGGGAACGAATCAAATCCACCCACAACCCGGCGTAATTAAAACACTTTGCCCAACTTCGTCACCGAGGGCAATCTAGAATATTCCAAGATATAGTGTAGAAGGAATCCGTCCCATGGTACCTGTCCCTCCGCATTCTCTGGGTAGCCGGGATAGGACGATATTGGGGGGGCCCAGGAGATAGGAAGCGCCAGATTTAGCCGGAATGCGACGACCTTCGCATGGGAAACATTGGTCAAACCTGATTTTCATTTTATCATGCTCGCCACTGGGAGCTGGCCACGCTACATAGGTCTTCCGTATGACTAGTACAAGTCGTGGGGATCCCTGGTTAACAAGCGGGAGAGAAGACGGTTGAATTCAAGCGGAAATATTCCCGGGGGGGGTGGGGGGTTTAAGGGAGATGAGACGTTGCATCAAGGGTTGCTGGAACTTGGGCTGTTGGCACTAGAATCTGGAATCTGTGGTCATGATCATGCCTGAGAAGTAAATGCGAACATGTCAATCTTAGGGTTCGTCATGCTGGTCAGACCGGTCCTGATATATTATTGAGCAATGAGAGATGAGAGGGGATGATGACACTGAATTTGGGGGGGAAATATCCGCTAGATCCTGTCCATCCATCCTCATGATTTCAATGCCACTTGGATTCCCCATCGACATGGTCTGACCCGTTTCTTTCGGAGTTGACATTATTTTACCTTCCCCTCAATTCCAGTCTGCGTCAGGTATCAACCACACTCCTCTTGTCATCGGCGACTGCGCGTTGAGGGTGGCGGTCATTCCGACCACTCCGCCCTGGCGAAGAAGTGACTGAAGAGGAGAGAGGATCGCCCAACGGGAGTTGCGAATAATGCCAATGTACCGCGAGGAAGAAGAATAGCAGCGCCAATGCGCTCGAAGAATGTGAATGCGTGTGGCGTTGGTGATGCGTTGTGCTATGCAGGAAGGACTTCATGTTCATCGTAAGCTGCCCGTCGGCCATCGAGGCCAAAAGCCTCAGGCTCCGGGGCCGCTGGCGCGGGTATGCCGAGGAAGATGTCGTGATAGGTCGTTTCATGCTCAAGACAATGGTGTAAGAAATGTATCTGTGAACGACGTCGAGAATATCCGAAAGTAAAAAAATGACACCTTTTCCACTCCTCTCTCTCTCCAATGCTGGTAATCGATCGTTCGGTGCCCCCGATCGGGGCCACAGGAATCAATGGCCTAAACACGAGGTCACTTCAGGGTAAGCTCTCCGAGCTTGGCCTGGACCGCCTTCCACACTTCGGGATCGGGTTCTGGTTCGACCTTGCGTGGTTTGAGACGCTGGCACGAATCGCACCTCTTGTGCGAGCATCGAGAGCAGTCGGCTCCTACCGCAGCGCCTTGTGGGAAAGGTGCTTTGCATTCGTGACATCCGTACCGGGCGATCGTCTTCGCTCCTAACTCGTCCCCGGGATACCCATAAGGATATTTATCCTTCTTGGCTCTACGTTGAATCAGCAGCTGCCCATCATCTTGAGAGGTAGGACATGTATATGAGAGGAACTTACGGGTCTCTGGGACAGTCGGTGCAACGGGTGTGCTGGCATCCACCACACGTCTTGTTCCCGGCGGTGAAGAGCTTCTCACACTGGCAACAGGTCCTCCTCACCCGCTGTCGTGGTTTCCTGTGGATCAAATCCTGACCTCCCCGCTTGCCTGGCCGGGTCAGGACCACCTTCTTTTCCGAGAGATCCCAGTCAGGGATGATGGGCTGGTTCTCCGCTCGCTCCTTCAGGAGCGCCGCCCTCTTCCGACGGCTCTCTTCCCTTTCGGCCTCGGTCCGCTTGGGTGGGCGTCGCTGGCATTCCTTGCAACGTGGGTGCTTGCAGCTCGGGCACTCCTTGGCGAGTCCGAAGGTATGGCCGCACTTGTGACATTCTCGGTGGACTCGCATGCGAATTGGCTTCTCGACACGCAGAGCATGGCCCTCGGCCGAGTACCACTCGCTGGGCTTGATCTCCAGGCCATAGCGTTCACCCAGCTTCTTTGCGCGTTCCTCATAGATCTGCGATCTCAGGACCTTGGTTACCGCCGCGGCGGGCGGTCCATCCTTCGCTTTGCCCGGTGCAAGCAGAGGTGCGCTGTGCCGAAAGTTAGTAGTTGCCACGAAAAGTCACATAGCCAAGCACGTTGATGTCCGCGGAACAAGAGAACCAAGTAGTGCCAGGCCATGTTAGATAGGTGTGATATGTACCTGGGTGCCAGCTCTGTTCCGACAGGGGCAGCACTGGATTGCCCTGCCTTGCTCGACAGTCGCTTCGGATCCGCCCTCTTCAACACAGTCTTCACCCTCGTCAACATCTTGCTCAGCCTCTTCTCCTTCTCTTTCGGGACCGAAGGCCCGCCTTGCGCGGGAGAACTCATGTTGGCACGACCTTGTTCTTGGTTCGATATGTTCGGCTTAATGCATCATATGCCACGACGATGAATCTCTCGACTGGATATATGCGACGGAAGCACAGGAGAATCCAGTGAACAACGATGCAAAAGCAGCTTTCCCGGGAATATTGTAGGCGATTGAGTCGACGCTGTCGATTGTGTAGGACAGGAAGTTGGGTGGGAAACCTGGAAGGGCCTTGATTTCCAGTCTATTGGTGCCAATCGATGTTCGCTCCTCCGAGGGTAGAAGCGGGCTCGGGGGGGGTGGTGTCTAAAGTCGAGGACACGGCGGTGCACAGAGTTCCACGCCGTTTATTGTCCTCGGCCGATCCGAGGTTGGGGACGAGGAAGGGAAGTAAGAAGCGGAGCCGGGTAGGTTATGGGGATGGTGTGGGAAAGACGAGAGGAGCGAGAGGAGAGAAGAAAGAGGAGTTTGGCAGCTAGCAGACTGGGAAGAGGGAGGATGCAGGACGCTAGTGGTAGCATCGACAAGACTGGTATGGTGCCAGGCGGATATGAGTGTGGGACGTGGGTCGAACACCACCCACCAAGTCCCTCTCCATTCGGTCGGTCCAATACCTAATACTTCCGTAGCGCCTGCAGAATCCCCAAAAATGTCACAGGGCCCCAGGGGCCAAGAAGAGGAGCCACAAACGTCGAGCGGGAGGCGTTACGCATGGAGTCACTATGCAGTAGCTATGTAAATTATTATATATCTTCCATCTTATTTCCATTTTCTTTCTTGTTTTACATTTGTCTCTTGTTGTTTTATCGGCTCATATATGATCCATATTTTGTGTGTTTACTCCCGGCAAATATGCAGATGCTGGACGGATACCTGTACAATACTTACACCTACCTAGCTACCCAGTCCCGAGTCTTACCACGTCGCTCCTCTGGCGGCCCATTGGCATCCCAAGAGTGGCTCATTGGCTGACCAGTACCTGGTACTTGCAAAGTAGGTTCGTTTTAGACGAACCAGTCACCTCTGCGTTGGGACTCTTGTGATTTGTGACTGCGGTCGCTGACCCGGGGCCCCTGCTACCGTTACCGTCGAAATGGGAAATCGCCCGACTCCCACCCCAGCGGGGCAATGACCCGTCACCACAGAAGGGGACGTGCACAAGACATGGCTGGTAGTGTACCGCGGTTCCCCCCGAGACTTTGGATGGCGACGACTCGAAAACGCTCCATATTTGTACGGGGCCTTGTGCCCTTGCGCTGGAGATCACAAAATTCTTGCAACCCCGCAGGTCGAAACCGCCCCCTTGGGTATCAGCAAGCGAAAGGCCTGGCCATTTTGCTTAGCACGGACAGACTACCTAAACTTGGCCTCTTCTGGGAAACGAATTTGCACTGAGGCGAATGTTTTACGGCCGTACGAGGCACGGACCAACCGCTCAAACATTGTGGTACGTGGTATTTAGCATAGTGCTGTACTTCCCTCGCACTTGTGCAGCCAGCGGCAGAGTTGCCCAGAACTGACGAGCTCAGTTGCTGATAGGTAGCACCATGGACCTGATCCCACGCCACACCCCACGCCGTAATCGCGCCGTTATATAGGGATTGTTAATGGAAACTGGGCAGATGTCAAAGTCGACTGTTCGACCAGCCTAAACAAGCAAGTGAAGCACAGTGCCAGTGCGCAACTGTGGCTCTGCATGATAGCGGGGAACAGACCGAACGTGAGCGAATGGCTGGACGAAACCCTTGGAGAGACTGCTAGCGCATAGTAGCTCGCTACCGAGAGCCCAAATCTTCAGAACAATAATTGGTCCTGGGATGTTGCGTCCCGAAATACCGGATAAAACGGGGAATGCTCCACCCCAAAGCGCACTCCCGCCTCCCGCATTTCATACCGAGCGCATCCTGGAATCTGCTGATGAGCTCCAAACCTGAAATGGGTCCTGTCATTTCATGGGTTGAGTTTACCACACTTTCGTAGTCATCTCAAACATTGATACGAGGGTTAACAGCGTCTAGTCAACCAATGCAAAAATAAAAATTCCTGCTAGTAAATCGAGACCCAGGTTCATCGTCTGAAAATCTAAACCCTGGAGGGTCACCCTGCAGTGTACACTACCCACTTTTTTGTGTGTACCCATACAAGGGGGTTGTTGAACCAAACGGATTTACAACGGGGCATGCCTGGGCAAGATGCACAACAACGCACCAAACCCCGTAAAATTGGCCAATACAAACTTATGGGCATTGTTATCATGACTCGCCAAGCCAGCGGAATGTCCGCGAGGTTGAGTTTCGGACAATATGTGCTTCAAGAGAGGACTATAATGTTAAAGACATTCAATTATTCAATTCATTGGCCCTTGATTGGGTATCCGGCATTCTCAACCCCTTCAATCCTCGTCCTGTTGCCGTATTTGTTGCATACAGAAGCTGCCCCAGAAAATCAACCTGGTTATGCGGCTTGCCCAATGACGACGAGAGCCAACACCCACATGCAATCTTGAAGCCTGGCCGCCAACAAATATTCTTGCATGGGGGGCGAGCCCGTCATGTCGGAACCAATGATACTTGAGTAATCCGCAGTACGACTGTGGCTGGCTTTATGGCGGCAATTCCGCTCTCTGTGTCACCAACCATTGCAAATCTTGCTCTTCTCTGATGAGAGACATTCCAGACAGACGCCTTCTTAGAAACGCCTTGTAATACGGCCCCAACACCTAATAAGGACGGAGTAGAGCAGCCAAGCAAGGGACTTCAGCTTCGCGCACAGGTGTTTCTCGGATAGCGGAGATTAGCAACAGCCCGAAGTTATTTACAGGAAGTGGGCCAAACCCAAGATTGGTCGAAGTGTCAGGGAAGCCACATTGGCGCAATGGCGCTGTTGTACTACAACTTACGACTCGGGTCCCCATCTCGGCTCGATTGACGTTATACTGTTGTACTGCGTAGTATCGTGCGGGCGATCTCCCTTCTTTGGGTCGAGCATGATGAAACCTCGAACCAATCTGCGGGAAGAGACGAGTTGAGAATCAGGCCATGGTAAATCATGGTACATCCCAAAAAGCGAAAGACACCCTCGCAAGTCGCAACACGTAACTCCACATGGCATGGGTACACCCCACTTCTGTGCCCATGCTACAACGTACATATCACCAAAACGAAGCTTTGGCCTTGATAAGTTTTGATGCAGACTGCACCAATTGAAGCCGGGCTGGGACCTCAACCCACTTCCCCGCCCCCTGCCTGCTTGGAGTGGGCCCGCCCCAGAGAGGAAATCCGCAATGGCGAGCGGCAAGGGTTTTCTTGGCCAAAGCCCAACGCCAGCAAATAGCGAGCCACTGGATCGTATGGGTAAAGAGTCTCCTTGCAACTTGCTGCTGCGACGTTGCAGGGCATGATCCGACTGGTACAGAATAATTAATACTGGCTACTTGTGCACAGGACGAGCGGCGACCAGTGTTCAAGATCGCCGTCCAAACTGTGACCGCGATGTTCGTTGCCGGATCGCTGCAACTTCCGGTTGCGACATGGGTTGTCTACGGGCCTTCCCGTACCGAAGCCTTGCCGTCTCCCGCCCCCCGTCAGTCTCCTTCAACTCCACTAGGCAAGGCAATATCCCCGTGTTGAGTAATCATCTGTAATCTGCCCTGTGCTCGTACCCTCGAATCATGGCATGTCGTGATGGGGGCCAAGAGCCTGGAACGAAGTTGTCAGTGACTCGTCACAATTGGCCGCTTGGTGCGTTGTCAAAGGAGGGGGACGCCCGCCGTCTGATCTCCCAGGGGGAACATCCTCGATCCAAGAAGGCTGCCTCCTGTGTGGTCACTGTGGCCACTGTGGCTCAAGGCTAAATGGTTTCTGCTATCTCCCCACTAATTTTTGACAACGCCGTTGCTAAAGATCAGCACAACTAGAATTGCGAAGAACTTGTCTGGAAGGCTTTTTTGTACACGGGGGCTTGAGAAAAAGCACGGGCACCACCTCAGACAGGTAGGTACATAGGTACCTAAGGACAACCTCGGTACCTTACCTCTTTTGGCCATCATGGCTCGTGATGTGGCACGTGCTGGAGGTGGTCTCTCTGATGCCGGGGAATCATCGGAAGAAGAGGTACCTATTCAAGGTACCTTCCATCTGGCAGCAAAATTGGCGAAAATTTCGAGGAGACGCGAAACCTCAACGAATAACACGTCACGGACAACGTACCTCATTGACTTTCATGTTCCTACACCTTACGACCTCATCCTATCTCAGCAGTAATACCTGCTTTACCTATACACTACGTTGAACCCCTCTGGCATTGGCGACCCAACTGTGCTTGTAGATTTTGCACAGTCAGAACCAGCTTCTCTCAGGTTCCCGCACCTTACTTTATGCAGCAAGAGTTGACCGAGACTTTGGATCAAGCTTCTCAGACGAACACCTCTCGGTTCTTCTCCCGCTCCTCCTCCCAATATGGCTTGCATCGCCCCCAACCAGGTGGCCTCGATGACCTCGACGACCTTGATGACCTGCCCGGTGCCAGCTCGCGAGGCCCATCTCCACGCTCTCTCCTGGTGGGCGAGAGCTCCTCCAGCGCACTCAACCCGGACCAGCTTGACGAACAACTACGCCGATTGAGTCAGGAAAGTAACAGCTCGGATGGGCAGGCTAGGCTTACCGTCGCTGGACAGCGTATCTCCGATTATGAAAGAGCCCTGAGCCCCTCGATTCCTCGACAGGCTCTAGGCTTCAAGATTATAAGACGGCAGGAATCTCCGTCTGGCGGGGTTCAGCTTACAGATTTCCCCAATGGTTAGTTAGGCATAGATCCTCTCCGTGTATTCCTCTACTAATGCCACGACCACAGAAATTCTGACCCACATCTTGTCACATCTGCATCCTGATTCCCACGGAGCTGTCGCCCTGGTCTCGAAGAAGTTCTACGCGCTAGTCACAACGCCTCACGCATGGCGTATGGCATTTTTGCGCTATTTCCCCGGGCAGAGTGCAGTAATCAGCTCGTCCAAGAAGGTTGGGCGAGAACCGTCCAGCCAGGGGGATCCCGATTTCGTGCGCTCCGAGTTCAGGTACTTCACTCGACTTACATCACTTGCATCGTGGCGTAGCGAATATCTCCTCCGCACGCGCCTGTTGCGGAGTGTTGCTCGGGGGAAGCCTGGTACAAGTTCGGGAAGCATTGGCTCTTCGTCTAAAGCAACCCAGTCCGGCAAGAGGGCCAGTGCAGTATTGACGTATAATTCAAAGCTCCCTTGGACGGTCTCAAACATTCACGCCGTATTCTCCGACGGGAAGAAACCGCCAAAGGTTGTCAGCGGTACCGCCGATCTCGGTGTGGGCACCGTAAGCGACCCGACAACCGGAAGGGTTGAGAAATGGGGTCTTGATGACCCTTTCTCTTTCGCGCAACTCGATGAGATGTTCCCACACTTGGAATCTTACGGCCTAGGGGACGGACCGGCGGCGATGCCCAATGTCATTGATGTCAGTCAGCCGTACGGAATTCTAGGTGGGGAAGGCTTCCCAGGAGGCCGGGTCCATTATCGTGCCGTGAACGAGCTGCGGGGCCGCTATCTCGGTCGGGACAGCGCCATAATCGACATGATCCCGGAGATCCCAAAAATCCCTGAGCTGTCAGAAGCCATCTGTTCAGTTTGGATAGCCAAATCATCCGCAGTTCCCTCGGTGACCCAGTCAATGGCTGGCATCATGACGGGATCGTCTCTCGGGATCGTCACAACGTACGCTATCGGGTCTGACTCGGCCGGCCCTCGTTACTCGAATGGCGATATCACAGCTCGCTGGGCGCTGAGCCCAGGTGTGCCTATCGTTGCGATCAAGGTCGACGATAATTATAGCGCGAAAAGAAGGGCACTTCGGCGAGTTTGGGCTGTCGCCCTGAACGCACTGGGAGAGGTCTTTTACCTTCGAGACCCCCCAACGCCACCGGCCAGTAGAGCGAAGGATGACGACATGACTCGAATTGCTTGGATGTCGGGTCGGTCTGTCTCTTGGGAGCTTATCGAGCCTACTCGCCGTAAAGCACGACCGGATGATTTCGACAAGAATGCCATTCGCGGCGCCTATTCGCCAAGATCCCCGTCCAATGCGATGAACTTGAGCAAGGAGCAGATCATCGCGGAAGCTCGAGAGATTGAGAAATTCCTGCGACACAAGCCTGCTCATTTCAGGAAAGTGTGTGACGGATGGGACATGCGAAGGAAACTAGAAGTGGACTTCGCTGGGGGTGACGAAGATGGTGCCGGGGAGAATATCCTCGTCATGACCTGTGGCCACGAAAAGGGCGAGCCGATTGGCATCCGCCGATACTGCAGGCATATTGTCGAAGCAGGTACTGAGGCTCTCGAGGCTCCCGAGGTTCCGGAGAGCCCCGAGACTCATATACCTATTCCGCATCCTGGCCCACAGGGATCGTCGATATTTGGCGGTCCTCAATGTCCCGAAGTTGCGAGTTTTCCTGCAAAGCGCGGGTTCAAGCGTTCGCGGGCTCCCCGTCCGCCTATCGTCTATGGCATCCCCGATACAACATCAACCGTTGACGTAGTGCAAGATTGGCGTATCACGACTTTTGTCATGAAGCACGACGCCAATGCGGAGATCACAGCGAGTGGCCTAGATCTGACCACCTTTGCCCTGATGGCCCCCTTTGAAGATCCCCTACAGATGAGTCCGCCAGGAATGACCCAAAACGGTGCAGGTACTCCCACCACGGCAAACTCGAGTGGGGAAATTCCTGGAAGGCGCTCGCGACTGTTTGCGGTTGGCACCAGTTGTGGGCTCGTCTCCGTTTGGAATCTCCGAATCAGCGAGAAATTGCACGACGTACAGCCGTTGAGGACCATTCAGACCGAATCCCCTCAAATATCCTGCCTCGCCTTGTCAGCCTTATACGTGGTCCACGGCGGTAGTGATGGCATGGTCCAGATCTGGGATCCGCTGGCGTCCACCATGGAGCCCATAAGAACTCTCAGTTCCCGGTCTTCCGGTCGCGTACCTCGCCATATCATCAACGCAAACCCGGCTTTGAGGCACGCCAATTGCTCCGCCGTGGGCGCCATCTTCCTGGACCCTAGTCCAACCGTGTTGAGGGGTGTTCTCTCGTTCGGAACCTTCCTGCGCTACTGGACTTACAGCTCCACGAATCCGCACCCGGGTCACAAACGGCGGCTCCGACATTCCGACATTCATGGCCGACTCGCCACACGTCGTCACGGTGGTGCCGTCTCGAACTACATCGCCGCCGAGGCAGCAGAACTGCGCCGCGAGCAGGAACATCGGATCCGAGAACAAGCCCGGCTTCGGAGCCGGTTTGGAGTCGGTCTTAACGACTTGACTGAAGAGGAGGCGATAAGATATGCCGAGATGGTCTCGCAAGAATCATTTATGCTTGACGAGCACCGTCGCCTTAGCGCCAGTGACACAGGCTCGGCAGCGGACATGGGTGAGACCGCCTCGTCTACAGGCAGTAGTATGTCGACTGATACCGTCACTTCCGAACCAAGCGTTTCAGGCCTCAGTCCGCCAACGCCAAGTCTCCCAGTTCTCCAGGAGGAGACAGACGACGATTACGAGGCTCAAATTCAGAGAGCCATTCGTCTGTCCCTCATGGAGGGCGTGAATGACATGGGACAATCCCCTCGCGGGAATAGCCCGGCCGAGTTTGATATCCAAATCAAGGTCAAGGATAAGAAGAAGGGCAAGAGATCCTCGTCGGCCTCGCCGTCTGAGAGTCAGGCTCATACTCCCATGGTCCAATTCGGCGAGCCAAGCGGATACCTGGGAGCAGCGTCCTCCAGCCCTGGGTTTGACCCGGACGAAGACCTCGAGCTCGCTATACGCTTGAGTTTGGAAGAGGAAGAGACTAGGCAGGCCAGGGCAAATGAGCGAGCTGCTAAGGGTGAGGAATTCCCGCCGTTGATGAGGGTAGGGAAAGGCAAGGGGAAGGCGAGAGAGGAATGAGGAACGCAGTTCAGATGGGCGAGCAGTGGATTTGGCACTCTTTTTGATTTCGATACTATCTATGGCTTCTCTGCGGTTCGATTCTGCGGCCCGGTTTATGGGTTTAATTTGTTTGCTGTGCTGCAGGACTTGTTTGCCTGACAGACATTCATTATTATTGCTTGAATCTGGGTAGAGATAATACTAAACCTACCTACCCTGACCTTCCGTACCGTCTCTTAACACTGCCCTTGGGCCTTGGATTAGCCGATCTGCTCCTAGCTGGCTCCGGGAAACGTTTGGTCTTGGGAACTGTGGGCCCCAACCCTCTTTCTATAAGGCGGAGCATGTATGCACTGTACCTATGTTCCTGTCCCCTCACGACCTGGAACTGTCACTCGAAAAGATGCAATGATCAAAGGCACAGTACATTCCTGGTTAGCTGGCGTTGAGAACTGACCCCATTCAGATATCGGGGGAGGAGACCCCGGGAAGAGAGATTCTTGATTAGATCACATGCCACCTCTCCTGTCTTACCGTGGAATGGCTCATGTCTCAGTCCGTAGTCTCAGGTCGGGATGTTGCGGGGCGAGGCCGTCATTTGCGAAAATGGCTGGCTGTCCTACCTATTCACCCATGCCTTGGGGAATGGAAGGACCCTTTCTCATCAATCTTACTACCAGATGCGAGCCGTGCAACTACCTGCTGCTAACAACTTAAGTTGCCAGACCAATGCACGTCCTTGATTCTCGACACGCCCGTTCCAGTAAACCGCAATAGCGGAGAAAACCGGCCATGCAGACCGCCTAAATGAAAAGAAAAAGAAAAACCAGGTCGCGAGACGAACGCGGCCTGTGAAATCCCTGTCTCTTGCCACCATAATCTCTCTCACCACCAGCTACATACGGCCATACACTGACGGCACCGTCCGTGTACGTGTGTCCAGGAAAATCTTTCCTATCGATGGGGCCATGCTAATTTGCCAGAAACGCCACCAGCAGGATAAGATCGGTCTCCTCCTTGCATCATCAGCCAGGCTTGGCGAGCGGGGGGCACCCAAACGAAAAAGAAAAAGGAAAGCAAAGCGAAAACGAAAAGAAATTGGCCGGCACTCAATGCCGTGATGTGTGGGGGCGCTGATTCTTTGTGGCGCCCAGGGTCCCCAGACTCCAGAGGGAGGGAGGAAGGGAGCAGGGCTGAAAAAATAAATCCAAGCGTACCTTAGGTAAGGTAGTGGACGCCACGAGGAAACGGTACGGTAGGCTGGACAGCCCCTTGGACAGCTCCGAAACATAGGGTGGTCATGGCGGGGCTTGTTTGCCTTTTGGATCTAGCTGTTGAGATTGGGAAGAGATGTTTGAGACATGGAACCAGAACTCTTCCTCCCCCTAATCTTATTCACCGGTAAGACATTATTGCTCGGTGAGCCGTTTTTCTCTTGGCCCACGAGACATTCCGCTCCCGAATTTCTCAGCTACCCAGTGAAGAGTGGGCCGACGCGAGACAATTGCTCTTGTCTCTGGATACTGAATAGTTTCCATAGCGAGTTAGCTACTGCATATTGACGTATGTCTGGTTTCTGTTGGTGGATCCCAAGTCACGACGCTCGTCGACAGAGGTAAGACTATGTGGTAATGAGGCATATCAAGTGCCTCGTTTTGTATTTTGGCCTAGCTATCTATCATATCCGGCCTTGACTATTATACAGGATTTTGGATCCACATGCCACTATATACTCGCCAGCCTGGCATGCAAAGGGAAAAAAAGAAAAAAAAAAAGTGTCCCACAAACCCTTCTATCATGACAGCAGAGCATCCATGGCGCCTTCGGCCTTAGACCTCGGGGTATCGTAACACATGACGGTCCCGCTGACCGAGGGGGAAAAAAGTAGAGGAAGGAAACCGCGGCTCAGGCCCGGGTTTTCTTGACGCTCTCCAGCTATTTCCAAACGGAGAGGGCGGCGGAAAAGTTTATAGACATGAAACGTTAAAAAGCCTTGGCTGAGTGAGCCCTTAGCTGGCCACCTGTCAGTCGTAAAGTAGGCACAAAACAATAAAAATCAAGCTCAAATGCCGGAACCCATGACGCCGATCGCTATGCATGACAAAAGGGACATCCAGGTCCAATCGGGCCGCAGCGACGACCCGGAATCCTTGGACGCGGTCGGCTTAGGCGTGGTCAACACGCCGGTTGCCCCCGGCGTGATGGTTATCGTCGGACCGAAGGGGTAGGATAAGCTGTAGGTCGAGACGGACACGCCACTGGGGCCGATGGTGATGGTCTCGCCGCCGACGACCGTCGTCTTGGTGTCCGCGCCAGGCCCCACGGTGTAGGTGACGCTGTTGATGACGATGACCGATGCGCCGACCTGCGTGATAGTGGCACCGCCGACGATCTCGTACTGGGTGTCAGTCATCCCCGCTGCCGGGCCGCCGAGCGTCGTGCCGTGTACGATGACTCCCGACGGCCCAATCGTGATGGTGTCATCGCCGATGACAGTCACGCTCGACGAGCCTGGGCCGAACGTTATGGTGGTGTCGTGGATGACAATGACGGACTGTCCGACCGCTGTGATGAGATCCCCCCCTGCGACAACAACCTCGGTCGACGAAGGACGAACAGAGACCGGAATTGTCTGAGTCCCCACAGCCACGCCATTCGGCCCAACGCTAATGGTCTGCCCCCTTACTATCGCCGTGGTAGGCGTAGGGCCCATCGTAAATGATGTCCCGTCAATGACCGCAACAGACGAGCTCACAACCACGGGCAGGCCGCCCATGTTGGTGCTGGTAGGGGTGGGCACAAAGACGCCTCCAGTCACCGTGGGCCGGTCAACGATGGCGCCACCGCCGATAACCTGGCTGGGATTGATGATGAAGGTTTGCCCGTCAACAACGACAGTCTGAGTCCTCGATGACGGGTTATCCGTGAAAGTGTGACTGTTGATGACCACTCCGGTCGGCTGCACAGCGATTGTGATGGGATTGGCAGCTGTCGTCTTCCCTGGATCGTGGATCGCCTGCGAATTTGGTTGTGTGATCATCTCGGGGGTGGTAATGGGCGCCCCCGGGTCGACGGCTGCCGAGTGGTCAATCTGTGCCCGGGTGCCCGGTCGGCTAATGCCGTAGTCGGGCGTATGGATGGTGGTGTAAACCACAGCAGGGTTCTTGTCCGTGGTGATGAAGATAACGGTGGGCTGCAGGGACCCGACGCCGTATTCGAGAGTCGCGGTGGCTGTCGTGTAAACCATACTAGTCGTGGTGTCGCAGGTGACGTATTTGGTGCCAGTGCCGGTCGAGCTGCAGTACGAAAAGGTGAGGCGTAATGGGGATTTCGGCTGCACGCACGGGGTAGGTGTCGCGATTTCAGGGAATGGCGGAGTGTAGTCGTCTGGGTTCCCGTACCAGGTGATTGTTTCGGTGTGGATGACCGAGTAAATGGTACGTTGTTTTCCCACCTCGGCCGGCCCACAGACAGGTAGTGTAGACCCATTCTCATCCGTCGTCATGACCTGAGTAGTGCTCGTCGTCCATGTTGGGGTTATGCTAGTCGTAAAGTTCCAGCCTATCCCCGTAGCGTTCGCGTATGGTGTCGTTATCGACGGCTGTCCATGACCCAAGTCTAGGCTTATCGAGGAGCTACGGACAGATACAGTCGTCTCCTTGGAAGTCGGCCTCTTCGGCGGGGACTTGGATGTAGATGCCACCAGTGTGGTGGGACTATGCACGGCGTCTGGGACATTCCCAGGAGCTGTTGCTATTACTGGGGGTCCGTTGCGTGCTGGGGGTCGGATCGTGTCCCCTGGGGGCGGATCGATGAGTGAGCTCGAGGTTGGTATAACGGAGCCCCTTGTGGGATCCGGGGATCGTGTTGGCGCGTTGGTGTCGGTTGTCAATGTGCCGCCCGCCCCGAACCCACCAGGATAGGGGTACTCGGACGAGGTTGAACTCTCTGGGCCGTCTAACGCAGCACCGGCCGTGGCATGGAAGCCTATCTCGGTCGAGGTAACCGGACTGTTCGCTTGGTTGCCCAGGTCGATGGACGCTGTGACGGGCGAAGCTCCCCCTGCCCCCTTCCCCGGAGAGCCTCTGGAAGGTGGTTTGGGGGAACTTGTTAGTGTCGGTAAGCTCGTGACAGTGTCGGTGGCGGGCTTGAGAACGTCGTAGATGGTATCATTCCTCGGCGACAGTTGCGGAAATACTGGCCCAAAAGATTGCGCTTCCAGCAGTTAGTTACCTAGGTAGATTCCGACCCCGAGGACAGGAACTCGACTCACCCCCTCTCGCCGTCCCGAATCCGAACACTGACAGCGCTGCAAATGAAAGCAGCGCCAGGTCTGTTGCCACCATTGTTTCCGTTCAAGTATTCCTGCCTCGGTCTTGATCCAGTTGGCTCAGCCAGTGTCCGATGGTCTAACGTCGAGGCAGCAGCCTTCTCGAAGCATTTCTCGTCAACGACGATGGACAGACGCTAGCACGACGAGAACGAGGTAACAAGTGTATGGCATCTCTTTGGTATGGCGGAGACGGGACCGAAGCAGGTTGAATTGCGAAGGATCCAGGTGTAGAGGGGTTAATATGGACATGGCGGGTTCTCATTAAGATGGGTAATTAAAGCAAGCTCCGTTTTTTTTTCTAGCAACAAACAAGCGAGTGAAACGGTCATTAAAGATCTCGTTTCGTCGACCGCACCCACAACCCTAACCCTCAATCAGATGGGGTTACGGTTAACTTACGGATGCTACCCAAGCAGGAGCAAGGCAAGGGTAGGGGGCAGGGGGTTCACGGACTCAGGTTAGTCGGTGGCTTGGCATTTGCCGCTGCCAGGAGTCAATTTGCGCAGTTGTCTATTTGACCGATTGAGCCGGGATAGAAACGGAGGACAGAGCCTACGTAGTACCACCTAAGGAGTTACGCTAGCCATGGTTTGGCCCTGAATCTTCAACGCCCTCCCTCCAAAGCCAAAAGCGCAACAAGGTGGCCCGGGACTGGAAGGGGAAAGGCTGGGGCGCGCTAGCGTAATTATTCCAATGGCTTCTTATATGGGACGACTTCATATGAGATCCGGACTGCGGGCTCACTGCCATTTCGTGCAGTAAGACAAGATCCGGGACACGGGCAGACAGAACAGGGGATCGCTGACCTTGAATAGGGGAGCTCGCCAAGCCCCTGGATCTACATCCTACACCTCGACATTTCCCCATCCCTGCCGACCGGATCGTCGCTATCTAGACACACACACCTCGTGTTGTACACTATTTCTCCCACTGCATCGGCGGCAGTTCTACTTTGGGGAAGGAGAGTGACGATCAGTGGCAGCTGGAGGATGAGTTAATGTCCACAATTCCGCAAACCAAAACACACAAAAGCAGTTTGTTTCTCCAATCTCGATTGTGGTTAACCTGCATATGTGTACTTTTTGGGAACGGAGGTAACGACTGAAAAGAGGAACTGGACGTGAATTGCCGTCGGAAGAACAACGGCCAGCGTTCCCATAAGGACGGTCACTGGGTAGGGTACGGTGCATGTCCGGGGTCAACCAAATGATTTGCATGCGACGGCGACGAGCGAGCCACAGGGGCGGGAAGGCAAGAGAGTGTGCCGTGCTTGTCTCCACTGAAAACACACGCTTTGCAACTGATGTCAGCAGTGCAGTGCAGGGATTATGCCACCCCTACTCCGCGCCCCTCCTGTCGGGCCCACAGGAAGCCAGGGAGTCAAGCCGCGTTGACAGGATTTCGATCTTCTGGCGGTCAAGCCACGCAGGGAGCTTTTGATATCAGAATATCGCGAAGGAGTGGCAGTTCCTTCGTGTACTAAGGTAAAGGTACGTATACACTAGGTACCTAGGCACCTGCCCCCTAAGCAGGTGAGTAGGTAACTTCCAAGTCGAGAATGGGTTCGGCATGCATGCTGACCTCCTTGTGCCCGAAGGCGAACCGAAGCTGAAGGGCGTGTGCCTGTCTGTACCCTACGAAGTACAAAGTATGCGTAGTACAAGGTCTGTCTCAAGGTTCAAGTGCAACCCATGGGATGGGCGATCCTGCTTGTGTATAGGTACATTGCACACGGTACACCGGTGCGTAGAAACACCCAAATTCCACTAGCGAAGGTTAGGACGGGGGGGGGGTAAGGGAACGGCTTCCGGCAATTCTCAGAGTACCGAGGTGTCGAACTGGTTGGCTCGAGTGCCACCTCCAAGATTTCGTCGTCCCTAGTATACCACATCTCGATTGCTGGGTCCGGATGGCGTTCAGGCCCAGCCCTCTCATCGCATGGGTCTCCATGTCGTTGCAACATGAGCGAACTATCCCAAAAGACTTATTTCGCATGCAACTTCTGGCGAGGACTTCACTGATGTCTCCTTTTTGTCGTTTCTTCTTTGGAAAGTTTTTTCTTCTTTTTTCTTCCGTTTTTCAGAACGAGAGCTGACATCCCCTGGTTTTTGTCATGTGCAAGCCTTCGCCCAGAGACTAGGCTTGATGTGTTCCGTTTCGGCGTGCATCTGTGGAGAAGCGATGGCTGATCAGTCCTAAACCACCTACCAGGCTGGGGTACACCGTAATCTCAGCTTCGTACCTCCCGGGATAGGTACAGTAGTACTTTTGGTTCTAGACGGATGTTCCTCGGACCTCGTGCAGGGCCCAATCAGGTTGCAATGCAAGCGAAAGCGTCGGTAAGTCGACCATGACGAGGTGGATCGATCATGATGCATCGCAGCAGGCCACATGGGGTTGGGAGTCCCTGACATTTGTCGCGCACACTAGGTGGCTTCCTTCGGGTACCTGACCACCAAGATCCGAGTTTACATGCTCGGTAAGTACAAGATCAAAGGTACATACTCACACATACCACTATAAGACCCGGCCGTTGATTCAACTCTGCCCCCCCGAATCGCATCAATCAGGGATTTAGACAACAAACCTTAAAAAAGGAACATTTGCCCCAAGGCACCAATTCGTCGGAACAACGGCGTGTGCCAGAAAAAGCAGAACAATTTGCGAGACCTCGTCATGTGGTGGCAAGGATAGTGTTCACGCGGTTCAAACGGGTGCGGAGCAAATTGAAGGTGTCGGCAAAATGACCGTCGTTGATTTATCCAGATTGGTGAAATATATTACCTGTGCCGTGTCTGGTGCATTCCCCCATCCTCCAGAGCCCAGAGTCCAAAGCCCAGAGCCCAGACGGTCCACCATCGTCAGCTTGTGTGCGGCCAGCCCGTGGGAGCAGCAGAGCATGATTGGTCGTGGAATCTGGTCGGCATGGGCAATCTATTCCACCAGCACCCAACAAGCGAGGAATGTCGAATGCCAGTGTCTGCCCCTTCGTTTTCTCCTTCCGAAGTGCCCGCGGGAATTAAGAGCAAGCAGATGCAGATGCCAGATGGGGACGCACAATGACAGGCTTCAGGTGCTGAGAACCACATAGCAGGGGAATGACGAAAACGGCAAGGATGGGCTGGCGCATGAAATGAATGAATGACCTCCTCCGCGCGACACCGGCAAACTGCAACTGAGGGTGCAACAGCAACTGCAACTGCAACTGCAACTTGCGATCGCAGCATGGCAGCACAGAGTACCGTAGCTAGAGGTATGTATGTAGTGTTGAGGCTCGCCCCTCCCCTCCCCCGGATCTGGCCCCGAGCTCGACGGTGACGATGACGATGAATGGAGAGAGATCGTGCGGATTAATCCGTAGATTCTGGGTAATTGAGTTGCCCAGCCCTTCTAATAAGTTCTAACCACCTCCTGTCTTAAGACATCGAGGCCCCTTTCGGTGACGCAGCAGTGCAATATCAGCCAGATACCACACTACTTACCTAACTTCCATCTACAGTAAGGTACAATACCTAAATTGCAGGTCGTCGGGGCCGACATTGGCCGCGCGCACTTTGTACCCATTCGTAGATAGGACTCACTCACTATGCCTCTCATCCCACCTCCCTTATCTCGCCTATTTTCCCTTGAGCCAGCACCCCCAGTTGGGTCCCCCTGCCCTTCCGTCCTTCCTCCGTTGGGGCGGGCGGCACATCTTACCGTTACAGCACCAGTGACAACCCCATTGGATAGGCGAGACAAGGTGTGGGGATTCCTGCCCACTGATCGACCTCTTCCCCCCCCCGAAAGCCACGTCGAGAGACAAGGGAGATTTGGTAGGCTCCTGTCGCTCCCCCCATCCCAATTCGCACCAGGGAGGAACGTCAATCCGTTCCCAGCTCCCAGCTCCCCGTGCCCAGTTCCCACTTACCCACTGCCCACTTGCCCACTCCCGCCACCAACTACTCGTCTGGGACGTCCACCCTCGTACCCCAATTGGATTTGACGGTGACCTCGAATTATGAGCGACCTCGCCGTCGTGCTCGCGACAGTTTTGACTCTGCCACCGAGCGCGCAGCTCATGGGACATCTCGACGCCTTCACGGATGCAGCTCTAGACCAGGCCTCTTTCTGGTGACCTCATGCGCACCCGGCCTGTCGTGGAAAGCCACCACCAAACCGGGCCAGGGCTGGGTCTTCAAAGATGCGGTTGCCCTACCTCGCGATCGCATTCCTGGCCGACATCTCGCTCTTCGCCCCTTCGCTTGTCGCTGCTGCGGAAGCCCTCTGGATCCAACCCTCAGGCAATTAGTACGTTTGGCAACGCGCCGGCGCCCTCGCTCTTGCTCCCTCCCCTCCCTCTCATCTTGCTCACATGCCCCTGCAGCTACGGCATAGATGGAACCTGGTCGTCGTTCAAGCTCGAGATTGGAGCCCCTATGCAACATGTCGAGCTCACCGTCAGCACTGCCTTGTCTGAAATATGGGTCGTTGAGACGGGCGGATGTTCAGAAAGTGAGTAACCTCGCCGACCTACCGTGACCCTCCATGTGGCGCCTATCAGCAGGCGCGCTGACCGTTTTCTCAGCGACCTTGTGCAGGGCTGCTCGGGGAGGGGTTTTCAACATCTCTGCCTCGTCAAGCTGGCATTCAATAGGGGCGTATGGCCTGGGCTTGCCGGATCTGGGAATTGGGGGTAATGGGGACTATGGCTTGGACTCGATCGTCTTGACCAACAACCTCAAGATCCAGTCAACGAGCGTTGATTCCGCTCTTGTTGCCGCCATCAACGACACGAACTATTACCAGGGCTTCATCGGCGTGGGCGTAACACAGGGCCGGTTTGGCGGGAACGTCACCACCAACCCTTTTATTCCCCAGCTCGCTCAGACCTATGGCACGATCCCGAGTCACAGCTATGGCTACACAGCCGGTGCCCACTACCGTATGTTATTTTTTTTTTTAAAAAAAAAAAAAAACCTTGAACCTCTGCTAGCCTGTCTCGGGGACAGTTTGCTGACAGTCTCTCAAGGTGATATGCCTGCTTCGCTAACACTCGGGGGCTACGACACTCTTCGGCTGGAAGAGCACGACGTCGATTTCAACCTGGATGAGTACTCACGGATCCCTTCCGTCAACCTCCGAGCAATCATCGCCACCGTAACCTCCCAGGACAAAAAGCCGGCGAGTTGGTCGTCGACATCGAGGGTATTGTCAGGCACGAACGAGTCTGTTTCTGCCATCATCGACACCACGACGCCCTACCTATGGCTTCCGCGCTCTGTTTGTGACCGTTTTGCCGAGAGTTTCAACCTTACCTGGAGTGACACTTTTGGCGTTTATCTGTTCGACCCCAAATCGGCGCAGTTCAGTGATTTCCTAAGCGGGGCATCGTCACTGTCCTTTACCTTCTCCATTTCGAGCTATGATAACGTTGACAACTATGGCAACCCCCTCCAACTACCTGGGGTCGTCAACATTACTGTCGGCTCTGCTGCATTTGCCCAACTTCTACGCTACCCATTCAAGGACGCCATTGGTTGGGACCAGTCCAGCGTCCCTTACTTCCCACTGACGCGTGCCAATGAAAGCGGCCCCTACATCATCGGGCGCGCCTTCATGCAAGAGGCGTACATGGTCATGAACTATGAAAAGACCCAATTCTCCGTCCACCAGGCCTTGTTTCCCGACACGCCCTCTTCTAATTACTCGCTGGCCACCATCGAACGGTCATCAGACAGTCCGTATCCACCTTATGTCCCCAAGCCTGGAGGGGGTGGCCTGTCCGCCGGAAAAACTGTTGGGATCGTGCTCTCTGCCTTTGCGGCTGGGAGTGTCATCGGTGTGACGCTTTGGTTCTGTTGCCGGCGTCGGCGGAGGACAACGAAGCAGCAGCCTCGTCAGGTTGACGATGACAAAGATGGCTCCGAGTCGGTCAATTCGGATCTGCCAAAGAGTCCGGTCAAGAGGATGCTGTCCATCATCATCAGGAGGAAAAAATCCAGGAAACCTGCGGTCCATGAAGTCCACGGTACCAGCGCTGGGCCGGTCGAGGTGGCTGCGGATGCGAACCACGAGGTCTTTGAGCTGCCAGTGCCGCCGGAGCCAGCTGAGTTGGATAGTAGCACTGGCGGGGGCGATGACATGACCGAGCTTGGGATCGACAGCACACATGGGTTGAGCCCGTACGAAACCGCCCGGCTGAAACTAGAAAGACAGCTGCAGGGTCCCGTGCCAACGTATACGCCGCCGTCGACTGAAAAGTCGGGCCAGGACGTCAGCCCAGTCGCCCATTACCGACCAGCTGACGACCCGTCGCCAGCATCGTCGCCAACATGCGTCAGCAGCAATTCTTTTCCCTACCCCTTACCCTCTCCCCTGACACCGCACTCGGAGTGGGCGGGCCGTCATTTCGACCTCCCGTCACCCATGACAGTCATTCCCCCTTCCCCTTTTCCAGCAACCAGGTCCGATCCTAGCCATACATACTCTCGCCAGTCGCTCCGTTCCACTTACTCGCGTCGTTCAGCACAAACAACGCCGCCTTTCCCTCCATCATCTATCAGCCGCTCTAACTCGTCCAGTGCCTCCCCGATCTCGCCAATCGGATCGCTTGGGCCGCCTTCTCCTGCTTACCAGCGCACCCCCATCGACCCGTCGCGTATCGTATGTCTCGGGCCTCTACCGGAGAATGTCCAGCTGCCACACCATCGGCCATCGATTCCCCAGCTTATAATACAGGATCGCCGAACGGCGCCTCCAGCGGCGTCATCGGTCAGTCCTTTGCAGAGCTTCTCGCCATCAGAATCACCTCCTCGTTCGGTCCATCTCCGTCGCTCCACCGAGACCCTTGGTAGCAACTACACGGTGGAAGAGGAGAGCCGGATTAGGGACGAAATAGCAAGGCACGAGAGTCTGAGGAGCCAGTCGCACGAGGGGCATTCCCCACAAAGTCCGCACAGCATGGGGCGCATCGACGCTGGATCCGAGCTTATCCATGTCCCACAATTGGCGGAGAAACGATACAGCTGGGAAGAAGATGGCCGATGACACGACGAGCGACTCGACGAGCGACGTGACTCGCGCCCCTAACCACCTTTCCGCGATAATCCAACTTATTTATGTGTTGTAATCTACACACTAGCCTGCTTGACGCAACCATTTCTTTTCTTTTTTTGTCCCCTCTTTTTTTGGGATATTATACTTGGGTTTATCATCGTCGCTATATATGTTATATATCCCCCCACACAACAGTACATACCGGCGAAGGAGTTCATCGGCTGGGTCGCGGAACCAACCAGCTAGCATCTGCTATCTTTGGGGAGCGTCTTGGGACAGGGGTCTTTTTTTTGCGGGAAGACAGGCGTTGGAGTTTGGGCATATCCGGAGCGGCTCGCACTTGTTTGTTTTCCAAAAGCGGTTCGAGGGATATATCACACAGCTGAACGATTTGGGATCTCTATAGGATACCTTGGGAAGGCACAATCCCGAGGGAGTGGTTGCCGAAACGGGGCGAGGACAGGAACAGGCCCAATGCGGTTGGAAAGGTCACCGCAACCTTGGGAGGTTGGCAGGGAGATTTAGTCTAAGTCTTTGTCGTCCCAGATTGCGACGGGAGTGGTCCAAGACTTTTTTGTAACGGGCTTAGAACCAGAGGAGATGGGGCCAAGCATTCTTGCCTTGATGTACAAAGAATAGTAAAACTGTCTGTCAGCAGCCCGAACCAACTTGGTCGGTCTGTCTCAATCAATGCTCTATGACTTTACATCATTAACCAGTTCTGGGCATTCCCTTTAGCCTTTTCTTGCGAAGACACGATCACTCAACTGTGGTACGGATAGTAGGTAGGCCGTGGTAAGTACGCGGGAAAGGAGCAATTAACCGCTCTCTTATCCAACAACTAGCACGATTACCTGGCCAGGTAGGTATCTGTCTACATACCTGCCACTCCTGGCTTACCAACCTATCGCACCCCAATTCCACTGAAGAGTCGTGAGCGTTTATCTCCACCCCCCCTCCCCCGGGGGCAACAAATCCCGAGCCCACCCCCCTCCCCCCTCCCCCCTACCATGTCTCCTGCCAGAAAGCGACCCCGGGCCAGAACTCTTCCGCCTCAGCCCTTGTCCCGACAAGCCCGCCAAGGACCAGAGAGTCGAGCAGGGCCTCCTTGACGGACAGGGGCATGAGCCCGGCGTTGCCGCACAGGCAGACCATGGCGCCGCGGCCCACGAGCGCCGCCACCTCGGCGGCGCGCCGGCGGATCTGGTGCTGCACGTAGTTCCTGCCCCTCTCGGAGGCGAGCGCCTGGACGGCGGGGGGCGCGCTCTGGCCGGGCACGGGCACAGGCACCGGCGCCGGGTCGGGGATCGGCGGCATGGCGGCGGCGGCGGTGGCTTCGTCGTCGTCGTCATCGGGCCTGACGGGGTCGCGCGAGAAGGCCGGGACGACGCGCATGTCCGGGGTGGCCTCCCACTCGTGGCGGAAGTGGAAGTCGGCGCTCTCGTTGCGGCAGCCAAAGAAGAGGACGGTGGGGGCGGGCGGGTGGGACGGTGACGACGCCGACGAGCGGGCGTGCTGGCGCTCCTGGATGAGGCTGCGGATGGGGGCTATGCCGGTGCCGGTGGCGATGGCGATCAGGGGCCGCTCGGTCGAGGGGCCGTCGCAGGCGGGACCGGAGGGGGACGTCTTGAGGCCGACGCGGAGGGTGGCGCCGTCGGCGAGGTGCTTGAGGTAGCGGGAGCAGAGGCCCTGGCGGGGCTTGCGGATGATGGTCCGGTACTCCACCATGGCGGCCAGTATCTCGACGGTCACGCGGCCGGGGTCGCCTGAAGAGTCGGCACGGAGGCTCACGCCGCCGTTGGCGATGCTGAACTCACGGCCGCGGATCACGGGGAAGAGGTCCATGGTCCTCTCGAAGGGGATTTTGAGATGAGGGAAGTCCTGCAGGAGCTCGATGATGGTGCGCCTCGGGCGCGAGGTGTAGTCGTAGAAATCCTGGAGGTTGCCCATGGCGGTGAGCTCCTGCAGCCGTTCCTTCTCCATGTCGCTCGTCGTGAAGGCCGCGAGCTCCCTGATAAAATTGCGCTTCGGTACGGAGGTGATGTCGAAGTTGTGGGTTAGCAGGTCTCGCAGCGTGGCGCCATCCCAGGTATGGACTTTGGACGCTCCGGAGAAACGAGACCGGAGGCTGTGCGGGAGGGAGTTCGGGCCAGCAGTGCGTTTGACGTATGGGACCCGTTCTAGGGGCCGGTCGGCTAATCCGTTCCAACCCATAAGGTCGATCAACTGCTGAACATCTTCGGGATAGTTCTTCGGGTAGATGACGAGAGTGGAGCCAGGGAGGAGGTTGGGGATGGCCGTTGCGTTATCCTCCTCTCTGATATGAAAAGTCAAAAGACGGACATCCTGCCAGTGGTCAGGAGGCGTGACCCTCGAGTTGGTTACGAGATGGGCCTTAAAAGTATCAGGTATTGGGAGCAAATCATCCGGGGCAGAACCTGCGTCGACTGACGTCCTCTTGCGGGTTAATGGCGGTTGGCTGGTGACATGCTCCTCTGTATTGGATGCCAACCGCAAGATGATCCTGGGAGGAAGTTGAACTTCATCTGGTATGGGCTGGACCGAGGCAGGAAGGGGATAGTCTGCCAGCAAGGCTGCTCTCAGGTCCTGGTACCAGGGGACAAAGATGCTGTCGATGCTACCAGAACATGGCGTGTTAACCAACAATTGGACGCCGCTATAGGGAGTGGTATGGCTAGAGATTGGAACAAAAGAGCGACATACCCATCATCATGCCTCTCGTCTCCCTCTCCGCCTTTGAAAAACTCGAGAGCCCCAAGTTGGCATAGCCGCCGGTGAAGCTTTCTTGCTGCCCAGTTGAATCTTTAAGATGAAACGGTCAGTCAGATGCAAGTGGCAGGCTGAAGAGAGAAGGGAGTAGTTACTTTGGATACGAGCTGTCACCGAGAGCAAATATGGTAAATCTCATCGAGCGGAGGCAATTCGGGGGCAGTTTCCTTCGTAGCAGACTCTTCCAGAGCCCCGATGCATTCTTCGGCATATCGCCCTGACCGGTAGTTGATGTGACGAAGATCACTAGAGAGAATTGCAAAATATCTTTCTGGGACACGAGTTAACTTCTTGGCTGCGAAACGCACCCTGGCCTGCAAGGTAAACCCGCCAACTGGACTGGACAGGCCAGACACGTACCAGGTTGAACCTATTCATCTCATCGACCACCGTATCAAAATGCAACCGTTCGGCCATCTTGCCGAGTTCTCCAGCAAGCTCCTCGCTATTTCCAGTCTCCGTTCCGTACAGGATAGCCATACTCCTACCAGCCATAGGATGGAAGGAGGGAGCCGATGGCTCACTCCCAATGGCTTCAGGCATTGGGGGAGCAACTTGGCGACAGCAATTCTAAACGTCCTCCCAAACAAGAAACTGTGGGAAACTTAAACCGCCGTCTAGGTCGGCCCAGTTAGTTCTCGATTCCGGAGCCTGGCGGCCGGATATTGGGAAGCGATTCGACGAGGTAACCTGCCTTGAGTTGGTGCTGGAAGTGATACGGAACGGTTGGTCAACTGAGTTGAAGTGCCACCATCCAACACCAGACTGATTGGTCGCCTGGCAGCCTTTTATGTCTCTAATTTTGGGCTCGAATCAAGCAACCAGAGGGAGCGATGCCGATGCCAGTATTGATAAGCGTGACGGTGGAGTGTGAATCTCCTGAGTATACTCTACTCATGTGGCTGAGCTTCAACGACTACCAAAGATAAATAATTTAGGAAATTGTCAGACAATGAAGATCACGAGGACAATCAACTTGCTTTGAGGGGATTACGAGGCAGCATGGCAGGCATGCCAAAGAATTGTCGCATAGGTACGGAGTGGTCATACATAATTTGGTGAAGAGCGGAAAGTTTGCCGCTTGCTAAGCCGAGATCGGGGAGGTCCGTCGGCCGCCGACGTCGGGAGTCGGAGGTGAGTCCTCCCTTCAGGCGCCGAGATGCCGTCTTGCGTGGCTTCGTCCTGATTTCTTTATATTTCTACCTACCTACCCAAGTCGACGTCCTTAAACCCAAGTCATGTCCTAGTTGACCTCCGGTAATGGAATGAAGGGGACACCGGAATGAAGAGGTAGTTGAGATTTGAGGTAAGGTGTTGCCAACTATAGCCAGCAGTTCGCACCTGCCAGACCTGGCCCGTTGCATCTACAAGTGTGGCCTCTGTCCGCACACGCACGAGGGTGGGAAGAACTGCCATTTCCGCGCATACAGTTGTAAGATTAGCAAGAAAAGTCTGCACAATGCAATCTCGGGGGTGGAATCTGACAGCCATGGGTCCCTGCCAAGGACAATTAGTGAGAAGGAAGAGGCTATTAGTATTCTTCGATGGCTCCCCTTAAAGACTGTATGCCTCGAGATATCTTCAGGAGCTCAACAGCCTCCCTTTGGCACCTATAGGCTATGTGTAAGCTACCACGCTACCACGCTACCTACTATGTATTGTGGTACACATGCAAAGAATCGAGATGCTGGACCGCAGCTAAAGCTGCCAGGGTGGCTGCGCCGTTTAGGGGTCCCACTGCGAGGCAGGTGGCTTGCCCCATCAGAATGGATTAGTTTGCCCTTTCTGGGGAAGTGCAAATGCAAGGGGCTGTTTGGGTCAGGGGTTACATGCAGTTCCGCTGGTTCGTATGTACTGTAGCTTACCGATAGCTGGCCTGGTTGCCCCAGTCTGATGTTGGCAAATACGCCATGCTGTAGTCTCCACTTGCTGCTGATTGTGCATTAACATTGAGGTAGGCGCATCCTGATGCTATTGTGACATTCCCGCATGCAGAAGTCGCATGTGAGGGTGAAGATAGACACGCAACTCTCGGCCTTCTGGAAAAGGAGAAGGTAGATGTGAAAAAGACGAAGATAGGTAGTGAAGTAAAACCTTGGCCCTAGTAGTTTATATTCACTGGCCCATTCATGATCCAGATCAAAACCTGGGCAACCACTCATCTCGGCAGGGTCTTCTTCAACCTTACATCCGTACTCTTCTTCCCGGTTCTCCCCTCCAATCCTAACGCGTTTCTTCTCATTTCTGGAACTCGTTCTAGCCTCCTCAAACCTTGTGCCTCAACTCTGCCATTTCAACCCTTCTGTTGAGCATACAGATTTCGCGTTCCTATCCTCAAAACGCTTTCTCTAAAAAAAGGAAAGCGCATCGAAATAGGTCGTTACTGCCTGACATTAACCTAAGGTGGTTGCGCCGACTTCTACCTGCCAACTGCTCCGCAAATAAATTCACCAAACTTCCTCTCACCATCAAAATCGGCAGCTCCAGAAAAGAAACTTCTGAGATCCCTGCAACAAGTCGCCACTTCCAGGTGCATTCGCCGTCAAGCCAAACCCAAACAACGAGGTACGTACCCCTGCAGGTTTCGCCAAGCCTCCTTCCTTCGCTTAATTCCCCGAAAAACCAAGCCCAAGAAAATATTTGAATTTGACCACCGCGACCAAGCCATCTCTCCTTCCCCTTCTCCTCCTATCAACAACCCATCAAAGACTGATCGCAGCAACGCTCAAGCACCGTCAAACACCCCTCCTCCAAGACCTCTAGGGCACCTAGCTACCCTTCTAACTCCCCCATCATTGTTCCAGAGTTCAATCCTGAATCGCGCCACTTGAATTTCAGCGACTCACATCCACGTCACTCCGTTCGTCACACTACTGCAAAGCCAAACCTTACTCCAGGCACCCAACCTCGACATCTCCAACAAACACCATGTCTGCTATCGTGGAGAAAGTTACCGACGCGGCGGCCAATGCCGTCAATGACGTTACCAATGCTCTGGCCAATACATCCCTCACTGGCAACACCACCGATGACAAGCCTGCTGCAGGCGACGCCGTCCTTGCCAGTGCTGCTGAAGGTCGCCGCCTCTACATCGGAAACCTTGCCTATGCGACAACTGAGGGGGAGTTGAAAGACTTCTTCAAGGGTTACCTTGTGTGAGTACCTTAACCCCCCATGCCCTTCTGTTCTTGTTCCTTTTGTCTCCCACTCTCGCAGTCCTTCCACCCACGGCGAGGATGGATGCAAGGCTGCTCCTGCCTAGCCATTCATTGTTGATGACTACCCACATGCTTGGTATCACGACGATAATATCAGACACCCCTTTCCCCCACTCCTCTGCCTAGATATCGTTGGAATATCTCACCCCGGATTTCCCCAACCGAGTATATATGTTGTTATGATACGCCAGCCACCTGCCCACATGCTAACCATAAAACCTTGGGTAGTGAGTCTGTCTCTATTCCTAAGAACCCTCGCACCGACCGCCCAGTTGGCTACGCCTTCGTCGACCTCTCGACCCCCAGCGAGGCTGAGCGCGCCATTGCTGAACTCTCGGGCAAGGAGATCCTCGAGCGCAAGGTTTCTGTCCAGCTGGCTCGCAAGCCCGAGCCGGCTGCTGATAAGGCTGAGGGTGCTAATGGCGAGGGTTCTGGTGAAGGGGCACGCCGCCGACAATCGACCCGTGGCCGTGGACGTGCCGGCCGTGGCCGAGGCGGTCGTGCCCGTGGCGCCCGCTCCGGCAGTGGCGTAAGTCAATCATGCAGCCAATATATATATATATGAATGCCTTTGCTGACTTGGGGAATAGGATGAGAAGAAGGAGGATGAGCTATCCACTGAAGCCGCTGAGGCCGGTGCTGCCGTCACTGGCGCAGCTTCAGACTCTGCCGAGGTTCAGCCCTCGAACGATGTCTCCAATGGGAACACTGCTGACAATGATAAGGCTGGCAAGAACCGTGAGCGCCGTGAGCGCCGCGAGCGTGGCCCCCCTGCCGACGGCATTCCTTCCAAGACCAAGGTCATGGTCGCAAACCTCCCTTACGACCTGACCGAGGAGAAGGTATGTCAATCTGCTCAATGTGTAACTCGAAACTTCTCGCTAACTCTCCCTTCCAGCTCAAGGAACTCTTCACCCCGTACGAGCCCTATTCCGCCAAGATCGCCCTTCGCCCGATCCCCCGCTTCATGATCAAGAAGCTCCAGGCTCGAGGTGAGCCGCGTAAGGGACGCGGCTTTGGTTTCGTCACCCTGGCTTCGGAGGAGCTCCAGCAGAAGGCCGTGGCCGAGATGAATGGGAAGGAAATCGAGGGACGCGAGATTGCCGTCAAGGTTGCCATCGACAGCCCCGGAAAGACGGATGAGGAGGCCAACGCTCCCGAGACCGCTGAGGCTGAGGCTCCTCCCGCCGCTGCCAATGACGCTGAGCAGGCCAGCGCTACTGCCGCTGCCTAAGCACTACACCGACAATTTCTACACCAGCGGTGGGATACGGATACATCCGCTATCAACACCCCTGTTCGTGAGCATTGGTCTCTAGCTGGCTTGGCCCCCTTTCTCTTTATGATCTGGCATCGATTCCACGAAATTTCTTTATGGTAGACATCCACGTTGATGGGATCAGACGCAGTGGCGGATAATTCTTCTGGGGCGCCATGGTTTTACGAGGGCTTTTTTTTTATTAAAAAAAAGGCTCATTGCTGGTAGACTTCAGGAACCATTATCTTGCGGCTTCTTGAGCACAATATCCCTTAATTTCCCTCATGACTTCAGCACTTCATCTCTCTGTCGTTGATAGCGGCCTTTTTCTCTTGCATTCTTCGGGGATGTACATTAGTGGCTCACCGGAGAAGGGGATATGGGGAAAATGGGAAAAGTTATCGAGCAGATAGGAAAAATACAAGCGATGCTTATGGGAACAAAATCCCTTCCCGAGAGAGAAGTTCTGGGCGTGAAGTTTGTCTTGTTTTACTGGGCCAAAAATGGGCAGTCTAGGTCGGTAGCTAGGTAGGTAGCCTGCATTCCGTTGACTATGAAGTACCTGTAAATATCCATTGCTGTGCCTAGCAAGGTAGGGAGGTTGCTAAGGTCATCAAGCGACACAGATTCATAGGCAAATCCTAACTATATCGGAAGGCCTCGAGCATATCCTCAAGTACGAGTCTGCATATTGCGTCATCTTCCGTGGGGCGGGAAGAACCGTCTTCCCAGACGACGGAGACATGTGCTACCGCACGCGATCCCAATGATATCCGAGCGTCACCCGCCCGGCCGGCGCCAAAAGACTCTGCTAGCAAGCTTCTTGTATTGACTAAGACTTTGGGAGGGTCGACGCTTCCAATGGACTGCGCCAGGGTGTTGTGATGTGCAGCTGTTCATGTTGGCGGCGACTTTTGCCGCCACCAGGAATATTGTCCAACATGGTTCTGGACACTCAATGCAACTGACGCTGACGGCGAGGAGGCTAATTGGGAGCGCATGGAATGGCGGGATATTGTGGGCTGTGAAACTCGCCATGGGTGATATTTACTCGCCCTTGCCATGGCATTGGCTCCGCTCCTCTCCTCCGGCCTACGGTAGGCAAGATCCAGATCTTCATAAAATGAGACAAAGCGCCGTTGACGAGAGGCACCGTTAGCAACCTGGAAGTTGTGTGAAAAACCTACGACTCGGAAGGTTAAGGTTAGGTACGCAATGGGAAGGCCAACCCCGCAGGTAGCTCGTGTATGAACCTACCTGTGCTGTGTGGTAGAGGTACCTAGATAGGTTTAGAGGGTACCTAGGTAGGTACCTAGGTACCTGTTTAAACTTTGGCGGGTCCTGGTAGCGGGAAACAGCACCTAAAAGAGTGTAATTCTGGGTGAGATACTTATGCAAAAGGCATCTATGGACAATCAAGGCAATCTCTCAGAGGAATTCAATCCGAAGTATATTTAGTGATCGTCTTACTGGCGATATCATCCGGTCGCAAGGTTGCACCGTACCGGGTACAGTTAAGGGGCCGCTCCGTTTAGCGCTGAGACGCCACGCCACGCGACCGCACAACTTGACCCTCGACTTGAACCCCCTTGATAACACCTTCAAGACTCTACGACCTGATCTACGCAACACCATACGATAACCCCGCTGCCCCACGATGGCTTCCAAAGCCATGTGGGAGGTCGACCCGGAGACGAGGTCAAAGGTATGCCTGCCAATCGCGCCACTTGTCCCAAATTGCACGCTGTACTAACTGGGGGGGTGCCTGGTCGGTGAAATCTAGCTCCTCGCGATACAGAAGGAGTCCAACAACAGCGTCTGCTGCGACTGCAACGCCCCTAGCCCCCAATGGGCCTCCCCGAAGTTTGGGATCTTCATTTGCCTTTCCTGCGCCGGCATCCATCGCGGCCTGGGAGTCCACATCTCCTTCATCCGATCCATCTCCATGGACGCCTTCAAGGCGAACGAGATTGAGCGCATGCGCCTCGGGGGGAACGAGCGCTGGAGGGACTTCTTCGAGAACCATGAGGATACCAAGATGCTGGGACTGAATTGGGACGACGCCACGATCGCCGAGAGGTACAGCGGCGAGGTTGGTGAGGAGTGGAAGGAGAGGCTCTCGGCGAAGGTCGAGGGCCGCGAATACGTCCGCGGCGAGAAAGCTCCCGCGGTTGCTTCATCGACGCCCTCGCCCGGCCCAGCCAGTGCAGCTATCCGCAGTGCGCCCCGCCCCGGCGCGGCTGGCAGCAACAGCAGCCGAACGGCTAGCCCCGCACCCGGCGGCGGGAAGGTCAGGGTTGACGACAAGTATTTTGCGCGCCTCGGCGCTGATAACGCCAACCGGTCTGCCGAGGTACCGCCCAGCCAGGGCGGAAAGTACGCCGGCTTCGGCAACACGCCCATGCCGCCGCAGGGGAGGGACAACCAGGCGTTGCCTGGGCTGGACGAGCTTCAGAAGGACCCTGTGGCGGCGTTGACTAAAGGGTTTGGCTGGTTCACGTCGACGGTCACTAAGACGGCCAAGACAGTCAACAGCGAATACATTCAGCCCACTGCAAAGCAGGTGCGTTGGTCCCTCTCAATTTACTATTGCACACTTCCCCTGGTTACTTGTAGAGCCTCTGGCTGACTGCGAGCCCATTAGATTTCCGACTCGGAATTTGCAGCCCAGGCAAAGGTTGCCGCCGGCAACGTTGCAAAGTCGGCGCAGGCCGGAGCCAAGACCGCGCAACAGGGCTTCAGCCGCTTCGTCGAAGGGCCAACTGCTGGAGGATACAGAGAAGTGCCACTAGACGAGAGCAAACAGGCATTCTGGGACGACTTCTCGAGCTTGGCAGATCAGCGGGCGCAGGAGAACAGCTCGATAGGCACCTCCGCGATGGGGAAGGGGGGCAGCACCCGTCCTGGCCCGTCGAAGAAATCACAGGATGACTGGGAGGACTGGTGAGCCCCGAGGATAAGCATTGCGATGGCATTCAAACTATATAGCGTTTGATAATAAACGACTTCGGAGAGAGTCCATGCTTTATAGGTGAAATGTTGAGTTGACCTGCAAAGTCCGAAGTAATAGGTTTAGTCTTATCATATCGTGTACCAAGTACTACATAATAAGATCCCAAAATCTTTGTCTTAGATCTAGAAAGGCTTTGTGACACCAGTTTTGGCTGTCATTATCTGAACGTGGTTTCGGCTCCAAGACCTCCGTCTTCGGGCTGCGCATGCGGTAATAAATTATTTGATGGGCGGTCAGGGTTAGGGTTCTCCATGTGACCTGGTCGTCGGCCGAGGTTGGGGCCGGTACTAGCCGATACTGCCAAAGGTTGTCCGTCATCGACAGCCAAAGCTTTCGAAACCTCTTCTCCTTGCTACCTCCAGCCCATTGTATCCACAACCGCCGCAATGTCAGCGTTACGGATCCTGGTCCCTATCAAGAGGGTAATTGACTATGCAGTAAGAAACGCCTAGAACCTCCCCCGTCTCGTCGCAATGGCTCACCGCAAATCACAGGTCAAACCCCGCGTCAACAAGGCCCAGACGGGCGTCGAGACCAACGTCAAGCACAGCATGAACCCCTTCGACGAGCTGTCGGTGGAGGAGAGCGTGCGCATCCGCGAGCGCAAGTCGGCGCCGGGGGGCGTGGAGGACATCTGCGTCGTGTCGGCGGGCCCGCCCAAGGCGCAGGACGTGCTGCGGACGGCCATGGCCATGGGCGCCGACCGGGCGATCCACGTGGAGACCAAGGAGGGCGAGGACCTGGAGCCGCTCGGGGTGGCGAAGCTGCTCCGGCAGATCGTCGGCGAGCACAAGAGCAACCTCGTCATCCTCGGCAAGCAGAGCATCGACGACGACGCTCACCAGACGGGCCAGATGCTCGCCGGCCTGCTGGGGTGGCCGCAGGCCACGCAGGCGAGCAAGGTCGAGTTCGGGGAGGGGGACATGGTCAGCGTCACGAGGGAGGTGGACGGTGGCGTCGAGACCCTCAAGGCGAAGCTGCCCCTGGTGGTCACGACGGATCTGCGGCTGAACGAGCCGCGCTATGCGAGCTTGCCGAACATCATGAAGGCCAAGAAGAAGCCGCTAGAGAAGAAGAAGCTGGCAGACTTTGGCATCTCTGCCGAGAGGAGGTTGAAGGTCCTCAAGGTCACAGGTACTGCTATATGGCTCCCCCATTGACAAAACTCGGTCTGCTGGACAAGACATGATGCTAATAGATGCGAACAGAGCCACCACCGCGGCAGGGCGGAGGGAAGGTTGAGGATGTGGATGGGCTGATCTCGAAGCTTAAGGAGCTTGGGGCGCTATAGAAGTCTCTCTACCGTGTGCTATACATGATTACGGGTTTGGGTATGGTCCGATTATGCATTAGGCAGCCGCCATTGGAATAGTCAGTCACTGCCCTAGGGTCATAGTCAAGTCGCGCACGCAAGGCTAGAAGTCGGAGCTTGAGAAGGAGGCTGTCAGTTGTCGACCTCTACAGCAGTACAGCTGCGTCACAGCTGTTCTACATCTGCTCCACCCGAGGCTGGCGAACACCTAGGGTTGACAAAGCTGGCAAAAGAAATCTACATTATGGTTGTGTCACCGCTGATGTAGCACGTAGGTCGCTAGAGGGCGAGTATTTACTGACAGTGGACAACTGAAAGTGCCCTGAACGTTGCCTCGGCAGAGTACTCCGTAGAGAACACCAATCGGGACTAAACCGAGGGATTTTTCTCCAATCCCTCGCGCCCCACCACGTCGATATCGGCGGTGGCTCGTGTGCCCCCCGGGTCTTTGGCATGGGTCTGCAACCAATAGTGACCCCGCCAATGGAAAGTTTTTGACAACTCGATGACCAAGTCCGATTTCCGTTGACTCCCTCTTCGCATCGTCTTTTTTTTACCCATCACCGATCTATCCAGTTTCGCAGCCCCAAGGAAAACACCAATTCTTCCTTTCCCAATTCAATTTTACCAATACCTTTCTCCCCCTATTCGAGTTAACTCGCTCACAGCTGCGCTTATGAAAGGGCGCCTTTCCCTTTTCACTTCGCAAGTACGTTGCTTTTCCTTTATCTTTCGTCTCGGGCGCAACCCCACTGCCCGTGTCTTTTCAGGAGCCCTCCCCTTGGCCTGATCGCCAATCACTACCGGGGCAGGCTCCAACTACATCTTGTTTTCTGTTCCCTTCAGCATTGGATATAATTGATCATGTATGGCTAATGCAGTTTACCTTAGGACTACCTCTCAGGTCCGTTTAGGTTCCATGCGAGTTGACTCACCGCCTCGTGTACTGACCAGGGGCTCCAGACCATTTGTGGAGGGCCCTATCCGCTTGAAGGTCTGATCCTAATTATAAGCCAAACTACCTTACTCGAAAACTTTTGAATACCTACAATACGATGTTCTCTACCGCCGCAACCCGCCTTTTCAAACCCGCCGCTGTCGGGGCCTCTGGCCTCCGATCCCGGCTGGCGATTCAGTCGCGCCTCGTGAGCCAAAACGTCGTGGCTGGCAGCAAGGGCAGGACGATGCCCGTCCACCGATCTCGAGCCACTGCCCCCGTCAAAAACCTTGACGCTACCTTTACCATCAGGGTTCGTCATTCCTCGCCCATTCTTCAATTTGCCCGCCTGATTTCCCATACCTAACTCCCACTATCTTCCCAGGATGGCCCTGTCTTCCACGGAACCGCCTTCGGCGCAAACTCCAACATTTCCGGAGAGGCTGTCTTCACGACGTCGCTCGTCGGATATCCCGAATCCATGACCGATCCGTCGTACCGCGGCCAGATTTTGGTCTTCACCCAGCCCTTGATTGGCAATTACGGCGTGCCCTCGAACCAGCGGGACGAGTTCAACCTCTTGAAGTACTTCGAGTCCCCTCATATCCAGTGCGCCGGTGTGGTTGTGGCAGATGTGGCCGAGAAGTACAGCCACTGGACTGCCGTGGAGAGCTTGGGGGAGTGGTGTGCTCGCGAGGGGGTTCCCGCCATATCTGGCGTTGATACGCGTGCAATTGTCACGTACCTGCGGGAGCAAGGTTCATCGCTTGCTCGGATCAGCATTGGCGATGAGTATGATGCCGACGAGGATGAGAGCTACGTCGACCCTGGCCAGATCAACCTCGTGAAGAAGGTTAGCACCAAGGCTCCCTTCTTGGTCGAGTCGCCCGGTGCCTCCTTCCACATTGCTCTGATCGACTGCGGTGTCAAGGAGAACATCCTGCGGAGCCTGGTGAACCGGGGTGCCTCGGTCACCGTTTTCCCGTACAACTACCCCATCCACAAAGTTGCCAGCAACTTCGATGGCGTCTTCATCTCCAATGGTCCTGGCGACCCGACCCACTGCCAGGAGACCGTCTATAATCTGGCTCGGCTGATGGAGACTTCGCCGGTGCCGGTCATGGGCATCTGCCTTGGCCACCAGCTACTCGCTCTGGCTCTCGGTGCTCGAACTATTAAGCTGAAGTACGGAAACCGTGCTCACAACATCCCGGCTCTGGACTTGACCACTGGCCAGTGCCACATCACCAGCCAGAATCACGGCTACGCCGTGGACGCTAGCACTCTGCCCTCTGATTACAAGGAGTACTTCATCAACCTCAACGACGGAAGCAACGAAGGTTAGTCCCCCTTCTCACAACTAAGCAGACCATTTAACCAACTTTTACATTCAGGCATGACGCACAAGACTCGTCCCATCTTCTCCACCCAGTTCCACCCAGAAGCTAAGGGTGGTCCCACGGATAGTGCTTATCTCTTTGACAAGTACATTGAGAACGTCAAGGTCTTCAAAGACAACGAGAAGGTCTACCGAGACAACCGCCCAACCCAGCTGATGCTCGACATCCTCAACAGGGAGCGTGTTGGTGTTGAGCCAACCCCCCTGGCCAGTGCCGCTTGAAATATCGCGACATTTTGGTTTACATGACTCTTCTCTTAATTTGTTGCATGTGGGCAACAGTCGCATGATGGCCTTGAAGGGTCATGACTGGCTCTTAAAAGAGGCCCTGAGGTTATCCATGGAGTTGGTTTTGCACGGGTTTTTAGGCAGCTTTGCAAATTCAGTCTTTTTTCGCTTGTTTCCCCATTATGCACATTTGGTGAGAAACTGCATTGTGATATGTGAAGGGCGCTTCATAGATTAGTCGTCCTCAGCCGTTCGATGACGTGGGCTGGACCGTCACCCGAGTGGCTAGACGTCAGTACAATACCGTATCTCTCGTGTAGTCTCCAGATGACCTCCCGGGGCTGGCTAGGCACCATTATTCGAGCTTTGCACATCCGCTGGATATCACGTATGTCAGCTCTCAACTGAGCATACCTAGGAACTTCTAGATGTCAATTGACGACTACATAAGAAAAGCCAGCTAAAGACTGCTTGTCCGATATAACTTCATCGAAGAAACCTTTTCGCCCACTTCGCCTACTGACAAATCCTCTTTTGGACAACTCCAACATTCCCAACATCAGCACTCCCCCCCCCCCACTCCTCCCTTCTTTTCCTCGCCGCCCCGCCTAATAGCACCTGGCAAGTTGACTGCGTGTTTTGATAATTCTATAAGCTTGTCGTTGAGAGTTAAGCTCACTCGAGACCGAAGGCACGAACGGGAAAAAGCAATACGAGTTTGAAAAAAGGGGTAGCTGATGAGGACACCTGCACACCTTGGCTTGTGCCAGTGGGGTTAATGGCTCCTCACTTTCCCTTGCTGGCGGGTGCATCAGAGGCCTTGATGGCGAGTTCATCAAGGGCTTTGGTGGGGGGTTCATCAGCTGTCTTGGCACCAGGCTCACCAGCGGCTTTGGCGGCCTCCTTCTTCAGTCTCTTCCTTTCCTTCTCCCTTTCCTTGGCAGCCTTCTTCGCCGCGGCTTTCTCGGCCTCGATGGCCTTCTGTCTCCGCAGTTCCTCTCCGCCGAACGCCTCGCGCCACTCGTCTATTTTCGATCCGGGGATATTGGAGAACAGAGTCTTCGGGGTTCCAAGGGCGTGCCCTGGTTTGAGGACTTCGTGGTCCCATGTGTCCGGAATGCGGACGGTGGGCTCTACCCCGAGCTGCTGGAGTATAGACACGGCGGTGCCGGGCATATAGGGAGATAGGATGTTCGCCAGCAGATAGAGTTGGTTCAAGGCCAGGCCAATGACAGCAGCACAGCGGTCGGGCTCTTCGGAGAGCAGGCGGTTGTCGAGCTTATTTTCCTGGAGCAGTTTGTTACCCAGCGAGGAGATATGGAGAACCGTTCCCAAGCCTGCTCGTAACTTGTTGGCCTCAAGCTGCGCGATATACGCTTGCAGCGACTCGTTGACCTCGGCCTTGTGATTCTCGATAAACTTGTCGGAATACTTGGTATAGTCAGGGACGGTCGCGGCCATCTTTGCATGACAAAACTTGACGACTCTCTGATTCAGGTTGCCAAGGTTCTTGAGCAGGTCGTTGTTGTTCGCATCGATAAACTCCTGCCACTTGAATTCAGAGTCACTAGTCTCGGGGCGTCGTGAGAGCAAGTAGTATCTCCAGACGTCGGGATCTATGCCAGTATCCTTGGCTGTATTGCCAAACACGCCGACTCCCTTGGACTTGCTGAACTTCCCGCCCTCATAGTTGAGATACTCTGTCGTTGACAACTTGTTTACTTGGGTCCAAGTACCTCCTGTGCCGAGCTGGGAAGCTGGGAAAATGATGGTGTGGAAACTTCAGGCCAGTCAGTAATAGCTCAAGGGCAATATCCCAGGGGCAGACACTTGTCTTGGTTTGTGGAAGCTTGATCAAAGGGGGTCAATGTCCGAGCTCGGGGGAGGGGCTACATACGGTACGTTGTCCTTGCCCATGAACTGATAGAGAGTCACGTCGTTGGGGTTCTTCCACCATTGCTCCCACTTCTTCCCTGCCAGATCGTCCCCGTCTGTGTACCCCTTCGTTATCGAGACGTATCCAATGCAGGCATCAAACCATACGTAGAACACCTTCCGCGCGTATTCTTCGTCGTTCAAGCCTTCGAGGCCCTTCGGGATCGGCACCCCCCATCGAAGATCCCGGGTAATGCCACGAGGCTCTAATCCCTTGTCGATCCAGGATTGAGTGATGGCGATGCAGTTGGAACTCCAAGCACCCTTCTTGCTAGCGGCGTGGAACCAGTCCACAATCTGGTCCTTCAGTACATCCAGTCGCAGGTATAGATGCTTTGTTCTTCGTTTCTCGGGCGTTGCGCCGTCAAGCTTGCAGTGAGGGTTCAAGAGCCAGCCGGTACCCGAAGCGGTTGGGTTCGCTCCCTCGGACTCGTGATCGGACTTTCGCTCTGGTTCGAACGCGTCGAGAAGGTTGCCGCAAGCATCGCATTGGTCCCCGCGCGCACCGCGGTCATGGCATATGCTACATTCTCCCTCGACAAAGCGGTCGGCTAGGAAAGTGGAATGGGCCGGAACAGGGCAGAAGGGCTGCGTCGTCTCTCGCTCCTCAATATATCCGTTTCGCCAGAGTCCGGAAAAGATATCCTGAACAATCTCCGTCTGTTGCGGAGTCGGTGTTCGCCCGAAGACGTCGAATTCAATTCTGAACCAGTCATAGATCCCCTTGTGAAGAGCATGATATTTGGCGCACAGCTCAGCAGGTTCTAAACCCTCCTCGAGTGCTTTGGTTTCAGTTGCAGTACCAAACTCGTCTGAACCACAGACAAACAAGGTCTGAAGCCCCCGGGCCTTACAGAAGCGCGCGAAAACGTCTGCCGAGAGTACGCTTCCGATAATGTTGCCCAGATGGGGAATCGCGTTGACGTAGGGCAAAGCGCTGGTGATGAGGATATTTCGCTTGCCAGGCAAGGGAAGGATCGGTTCGGAAGAGCCCATGATTGCGATGTTGCGTTGATATTCAGGAAGCCTTGGAAACGTGAGGGCGTGGCGGGGTAGTTACTCGGTGGTCTGTGCCTTTTTTTTCTGTCAGGCCCCTCTGCAAATGAGTCACTCATTGACCAATTGCGGAGGCAAGGCCTGGCCAGGGGTTGGGTATGGCGGGGCTCACCCACCTAGGTAGGTAGGTACCTAGGTACCTACCCCCACCAAGTACGTACCTGGAGATCTCCGTACTAAGTAATTTTGAGTAAAAGTTCTGGTGACACGCGCTTTGTGCTTTGTGTCCTTGTCCTTGGACCCTTGTTGGCTGTCGCAAGCCTTTCTCTTCTCCCACAACGCGGATAATGTGGAGGAGAATGGCATCAACGACACCGACATCCACAGCAGCCCTGACTTTCGAGTTGGTTGGGAAGTGTTCAGTAAGTATGAGCCTCTCTCGTATGCAAGCAACCCTCCTTCTCGACACGATTTTCTAACAGGGGCTTCGTTCGACACAGACTACCCGCGCTCGCGCCTCGATCCTCACCCTCCCTCATGGTCCCGTCAACCTCCCCATTTTCATGCCTGTAGCCACCCAGGCTTCGCTCAAAGGACTTACCCCTGAGCAGCTGGAGGGAACTGGCTGCCGGCTATGCTTGAACAACACCTACCATCTCGGCCTCAAGCCCGGGCAGGAGGTATTAGATGCTATTGGCGGTGCGCATAAGCTGCAGGGATGGAATCACAACATCCTGACAGATAGCGGCGGGTATATAATCCCTTAGCAAACCCGGCTGCCCTACGAGACGAGGAGAAGCCCTCGCCGAACCAGACCTCCACCACTAACCAATTTCCTCCTCCTCCAGCTTCCAGATGGTCTCGCTACTCAAGCTCGCCACCGTCACCGAAGAGGGAGTACGTTTCCTCTCCCCTCACGACGGTACTCCCATGCTCCTCAGCCCGGAGCACTCGATCAGCCTACAAAACACGATCGGCTCCGACATCATCATGCAGCTAGACGATGTCCTGGTGACGACGTCCCCGGACAAGGCGCGCATGCGCGAGGCCATGGAGCGCTCGGTCCGGTGGCTAGACCGGTGCATCGCCGCGCACGCGAACCCGACCACACAGAACCTGTTCTGCATCATCCAGGGCGGGCTAGACCTCGACCTGCGCCGCGAATGCACCGACGCCATGGTCGCCCGCAACACACCCGGCATCGCCATCGGCGGGCTGAGCGGCGGCGAGGCCAAGGACGACTACTGCCGCGTCGTCGCCGCCTGCACCGCGATGCTGCCGGACGGGAAGCCGCGCTACGTCATGGGCATCGGATATCCCGAGGACCTGGTCGTCAGCGTGGCCTTGGGGGCCGACATGTTTGACTGCGTGTGGCCCACTCGGACGGCGAGGTTTGGCAACGCGGTGACCAAGACGGGCGTGCTGAATATGAAGCAGGCCCGGTTTGCCGACGACTTTGGCCCCGTCGAGGACGGCTGCGGCTGTCCTTGCTGCAGGCCGGCCGGGGAAGAGGGCGCGCTCGGGGTAACCAGGGCCTTCATCTATCACAATGCGGCCAAGGAGACCGTTGCGGCGCACCTGTTGACTATGCACAATGTATGGTATCAGTTGAACTTGATGAAGGAGGCGAGAGAGGCAATTATTGCCGACAGATACCCGGCATTTGTGAGGGAGTTCTTCAGAAACAGACATTTGGACAAAGAGCAATACCCGGTATGGGCAGTGGATGCGCTGCGAGGCGTCGGGGTCGATCTAATACAAGATTGAAAACACATTTCATAAGCCTTTGCAAATTGTGATTTACAGATGATATTAGGGATGGAAGTCAGGGGTTAGATTGTAAAGGACGTGCGTGCTGTGCGAGTGCTCCTGATTACGAGCTACTACCCGTAAACACAGAAGCCTGAAACGGTCAAACATTATGGCAGTCTTGTTTCTTATATTAAGCCATCAATACCTCATAACCCAATATCATTTTAAGGAGAGTTGACAAATTCCCATTACCCATCACCCCATTTCAGCCCCCTCATCCATCGTCTCTCACGAAACAAGCCCTCAGGCCAGGAAGAAGAGCGACATGACGAGCGAAAGCAAGCCCGCAGCCCAGGCGACAGGGCCGCCGGCAAGCCCCCGGGGGGCGAGGTTGGGGAGGCCAGTAGGCGTATCCACGACGGTGGTGGTCCGCCGCGGCGTTGCCTCCCCGGTTTCGGAGCTGCCGCTGCCGCCGCCGCCGAACCCGCCGAACCCGCCGCGGCTGCTGCTCCCACCGCCGGGGGGGCCCACGACGTCGCCGCCGCCGGTCTGGGTAGGGGAGGAGTCGGCCGTCCTGGTAATGGAGGGCCCGGAGCCGCCGGTTCTGGGGACGTTGTCGGCGCAGAAGCCCTCGAGGCCGTGGAAATCTGTAAGGTTGGGGGTTAGAGCTGATAATTTCGATAGTGGGCTCGGGAAGGGCCGCCTTACCGGAGTAGTCTGTGGGGTCTGCAGTCTTGGCCCAGGAGGCGCATGAGGCGGCATAGTCATCGAAGGCGGTGGTGAAGGTTGGAGAGGCGCCCGCTCCATCGTAGCTACACTCCCATGTCAGCGACCTGCCAGAGCATGTGCGAGAGGAGTATCTTACCATATGCACGAGGCGATCTCCTCGGGAGCCAGGGTAGAGAAGCCTGGATTTGCCTGGGAGCAGGAGACAACGATATTGGCGAGGGAGGTGCAGGCTGGGGGTGTACTATCATCACCGCCCGAGGTCGCCGTTGTTCCTGCTCCTCCCCCTCCCCCCGTTGGGGTTGCGCCGCCACCGGCGCCACCACAGATGTCGCCTTCCCCAGCACAGAAAGTTGCGACAACACTGTTCACTACACATGGTGTTAGTAAACGGTCCGGTCAAGTCAGGAGCTGCAAGGGTCTAGATCATACAGGAATACTCTGTTGAGCTCCCGGGGTAGTTGTCCTCGATGTAATTCGCGCAGCTGCTATAGACAGGATCAAGCTCGGTGGTCGAGTAGCAACAGAGACACGCTGCCTGGGTAGCCTCAGGTGCGGCGGTGAAGTCGGGAATCGCGGAGGCGCAATAGCTAATGACATCGAAAGCGGTAGCGCATGCCAGGAGACCGGGATCGGTCGTGGTAGCGGCAGCAACGATGTTGCCAAGAGCATTGGCGGGTATGTCGACAGCCATGACGGCCCTCTGCGCCAGGAAGAGCGCAGCTACAAGTTTGTTATTCATCCTGGGCTGGACTGAAGTCTTTTCGTTGCAGGAGGGGGGGGGACCTAGAGCCGACTAATAGAGCAGTTCGAGAGACTTATAGTAAACAGGAAGCGGATGAGAGACATGGGAAAGCAGGTCCTACGGTAGCTAATAAAGTGGGAAGCTGTGGGAGGCTGGCAGGCTATCTCAGCGGTCCTCCTCTTGAGCCTCACCCATTCTGCTGGCAGCTGAATCCTCTATCAAAAGCCCCCATGCTGCCAAGACCGTTCGTTCAAACCGACTATTTGCTGGAGCCAGTCTGCGGATCCGTAAGTGAACCTTGATAAGCACGTTTTGGGCGTTAGCGCGTATGCAGCGGTTGTGACGGCAGGGTTAGCTGCATCTAGCTTGCAATATTGGTTGATGTGGCGACCGGAGGGTGACAACAGCTCCGTTCGAGCTTGCAGTCCAGGTGCTGGACAAGCTCCGTACAGACCACGTAAGAAGGACAAAGTGACATGTCATTCCCTTCTCTAGAACCCCGCCATTTAAGGGCGTCGTGAAATTGGCACACGTTATCAAAGTTTGCGAAACTGCAAGCCTTTTAAACTTGATCTTGAGCTTACTATAGTAGACGAGAACGCAGCGGCCCGGCAGCAACGGGCAGCAAACGGGGTGCGGCTGAAAGCCGAACCCCACACTAACGCGGTAGGCTGGGCTGGGCCGCCGCTAGAGTCCAGACTCTAGACGGCCTGCAGTACTCAGCCAAGGCACATTTTCCAGGTCGTGACAAAAGTGCAAATTTGCATAAGTAGGTGGCGAGGAATGATGATGGGAAACAGCCTAGCCCGCGGCCCTGGCGCTGTGGCCCATGGCGATATTCCGCAGGTTATCAACCACCATTTATTCCAGCTGACATTCTAAGGGCACCGCGCTTGAAGAGAGAAGGAGACACGAGAGACACGTTGCGCTTCTGTCATAAAGAGGCGAGTTCCGACCGAATTGGGCAATGGTCGCGAGCAACGACTGGGGACATACATAGTAGGTCGTGGTCGAGAAGCTGAAAAGCAGGTACCGGTTCCTGTCTCAAACCCAAGCTCTTCAGCTGTGGCACTCTGTTACATAAAGGTACCTACCTCGTATATCCGATAACGGCCCCGCTGTGGTGCATTACATGATACGCAATCAAATTCCAATTTCTGCGTGATGATGCCGGTCACGTGGTTTCATTGATGACCAGGAGCAAGGGACGCGACCCGGGGGCAATATCAACGCGACAGGGGGAAAAAGGGAAAATAAAAACAGATGGCAGTCGGAGACGGGCCAATCCAGGAATGATCCACCCATTCTTTCATCAAACTCCACCAATGTGCAATGCCTATATGCAACTGCCAGTGAGGCCGGCCTGAGACAAGCATCCTGCCAAACAAGCCCGTTGCGCATCCTTAGATGCGAAGCCGCTACTGCTATGGCGCCGTCTTTGCCTTCATCGCCATCTCCGCCAAAGAGGCCGGCTGGCAATAATGACAATGACCTCACCCAATCCCTGAAACAGCTCTCGCTTTCAACTTCATCCCCGGCCAGATCCCCAGCCAGATCCCCCCGGGCCTTCAAACCTACTATCGACAATCCAAGCTCACCTCGTCCAACCAGTGTTCTGCGAAGTCCCTTAAATGGCCCGTCCTCGTCAAATGGCCTACCGTCTCGCTCCGCAACCCCGACTTTACTTCGGAAAGCATCACTCAACTCACTACATTCCGCCAACGGAGTCGCCCCGCAACGGCGCGCAAGCTCGGTCAACCTCATGTCTCCGTCAGCCAGGAAGAAATCGCCCCTCCGGAGTCTGTCACCAGAGCCTCCAGAGCGGCCAGTGCCGACGGCGAGCTCAGTTGCTAGCACATATTTCAAACACGAACTTGAATCGCATCATGGCACGAATCCGACTGTGGAGACTGACACTCTTGTCATTCTCAACGATTCCTGTTACGGCCATCGATACTCGCGCCCACGCACCTCGCGAGTAGCCCTGAGCACTATTGTGGAACGGCCAGAGAGAATCAAAGCCAGCGTGCTGGGAGTTTCCGCTGCCTATGTCCGCCTGGGCGAGCGACATGCCGACGGAGCTTACCCCCCGCATCCCAGACTAGACCCAGCTTCCCTTCCCTCGATCCCCTTCCGCATACAGACTACTTCGCGTAGGCTCCCCCTGGTTTCACAGACGGTCACTAATGTACACGGAACGAAGTGGATGGAAGAGTTGAAGATTATGTGCGATTTGGCAGAGACGAGGTTGGCCACGAACGGGAAAGAGCTACAGCGACCAGACATCAGTCGTGGCCCTGACCAGGCGGCCCCGCAGAAGTTTCACGAGGGGGACCTGTACCTCTGTGCCGAGTCCCTGGATGCCTTGGAAGGCGCACTGGGAGGTGTCTGCGAAGCAGTCGACGCCGTGTTTAATGACCGAGGGCCCAGACGAGCTTTCGTAGCCATCCGACCACCAGGTCACCACTGTTCCGCGTCCTACCCATCCGGATTTTGTTGGATCAACAATGTCCACGTGGGAATTATGCATGCCATCCTGAGCCACGGACTGACCCATGCTGCTATCATTGACTTTGACTTGCACCACGGCGATGGATCACAGTCGGTCGCTTGGGACCACAATTTAAGGAGTGTGGGCCTGTCAAAGAATGCTGCGTGGTGGAAGAAGACTTCGATTGGTTATTTCAGCATCCACGACATCAATTCGTACCCGTGCGAGATGGGTGATGAGGAGAAAGTCAAGAACGCGAGCATCTGCGTCGATAATGCCCACGGGCAGACCATCTGGAATGTCCATCTGCAGCCATGGAAGACCGAAGCCGAGTTCTGGAAACTCTACGAGTCCAAGTACATCTTGCTTCTCGACAAGGCTCGCAGCTACCTGAAGACTCAAACCGAACGCCTGCGCTCCTCGGGCCTGAACTCGAAAGCTGCCATCTTCCTCTCGGCAGGGTTCGACGCGAGTGAATGGGAAGGTGCTGGGATGCAACGGCACAATGTTAATGTTCCGACAGAATTCTACGCCCGCTTCACCCGCGATGTGGTGAGGATTGCCGCCGAAGAAGGCACGAGCGTCGAAGGTCGAATTGTCAGTGTTCTTGAAGGGGGATACAGCGATCGCGCGCTCTTCTCCGGCATTTTGAGCCACATGAGCGGCCTGGCGGGTGACGATCCAGTCGTCACCAAAGATCAAGAATACAACGGTCTGGGCTATGAGATGGGACAGAAGATAGGGGCGGTGCGTGGACGAAAGGACTCATCCGCTAGCGAGCGAGGATCGCGCCCTTACGAGTCGTCATGGTGGTCTCTGACTGAGCTGGAGAGCCTCGAAGCACTCATGGCTCCTCCTCCTTCTGCAGAACCTAAGAAGCCTCGTAGGAGCATGCCGCCAACTTATTCTTCCCCAACACAGTCTTCCGCGGCTAAAAAGGTTGCAACTCCCAAAATCCGCCGAAGCGCATCGGTGCTATCGTTGAACAATGGTTCACCGTTGTCAGTATCGAGGCCGCCGACGCCACCCCCACCAGAGGTGCCTTGGACCATTGCGGCGCATGAGCTGAGCAAACTGCTCATACCAAGTGAGCGCCAAACAGATAGTTGCAAGCATGAAGATCTCTCCGCAGAGGCGACGCGAGCGCGGCGGGATCGGCAGGCAGCCCTTTCACAGTCTCTGCCCCCGGATCCCTTGCCAGCAACTACTGCAGCCCCGGCTCCTGTCCGAATGTCGTTAAGGGAGCGGAGGGCAAAGCCGAGCTTGGCCGTGGCCGAAGAAGAGGAAGAAAAGGAGCAGAAAAACAGAAGGAAGACGGTAGCAGCTTCGGGTCTCGGTACAGAAAGGGCCGCGTCTCGGGCCGGAGCTCCAATTCCTCGTAGGCAATCCAGCAGGCCCGGCCGACGCCTTAGTGCGGCTTCGACCGTCGTTCCGGACAATGCCTACCGGTTGATGCCACCTTCTACCGCCGCAAATGGGGTTTCTAGACCGGAAACTGCGCAGAGCATCAGACCCGAGTCGTCGATGAGCGTCAGAACCTCAGCCGGATCTTCACTGGCAGTTAAGAAGATGAGAACAGCCAAGCCCGCCACGAAGGACGTGATTATGTGTGGCTCGGGAATGAAGAAAAAATCGCCACCTGCGACAGAAAGCCCGGTAACTGGACCTTCAAGCCCGGCGACAGAACCCTCTAAGACCTCTAACGGCCAGTCTACAATGGCACAATCGCGTCAGTCCATGGACTCTATGGATAAGCTTGCAAATGATATGAAAAAGATCAAAATCACCCTGGTCACTAAGGAGCAGCGAGAAGCGCGGGAACGAGAGCGTGCAGAGAAGGCCAAGGCGAGGGAGCAGTCTTCAGTCAGCGCCCCGGAACAGAAGCCTGTTATCAAACTGGAAGATCCTTTTCCAGAGCAGCCGCTTACCACTCCAACGCCCACTCTTGGATCGTCCACTGCGACATCTGACTTCCTCGGTCCTGAAGTGCAGCCAAATGCACAACAATTTGCTGCTGGGCCTTTGACAGACCCAGCCATACCTGCCAAGGAGCATATTGCCGTCTGGTCCCCCCCTGCGAATTCACAGCAAATCCCACTTCCAATGAGCTCCCCCGTCAACCCAAGCCCCGTTCAGTATTCGCAACCTTCGACTCCCGATATGTTCATCCCGTATCAGCCAGAGGGACCGGCACCCGAGGCAACCCACCACCACCACCAGCAGCAGCCTCTGCAATGGCTACCACCCAACACCTCAACTCCCTTGGCAGTGCGACGGGCCGAGTTGCCCGTCTTCACTTCCACCTCGGCAATCCCTTTCGCCCCCCGCCCCGATCACGAGTCAGCCGCAACACCAGCTCCAGATAGTGGATTACCAGTGAAGAGTGACCCATTATCGATCGCTCGATCAATTTGGGATCTGCCGGAGACGCCTCAGAGGTGAGGGGATTTTGCGTGGTTCTTGTCTTTATCATTGCTTCTTTTTCTCAGGAGTCTTGGGCCTGGGTTCCGGAGTCTGTCTCCCTTTTGATTACATTTCCAGGGGCTACGCTATGCTGATATGTTGGATGGATCGTTCTGCGCCTGTCCTTTGTTGTACATCTACCATAGACGGGTGCACTGTTATACCCTTGTTTTTTTGTAGACTTGGTGCTGCCCGTGGCTTCGACCGTGTTTTGTTTTACCTCTAATGGAGCCACTGTAACGTGGGAGTCAAGAGCCCCCTGTATGTCAGGGGCCGTCTAATTTTAACACAAAGTATTCCCCTTCTAACCTGGTTCCCGTGAACAGCCAACAATGCCATCCGTCTCTATTGTCTTATGTTCAACCCTGAAATGCTTCAGTCAGACCCCAGGTTCAAGGAGGCTCGAAAATCCTGCAGGGTGACGGCCTTATCCGTCAACACCGGCTTTGAGTCTTGATCAGAGTGTGCCGACGATGGTGGCTGTCTCTCGAAAGTCCAGACCTCCTTGACGCCCAGACTCTCGAGATAGTCCAGTCCGCGGGAGTAGTTGGTTGCCACCTGGGCAATGCCATGGCTGTCATCCGAGAATGTGAACTTGCCCCCGATCCGGATCCATTCCTGAGGCCGAGGCGGTCAGCTTGGAAAACAAACAAAAGCAAAGCAAAAATAAGAGGACAAGGGGGAGAGGGGGGGGGGGGGGGGCGGAGCTTCAGCGGCCCGAGGGATAACAACCCACCTCCGCGATCTCCCTGCAAGGATACGGCTCGGCCAGCCCCTTCCTCAGCGCGCTGGTGTTGCACTCCAGCCAGCCGTCAAAGCCCCTGACGAGCTCCAGGTTCCGCACGACGCGCGCCCACACCCCGCCGCCGCGCCAGCCGCGCAGGCGCCGCGCGGGCTCGGCGCTGAAGAGGCGGACGAGGTCGAAGTGGCCGACGACGCGGGGCCGCAGGGCGGCCAGCATGGCGCGCTGCTCGTCGTAGTAGGCGGCGAAGAGGCTCTCCTCGTCGCCGCCGCAGGCCGCCACGGCGGCGGCGTAGTGGGCGGCGTCGAAGTCGATGGGGTGGCCCGCGGCGTGGTGCAGCGAGCCGATGAAGTAGTCGACGTCGGCGTGGGCGGATAGCGAGGAGACTAGGGGTGCGTAGCCCGGGCGGATCCACTCGCCCTCGAAGCCGACAAGGATCGTCGCCGTGGAGGCGTATTTGTCCCGCAGGCGACGGGCTTCGAGGAGGTAGGCCTCGTGGCGGGGCATGAGGGCCGCGAGGGAGGCTTCTGGGTCGTCGAGCTAGGTTGTTGGGTTAGCTTCATGGTCTTTTCTCTTGGCCATCTTGCACTGAGAGCCGAACGAAGGTGATGGCGCGGTGAGACGGAAATGGTGATGAGCGGGAACTCACCTCTTCCGGGTACAGATCTGACAACTCGGTCCGGGGCATGTGCTCGGTGAGGCCAATGGTTTTAAGGCCGATGCTGATTGCGTGCTTGACTATATCCTCCAGTTGGTCTTTGGCGTGGCCAGGGCAGAATTGGCCCGAATGTGAGTGCATTGTGAAGGCCATTGTGAAGGTCGTGGAGATAGCAATCTGTCTCTCACTTGGATATGAATATTCATTGAGACAAACGTCTTTTTGGCTCAGCTATCCCAACAGAACGGGCGCAGAACGTGCCATAAGAATGCCAACTTTTTCAAGATGTCCGCGAATTTTGGTGTTGCTTTTTTATCCCGGTTTGGCCACCAAAAAAATCAGAATTACTTTATCGGCCTGTCCACCTCAACAGGCCAAGGTTTGCGGCCATCTTCCCGTCTTCACCTTACCTGACCGCTTTTTATGGGGCGAAAGAAATAGTAGGAAGTAGAATCGATTTACCAAGTACGCCGTGAGGTATAAGCCGAGGATCAAAAGAGGGGTTTAACTACCTAGATGGGGAGGAACTGTCTTAAAAGACTTGGCTCGGCGCCTCTGCAATATTTAGCATGTTGTCGGGAAACTGAAACTGGGCTGACTCTTTCCCCCCAAAAGACAAAACCCAGGGCGACAGACACACAAGGATGGCCCACTCGTTCCACGTCAAGCTCGGCCAGAGCCACCTGAAATGGTCGCAGACGGTCCCGCCGATCCTGACGGTCACCTCGGGATCGGAGGTGGAGTTCGACCTCCTCGACGGCAGCCACAACATGTTCCGGCCCGACAACGCCGCCACGGCGCTCGCCGACTTCGACTCTAGCATGGCGAACCCGGCGACGGGGCCGATCTACGTCGAGGGCGCCGAGCCCGGCGACGTGCTGAAGGTTGAGTTCCTGGACCTCGTGCCGGGCCCGTACGGCTGGACGGCCATCATCCCGGGCCTCGGCCTGCTCTCGGACGAGTTCACGGAGCCGCACCTCAAGATCTGGGACCTGTCCGACGCGGCGCTGTTGGGCGTCCCGGGCAGTCCCGCGGCGGCGGGCGGTAGGCGGGCGGTCTTCAAGCCGGGCATCTCGATCCCCGTGCGGCCGTTCCTGGGCCTCGTGGGGGTGGCGCCCGCCGTGCCGGGCGAGCTGTCGCTCATACCGCCGTACGCCGGCTCGGGCGGCAACGTCGACTGCCGCGACCTCAGCGCCGTCGGTAGCACCCTGTACCTGCCCGTCAACGTGCCGGGGGCCCTGTTCAGCTGCGGCGACGGCCACGCCGCCCAGGGCGACGGCGAGGTGTGCGGCACCGCGCTGGAGACGCCCATGCGCGCCCGCCTGCGCCTGACGGTCGAGAAGGCGGCCGCTCGGGCGGCCAAGGGCTGGGCGCTGGCCTGCCCGCACTACGTCGCACCGCCGAGGGGCCGCGCCGGCATCGAGGCCGACGTCGCCGCCGACAGGGGGGAGTACGCGGCGCTGGGCATCCACGAGGACCTCCGGGAGGCGACTCGCATGGCGCTGAGGGGCGCCATCGACTGGCTCGTGGCGGAGAAGGGGCTGACTCGCCTCGAGGCGTACATGCTCGCCTCGGTGGCGGGGAACTTGAGGATGTCTGCCGTGGTGGATATGCCCAACTATGCTATTTCCTGCGCTATCCCTCTTGGTATTTTTACCGAATAGCGTCTTTGTGGGAAGATCACTTTTGTTTATAGTTCCTATTCGTCTCCTCCTTCATGCATAGCATTGTCAGGTATATATTTACGTACGGCCTCATCATTTGCTAAAACACTCTGGCCAGGACCTTCTCCTTCCCCAGACATGGAAATTCTCGTCGCTCCTGCTGATTATCTCTTTTTGTATGGCCTCGGCCGGCAACGTTCCCGGAATCGGCGGCGGATATGGTAGCTCGTCCTCACTAACCCACCGCAATCCCGTAGAGTCATTCTGAGTCAACGCATTGCACCGAGTCCTCTCTTCAATGTGGGAAGGGAATATCGCACTTGCTGCGCCGGTTTGGATCTGGCATTCCTTCGGCTGTAGCAACTACGGTCGTCAGTACAGCTAAGTACTACGCAGCTAGACAACCGCCAAAGCTGCAGCAATGGCACTCCTGATAGGCCGAGGTATGTATAGAAGTAGTGTCACGAGATTGAAGCCTTGGAGTTTGTTCGGATGAAGAAGGCAACTCAGAAGCCATTCGAAGAATAAGCCATCACCCCTTAAAATCATTGCGAACCCAACCTGGAGAACTAGAGAGGATAAGCTCCACGTCAGCTCTACAGATCGTTCAAGTGCTTACACAACATACTGCGGTATGTAGAAAAGGGGGCGGGCTAGTATTCTCAACATTCGATACAGGTCCCTGCGAGCATGTAAACATAGAGCACATAGACCAAAACAATGCTGTGGGGATAGGAGTCATGATCTAATCGGATCGCATGCCGAACTTGAAAGTGTGTGCGCGCGATTGAGCCTGACGCGAGCCGATGCTTGTATCCGGCCCACTCTGTAGCAGCGGTCGAGCCATGTGTTCAGACGGGTAGACAAGACGAGGGCAAGGCGGCTCAAGAACGAGGGTTCGTGCTCTGTATTGAAAATGGCACCGTTGCAGGGAGTTGGTTATTCGGCTCACGCCCCTCCCCCCTTTTTCATTTTCCATCCCTAAGATCAGGCGCAACCGGCCCCCCGGCCTGCATGAGGGCAACTTGGCACTTCCCCCACGCGGGAAGAACTGCCGCAGGAGAGCAGTGGCCGCTTTATGCGAAACATGCGCGTTCGTCTGATCTGGTGGGGGTCAAGTTTCCGGAAATGCCGTCTGATAAGATCCGCCCGTTGCTCCTTCAGGAGCGGTTGCAGTGCGACGCTGGGCCAGAGAGAACCAGAGAAGACGCCAGTTCGGGACGCTATTTTACTACAAAAGCGGCCTCGTGATCCGAGGCACGGCTTGCCGAACCACATGAGCCGCCGAAGGACGTTTGGCAGCGTCTACACGTACCAGATATTGCGGATTACGCAATACTGAGTGTTGCAGACGTCACTTAAGTGAGGTGGCGATGGTTTGGAACCAGATGTCCATTCTTTTTGGCTCCAGGACTCTGTTCGGGGCAGTAGTTGGCCGTGACGGCACATTGCCCGAGTCAATGCAATGATGGGCCAGTTCAATGATACTACATTGTTAGCGAATAAGCAAGGGAGCACCCAAGGCCTTGCAAGGGTTTGCCAACAAGACAGCGACTCTGTCGCGGACTCGGACATCGTGCCCTCTCATTGTATCGACAAGGCCGTGCACAACCGACCCCAATAACCCTTCGTTGGGCCATTATCGACTCTAAGCTTGATTACCCTCATCTCTGGTCCACAGATCCGTCATGGTTGAATCAGAAGCACCGTTATCGGCTTGGAAAGTGACGAGCTGTTGAAGAAGCCGGGGTAGGCTGTTCTTTTCGGCACCCCCCTTTGGGCTCAAAAGCTTAATGAAGCAACAAGTACTTGTACACACTCGAGGTGAACCGAGATAGTCTATCCAATTTTCTTTTCGTACAATATCAAACAGAATCGCAAGTGGTGGCTGATCCCTATCAGGATCATGCCGAGTCAAGAGCCCTCTCTCTCGGTCCGGTAACCCTTTCAAAGGTGTCAAGTTCCATCTGAAGAGAGTGCCGGCCCCCAGTCATGCCGCGCAGATGATCATCATAGTGGAGTGTGTCCTTCAGCGGCACCTTAGCAACGATATCCAGCATCCTTCCGACGCCCTTTTGAGTATCCCGCAGGGACTGCACCGACTCGTAGGGATCTGGGGGGACATAGACCTTAGATAGATCTATGCCCCCGTCACTTTGTCTCTCTTCGTTGCTATCCTTGACCTCCATCACGATACCTCCTCGGGCAGACGAGATATCATGCTGGATGTTGCCACCCGCTGCTTCAGGGACGGTGATCCGGACTTTCATGAAGGGCTCTAGGAGCCCGATGGATTTCCCGGCGTGAGCCTCCTTAAGAGCATCCCGAACTGAATGGATCGCCGCGTTGACGATATGGGCGCCAGATACAGGCCCGAAAAAGTCCGTCTCGTAATCGTACGTGATGGTCACATGGCAGTTGGTGACGGCAAAGCCCCTCCGCGGACCCCGTGCGAGCGCCGCAACGGCTCCGTTGAAGAGTTGTTGACGTACGACGTCCGGTTCAAACCGCAGAGCCTCCCCGTTACTTGGTAGAGGGATTAAAATTTGAATGATATTACCGTCCCTTTCGATGCCCGACTCGAGGAGAGCCTCGCGCTTATGAGCCTCTATCGGCGCTAGTGTGGCCGAACACGCGGCTTTGCCGGGCTTGTTCGCAACAGTCCGTTCGTACTCGACCCGGTGCGGTCCGATAGGCGAGAGTATGCACTCCTTATAATCAACAGCGATCTCTCCAAACTCTGCCACGACCTTGTAGTGGTTCTTGAGACGATCTTGGGCAATCTCGAGGTGCAACTTCCCCATTCCGGAGAGGATGAACTGGTCGGCCTTCTCGTCCTTGGTCCACCTCAAGCTCGGATCCTCTCGGGATATGTTTGCGAGAGCGATTTCAAGATTCTTCGTTTCCGTCAATGAATAGGTCTCCATTGAGACAAATGCGACGGCCGGGGGGATCTCGGGCGGTCGGATCTGGAGACCCCTTAGCGCTTCCGGAGCCTTATGACTTGGGAAAGTCATCAAGGTATCCCCGGTTCTCGCATTCTTCAGCCCTGTCAAGGCGCCAATGTATCCGGTCGGCAGGTGGGCAATGTCCAGAGATTTGTCGGCGGCAATTTGGAGCATGTTGAGAGGCTTCTCGAACTGGTGCATATTGGTGTTCCACATGGCATCTTTCTTGTTCAGGTTGCCGTGGTAAACGCGTACGTAACTGAGCATCCCTCGCTTGGGGTCATGCACGACCTTGAACACCGAGGCGAGGGCCCCCAAGGGCTGTTGTTTATGATGATTGGGTTTCGATTTTTTCGAAGCTGACTCGATTGCGTCGGAGATGGAGAGCCTTTCGGGGCCGGAACGGACTTGTACCTCTGGTCTCTCTTGCGGGCTAGGAAGATAGTCGACAGCTGCATCCAAGAGAGGCTGAACACCCATGTTTCGAAGACTCGCGCCGGCGACTATTGGCACGACTGTCCCGTTCCCGTCGTTAATTAAACGTCGTATGCTCTGCTTGATCGAGGCGGTGGGGACGTCCATCTCATGCTCGATAAACAGCTCCATTAGCTCGTCATCACGTTCCGATAGAGCCTCGACAAGACGAAGACGGGCTGTTTCAACCTCAGCCCAAAGATCAGGGTTTTCCTGCAAGAGCAGCTTCTTCAAGTTGGATGTCTTGGACATTGCACCCGTGGAGGACCATTTCAGGCCGACTTGGTCAATGACATCAATAACGCCAACGAAGTCCTCCTTGTTCCACCAAGGAATCTGGCATATAAGCGGCCATGCGCCGAGTTTGGACGCTACGTCGAGAACAGGTCTCTTGAATGAGGCGCCATTGCGGTCGAGTTTGTTCACGTAGATAATCCTCGGGATCTTCGACACCTGAGCAGAAGCCCAGACTCTCTCGGTGTGAGCTTCAACCCCCTTAACTGCGTCAAGGATACAGATAGCACCGTCTAGTACGGGCAGACAACGGTCAACTTCGAAACGGAAATCCTGATGGCCAGGCGTGTCGATGAGGTTGATAGTTTTGGGTTCAGTTCCGGCGGGCAACTCATGCTTCAGAGGCCAAGTGAAGGTGATGGCCGCAGACTGAATTGTAATGCCCTTCTCCCGCTCAAGGGGGAGAAAATCAGTGACCGTGTCACCATGGTCAACATCTGAGTAGGGAGGGTTAGCCCTCGGTTTCCTAGTCCCAAGAGGCTTACATTGCAATCCTACTTCCGAGATGTCGTGATGCGCCACTTTGATATAGCATCCTCTCTGTTGTAGTTGTCTTGCCAGCATCAACGTGAGCTATAATGCCAATGTTGCGGACATCGTCGATTATGGCACTTTGGCCAACAAATCTCCTGCAGCTTGGCCATTTGGGATTCAATCGAGCGTTTACAGCACGGCTGAGCAAGATAGACAGATGTTTATGCCCATAACGGCCCGCGTTGGAGGGCGCTACCGCTGTGAACATTTCCGGAGACAAGATGGTTCCGCTTTGGACCTCGCTCTCCCGGCTTCGGGCAGAAGGAGGGAAAGTAGTATAGCGGAGGAAGCAGATAAGGGGCACGCCAACACCTCTCCAGATTCCTCTGAGACCTCGCTGTTAGTCCATCAAGAGGTAATGGCGTGTTTGGCCCTTGCTGCTCCTGATAACCAATATTGACCAGCCTACCAAAGCAACCCGATGTTTGTAGGCCGGGTTGGATGTTGGTTGGTTGGCCTGTGCATGCTATCTACGGATAATGGAATGCGCCACTGCAGATATGCACGAGCAGATCATCAAGTGGGGCTGTGGCTGAAATTTGGCGAGGCAGCCACTCCAAGGTCAGGAGCTCTGGAGCGGGATTCGGGACCCGCGTCGTCATCAAGGAAGAAACCGAGTTCCCCAAACGACTCACGACTTGATACTAGGACATCCCCCAGCTGCCTCTCGAACCTACCTTCGCTGAATTGGTCAGATGGCTGCCCTCCAGACCTGAATCTTGAGGTCTTCGCTGGCATCTCCGAATATCGGTAGGAGGAGCAAAGTCACTGGGCATTGAAACTAGACATTCATCAACGTCCGGCTCGCCATGGACTACAGCACCTCAATAAACGACACGGACAACCCTGTTGGGCCGTCCCCTTGGGGCAGCTCGCCTGAGTCGTCCCCCCGACATAACCGGACAGCCTTCAGCTCTCTTGGCGGCGAACCGCCCATCTCACCCTATCCCTTTACGTCGCAGACCGAGGGCAATGGCCTAGCGGCCGAACAGGAAGAGGGAGGCTTTGGCGGAGGCGAAACCAATTACAACCGGCCGGACACAGCGAGCACCGTCTCTGCGACCGAAGTCGCTAGCGACATCCAGTCTGAGGAACCGGGACGCGAGGAGGCTCCCGGCCCGCCCGGCAAGGCCAGCCAGGAGGGGACCCCGCATCAGCAGTCACAAGAACCGGCAAAGCCTGCTGGACAACATGCTCCGCAATCACAGGAGCAGCAGGCTCGGCGACCTCCGCAACCGCAGTTTAAGCTACAGGCTAAGATTACTGGGCTCGAACGAACCGGTCGCAAAGATCCGATCCTCAGATTTGATGTTCATGTAGGAAGCGATTGTCCGCACCCTGACGGAGTACCGGCTGACAAAAAGATAGACCAACTTGCCAAGTTTCAGGACCACTCAATATCGCGATGTCCGCCGACTTCATTCCGAGTTCGTAAAACTCGGCGAACACTTGATATCCGCGAATCCGGAAGCGATTGTCCCGGCAGTGCCACCACCCCTAACCTCGGCAGGTGCTGGGACGGACGAGGACGAGGGCAGGGTGAAGGCGCTGCTACAGCGCTGGTTTAACTATGTTTGCAGCAATGAGGTCCTTATGAGGGACGATGAGATGGTGCTCTTCGTGGAGAGTGATTTCGGCTACAGTCCTATGGTTAAGAAGAAGCAGCCTGCGACGGGCGTTCGTCGGAAGATTCTCAAACAGTTTGCCCCGCCGCCCGACGATACGCCTGAACTGCAAGAAGCTCGACCTATAGTAAAGCTTTTCTACCTGGGGACAATGGATGCCGGGCACAAGGTTGATAAGCTGGTGAAATCACGAAGGGGTGAGGCACGATCCCTGCGTTTACTGCAATCATCACGATGGGGTTACATGGCGTACTGACGCATCGCAGTGTTGGCGCTTGCCGAGTCTGACTTTGGCGTCAAACTCGGAAACATGGCCGTTCAGGAGCCGTACCAAGGCCTAGCCAAGGCCTATCAAAAACTCGGTAAAGCCGTGCAGACGGTCGGGGACTGCCATGCGGCCCAGGCCACGGCAGAAGCCACGACGATCGGCGACCCGCTTCAATACCACTCGCAGGACGCCTTCATCGTCAAGGAGACGCTGACTAACCGGCAGATCCTGGTGCGTGACTTCATCCAGGCCCAGGAGACCACTCGGAGCAAGCTCAACGCGGCAGACCGACTCAAGGCGTCTTCCAACGTCCGGCGCGAGAAGGTTGACGAGGCGATCGCGTCGTTCGACGAGGCGCGCCACAACGAGAGCTTCCTCTTCCAGAAGACGACGCGCGTGACGCAGAACCTCGTGCACGAGCGGCGCAAGTGGTTCGCCCGCACGGCCGCCGACCTGCGCCTCAGTGTCCGCGAGTACGTGCTCCGCGAGATCGAGGCCGAGCGCCGCATCCTCGCGCTGCTTGAGAGCGTCCGCCCGGACATACGCTCCATCGACGCGTCGGGCGGCCTGAGCCGGCTGGGCCGCGAGGCCCACCCGACGACCGTCCGGCGGTCCAGCCTCGCCGCATCGCAAGGGCCCAAGGGGGACGCCTGGAGCGGCGTGCCGCGGCGCACCGACACGGTCAACCGCAGCATCTCGGGCAGCTTCGTGGGGGGGGTGGCGGAGGAAGGGGCGGAGGGAGGGGACGGCGGCGGCGGCGGCGAGGGCGGTGGGGCTGCCAGGGGGCCCGGCGGGGGTCTGCCTGGTGTCGGCGAGGATGACGACGAGGACCGCGTGGATGCCCGGAATGCGGCTAGCCGGTTGGCGACGAGCACGTTTTGAAAGTGCCTATATTATCATGATACGCTTTTCTTCTTCTTTCTCTCTACCTGCGCACCACTCCCTGTCAATCTCTGCTGCCGAGCGCGATTTAGCATACGTGTCCCGTGCCACCTGCCACCTGCCAGAGGGTGGAACTTTATCTTGTCGTTCATCCCTTGCTTGCTTCATTTGTTGTGTGTGGGTGCTAGTGATGGGGTCTGTGTGTGTGTGTGTGTGTGTGTGTTGTGAAATCGCCCACCCCGACGAAGCATCCAACACTGCGGTATCAACGACGTAGAAGAACTCTCAAACCAACAGACCACCTGTAACCATCTCGCCATTCCTCCTCCTACACGTCACGTCACCTACCTCCTATCCCAAGAAGCATCCGCATCCTCATGTTGCACCTGTGTCTCTCTTGGCTTCTACTTTGCGAATCATTGCCCCAACCGCCATCTGTCATATTCTGGTTCGTCCCCTTACGATGATCCCCCCAATCCGTCCACGGGCCGAGCTGCGCACCTCCGACCTCGGATGAAGCCAAGAGGGAGGCCAAAGGGGTGTCAGAAGGGGGCGCAGACCGAAACTGGTCTATTGGACGGCAGCTCGAGGATCCGAAAGCCTTACCGGGTTCCACGGCCGGCGGGGGGACGTTGGAGAGAGGGAGGGAGGAGGGATTGGTGAAGGAGACAGGGGCTTAAAGGGATTTGCAGCCTGCACCGGCCGCTATGGTATACTGCGTAGCTGGCTCAACGGTTGCGTGTTTGCTCCGTCATGATAGACCACTCGGATAGGCGGTAGTGGGTCTGCCTGCGGGGCGAACGGGAGGGCGGGCGATACGGAGCGGCGCTGGGCTCGGTTGCCAGATGCACATGAAAAGTATGTTGCAAACCTGCATTGCATACATACATACATACATACATACATACATACATACATACATACATACATGATGGGACTGCCGAATGGGTTCGACTCGGTTCATTTATCTCGCATGCAAGCAAACATCACCCCTGCTCACCGCTTATCTAGGCCGAGGAGCTGGAGCAAGCGAGAGGGTATCGCGAGCACGTCAGAGCAGCAATGCAGGTCAGGATGGCTTGCTGCGGGTGAGATGCACGTACAGCGTGGGTGCCGTCCTCGGGCGTTGCTTCATTAGGACGGCCTGGTTGTGGAGCTGGCACCCGTGACCCGTCCAGTCCCTTCACTCACCGGGCTGTGCTTGTTGGTTGGGGCTGCAAGCCAGTGTACCACCGAGTGCCCGGTTTTTGATCGATAACTGATGGTTTGATAAGCTTGCATTCCGCCGCAACTCGCTACTGCTTCGCGAGGCGTCAATTAGTTTTCCTATCGAACCTTGTGTGCGTGTGTATGCTGCCGTCCCAGATGCAGGAGCTCGGGCGACACGGACGTGTTCACAGTCGATCGTGCTAAAATCGTCCGATCGCTCTACACAGGTCAGTCTGTTGTGCAACTTCTCATCATTCTCAGTAAATGTGACACAGCCTCTGCCTGCCTACAATGCTGGGGCCTCGAAGCCCCTTCAAGGTACCTTAGGTAGGGAATAATAGCAACCTAGAATCTGGCTGTGGTTGCGATTCCGATCCGGTGCCCGAGGCTGTGGGACTGCCCCTTTTAGCCGACTCCTATTTGGTAGTACAATCATTGCTGATACAGAGACGGGTCCATAATTGGGAAGCAGGTACTTTCTAAATAGGTAGGAGGGAAGATTGTTCCTTTCCTCCCATTGGAAAAGCCGGGGGCGTCAGGGGAAATAAAAATAGTAAATAAAGAGACAATGGGAATGTGTCCCGTATTATGGAACGGCAGCCCTCTTTTTCAAACAAACTTCCTCGGTAGTTCGGGTGTCTTCCATGCAGGGATTTAAGTTGCATCATGGATGTCAGGTAACGGCCTGGAAACCGTGAGCCAAGGTGTGCAATAACTTGGGGCTGACGCCATCGCCATTGCACAGCGCTGACAGGCCCGACGAAGCGCAAGTGCCATGCGAAACGCGCAACTAGCGTTGATAAGGGTACCTATGTATGTAGGCAGGAAGATTGTCCTCCGGTGGCCAAAGATTGGGTGCCGGATTTCCATATCAGGGCCGCCGGCCAGGCAGTTTCATGTGTGGTTCTCGTGGAATGTCTCGTTTTGCGGCCATTTGAGTTCTTTTGGCTACCTTCCAGGGAGACCCATGTCGGCCATGTGCAGAATGTTTCGCCATAGGGCCGGCAAAATGAGAAAATGAGAGGTGCATCTCGCCAGGACGCGCGTGTTCCTTCCCCTTGGCCTAGTCAACTTTAGCTAAGTAGGTAGGTAGGTACCTTGGTAAGCTGCCACGGAGCCAAACGTTGTTCATTGTCCATCGTGGATGGAGCTCTTGCACGTAAAGCTTAGGTAGGTAGGCGAAAGCTAAGTACCAACAGATGAGTACCTAGGTATGTCTAAGGTTAGATTAGAGGGGTGGATTAGCAAGCAGTTAGGCGAGAGTCCGGTTGCGATGGAGATACCTGGAAACTGATCAGTTCATGCAGGGTCAGGCTGCAAAAAAGGCCCGTTATCGCGGCTCTCTCTGCCCCTGTTCAGAATCTTCGCAGGAGTGTAGTGGGGCTTGAGCCATCCTAACGTCAATCCAATCATCCGAAAGCCCCGAGGCACCACCATCCAACATCATCCGTGGACAATTGGAAATCATATCGTCACTTGTATCGGCATGTACTACACATCAGATTTTGGGCCAACATCTGGCTGTTTCTTTTCCTCGTGTACATATATTTAAGCTTGGATGGTCCCTCAGCCGGCTGCGGCCGAGGGCTCTTAGCGCTGCCCCTTGCGGACGCGACCCGTCCGCCCCTCCCTCAGGATAAGACCAGATCCTGCCATTTCGTCTTGCGCATCTCGCACGTCACATATTCCCCCACCAACACAAAAGATGGGGAAAATACAGGAAAGGAGGGGGGGGCAGAGAGCCTCTCCAGATGTCCCCCCCGGCTGCGATGTTGCGGGATACCGTCACCTGCTCGTATAGCGAACTGGCCCCTTCCATCCCGTCCCAAAGATGGCTTCTCCATATGCGACGAAACGACTGAACGAGACTGGGTAACCACAACATACCCTACGGACATACATAGTATAGTAAATACCGTCGGGTCGTCTTAATCTTTCCGCGCTAGAATGTGGATACGCTTGTACATCAAGGTTTGGTTACAGGTACCCGTACGTATCTATCCGGCACGATGTGGTTCTTTCCTTCCATCGCGTCTATCAATCTCCACATTCGCCGCCTTTGCGTTCCGTTCCCCCGTCATCGAGTACTAGTCTCTACCTACTGTACCTTGATTAGGTTCCCGCTCGAGTTCCGCCATGACATCCGGCTGCCGTTTCCCAAGTTCCAACGTCGAACATTCTGATTCAGCAGCCTGAGCAATTAACCCCTGGTTCGGCCCCGAGCAACCGCCTCTAGGCCTACTCCCCTCCCTCCACCGAGGACGCCAGGGTAGCTGCATGTCTTTTCCATCCCAGCCAGCAATGGTCGAGGATTGGAAGATACCTGGCCAGCACACAACGTTGCCATCCTAGCACATGCAGCAACTTGTCTTTCTCCACTCTGGTCTTTCCTTGGCTTCAATTTAACATAACTAGAGTCTGGTGATGCTCCCCTACGAGAGTGCTTATTAGTCTTGGGGCTCTCGCGCCGGCTTGCGCTCACAGACACATCCAAAAGCGACGTTGGTGTTGTACCTGCTCATACATGTATGATGTACATGGACCTACGCGAGTGACCAGTAGCGCACCGCATACACCGCACGCCGCAGCGCCCCCAACCAAAGATGTAAGGTAAGGGTAATCCCATAAAACCACGGCAGCTAAGATGGCGGTCCCCTTGGGACATGACATGGCTGGGCGGGCGCGTATGAGCTCCGACTCCGGATGAGCCCCCAGCCAGGACGAGTCCAGGACCAGGAAGCCCGCCGGCCCCTCCAGCCTACCAGGAGTCCCTGTCGAGAGATTGACCTCGCCGCTCGACCGTTTGCATACGATTTCCCGAGATTATGGGACCCTTGCTGCGTCCACCAGAGCCCCCCTCAAGCATTCTAGCCTCCGGTGAGGGTGGAGATAACTTGTCGATACATGACTGGCAGGAGGAGCCCAGTGGCTCTGAGGCCAACCAACAGGTTGCTGATCCGTCGCCTCCTGCTTGCCTCGTGCTTGCCCGCCTGGTCCCTCTTGCCCCGAGATCCATGATTCACACACCCAGCATCCCGATAGCACATCATCAATGGGCGGTCAAACAAGTGCCCTTCGAAACCAAGGCTACTTAAGAGTGGGGGTCCTGCCGGGCCCTGAGTGTCTGGTTCTATCATTTTGCCAAATCTGCCGTGAGCTGTGTCGATTCTGGCCCGGATTTCCCTATTTTCCTTACTTGGACAGTGATAAAGCTGCCTCCCTCCTTTTTGTCCCCCGAGCTTGCCTGGCCCCAGACTTCGCTTCGCCCTCCACCCTCAGCATTCTTATTATATCCTACCTTTACATCCCACATCCCCCATCCCCCATCCCACACATCCCACACATCCCACGCCGCAGAGCCTCAACTTACTCTCCCACGCCCACGACCAACAGACCCCAGCTGCCCACTAAGACCCCACGGGGCAAAACACCCCCCTCAAAGTTCCTGATCCTTTTGACCAATCCGCCGGCTTCAACACCGCGCAATCCCCCCTACTATCCCACGCCCTCCCTCTTCATCCCACGCTTCATCCCGCGCTCACTCAAGATGGCGCCCGCCGCCACGAACGAGATCGCGCCAATGCAGCTACCCGCCTACTCGAAATCTTGTTCAATCGGTGCATCTGTCTTGCATGGCCCTCGCGACTTGCGATTGGTAAGCTTGTTCCCTTTCCCCAGATCTCTCCATGTTACACAAACGACGCCGATTTCCTTGCGTGATCTCTCCTTTATTCCCATTCTATTTCTGTACTTGTTGTTTTATTCATTTATTTATTCAGTCGTTCATTCCTCTGATTATTTTATTTTTACCCATCTGTTTGAAAAAGAGCGCACATTTTCACCATAATTACCCGCCGGGGGCACGAGTGAGCAGGACTAACACGGAATACCCTCACAGGAACGACGGACCATTGAAGACCCTGGTGTTGGCGAGTTGCAGATTGCCATAAAAGCTACAGGCATCTGCGGCTCCGATGTCTCATATTACAAGAAGTTCGCCAACGGCGACCTCTGCGCCTGCATGCCCTTGTCTCTCGGCCATGAGTCCTCTGGAGTCGTCGTGGCCATTGGTACCCAAGTCTCGGGCTTCAGGATCGGCGACCGAGTCGCGCTCGAGGTCGGCATCCCCTGCGGCCAGTGTGGCATCTGCAGGAAGGGCAGATACAATCTCTGCAAGAAGATGAGATTCAGGAGTAGCGCTAAATCGGTCCCTCACTTTCAAGGGACTCTGCAGGAAAAGATAAACCACCCTGCCGGATGGTGCCACAAACTCCCAGACCATGTCTCCTTCGATGCTGCTGCCCTTCTTGAACCGCTCTCTGTCGCCATCCATGCCGTTAACCGAGCAAGTCCCACCCCTGGCTCGACAGCGCTGGTTATCGGAGCCGGCACAGTTGGCCTCCTAACTGCGGCGATGGCCAGGCAAGCTGGTTGCTCCACAGTCACAATTACCGACGTTGACGCCGGACGAGTCAACTATGCCATTAAGCGCGGTTTCGCTACCAATGGGTATGTTGTGCCTGAGTCACTGCACTCGTGCTCGAGCAGTTCCAACAACTCAGGCACCTCCACTCCCTTGGGGTCCGGTGTCATGACCCCTGCCAGCACACTGTCTTTCCACAACCAACTAGACAGTGCCAGGTCCCTTGCCAGCGAGATCCTGGCCTTGACCAAGGGCCCCGACTCTCTGCTCCTGGACGACGAGGATGACGGTGTCGATGTCACATTTGAGTGCACTGGCAAGGAAGAGTGCATGCACACCAGCCTGTACGCCACAAAACCAGGCGGCAAGGTCATCATGGTCGGCATGGGCACGCCCATCCAGACCCTCCCCATGTCTGTTGCCCACCTGAGAGAGGTGGACATCCTTGGCATCTTCCGCTATGCCAACACCTACGCCACCGGCATCCGCCTCCTCTGCGCCCAGGGCAAGGGCGGCGCCGGCTTCACGTTCCCCAGCCTGGATGACATGGTCACCCACCGCTTCAAGGGACTAGGTGCTGCCAAAGGTGCCTTCGAGCTTGCAAGCCGTACCGCTGATGATGATGGGAAGCTGGTGCTGAAGGTCGTTATTGAAGCCTAGACGGAGTCGGTTTCCTTGATGATTTTTTCTTTCCCGTTCCCCCCTATTCCTCGACAAAATTTCCTCTCACCTTTCGTCTTTGCCAATTATCCCTTTTCATCCCATCTACACCAAACTTATGACCACAAGGACGATGATAGACCGTTAGTGAACCTGCAGATTGCTTTCTGAGCGTGTGTTGTTCCTGGCGCCTAGCTTTTCCAGTCTGCGCATTCGACTGCCCAGGAGTTGTTTTTCCTTCTTCGTTTTCCTCTCGCTAATGACCTTAATATTCAGAAAGACATGGGGAAAACTAAAATCACAAAAAGTTTGGATAACCAGCTGTGCTGGCGAGGCGTTTTCTCTTACCGTTACAGTGTCTCGCTTTTCCCCTCTTTTTCCTCCTTTTTCTCCTTTTTGCCTCTTCTTTTTCCCCCCTTATTCCTGGTTTCTCTTGCTCTTGCTCTTACCAATGCCGTTACGAATACAAGGAATAGACAGGTTGGATTGAAGTATGATCTTTGGCTTTTTTTTTTTTTTTTTTTTTTTTTTTTTGAGGGGGGCCAGGGGAGGGATATTTTGATCAGATCACGCCAGTTCGAAGACTACGGGATTCACATCAAGGATTGGGAGGCTCACTGTTTGCTTTTTGAGGTTGGAAAAGAAAGATTCCTTCTTCGGCCCGTTTATCAACTGCAGAATGCGTTTTAGAAAGACCGGGGAAAGACCGGGGACGCAGTTGTCAATAGGGGTTTATGCTTCACGCAAAGTTGGTGGCTCATTCGGTCTAGCTAGGTAGCTTTTTAATGGTGCAACGGCGCTCAAGTCTCTCTGAATTATCATCTCTAGTCATGACTTCTATATGAACGGCTTCTTCTAACGCGCATGGTATTAGGAAGCCATCTGCCAGCGCCTCTTCTGTCCCAGATCAGAGACCAGGAAAGGAACAATAATCCAGCCTGAGAGAAGGCACAGCTGTCGCAACTCTTGTCCAACTGCACATAAAAATAAAGAGGCCTCTTCTCCAAACTCCTTACTCAAGGACGCCATGCCATGTACTTAGATGCAATAGTTTTTCCACGCTGAATGCTAACCACCACAACACCGCGTGGCCAGCCGAACAACCTGAAGTCGGAACTCTAGTCCAAACTTCACGGCTGAGAGTCACGCCTGCCACTTCCAGCTCCCTATCCGAAATGGAGGTCTCCAGCGTCTCCGATCACGAGTTTTTGGTTGATAATCTCTCCGACCGAGAGTTTTTGGTTCATGGCCGAATCGTAGGCCCTTCGTGGTGGTTTCTGGGCCTGGGCAATATCCGTGATGGCAAACTTCTTGCCCACCTCACGTATCTCACTGACACTCGACAGAAGATCCTTCACCAAGGAGATGAGCTTTACGTCGTTTGACTCTTGCAACATCTCCTTCTCCAGGGCATCTTGCTGTCTGGGGGTGACCAGCTCGACATTGGTCACTAGGGCCTGGATTTGCCGTAGGATGTTGTAAGATGGGGCCACATCCTGGCCAGCCAGTGCGTCTGTCGATGTCTGCAAGCCCGCGAAGGGTTCTGGTGGAAGCCTCTCCAGGTAGCTGATGAGCAGCCCAAGGCGAGCCTTCATCATCTTGACTGCATTGGCCTTGGCCTGCAGAGCAGAGATGAGCTCCGAGTCCTCCTTGCTGAGAACAGCGTCCTTGGGGGCTTGAGATGCTGCCTCTGCCTTGGCCTTGGCCTCCTCTTCCTTGGATAGGGCGCGTTGTTTACCCTTGGCATTTGGGTTGGTAGCTGACTCAGGTAGTGGCCGCTTCGATTCCTCCACCGTGGCATTTGCGCCACCTTCTCGAATGAACTGCATGGCGATCATCTCGGCGTCTCCTGTCTCGGTTGTGAAGGGCAGCTCTCTGAACTTGAGCACCATTTTGGCGGGAGACTCCAGATCCTTCATCTCCTTATCCTCCCCTTCAGCCTGGCTCTCCCCACTGCTGTCTTCAGCCTCCATATTGCTTTCGTAGATTGTGAGGGGTAGCGGGTTACCCGCAGCCGGATGAAGAACATCTTCGGTATGGAAGCCCAAGAGGACCGTAGACTCCTTGGAAGCCTCAAGAAACTGGTTATGAATCGGTAGGTGGTGGGAGCTAGGTCCGCTTTTTGGTACTAGGGTGTACCAGCCAACAAGGTCAAGTGGCGGGTCCTTGTGGACAAGCTTCACTGTGAGCAGCTTGTTAGCAAAATGGCTAGGTGAAACAGGCTACCGGATGATGGCCGCAACATACTCTGCTCCAAGCGATCCTTAAACCACTGGAAATCTAGCGTATAGTGTCCATCCTCATTCTTGCTGGTCTTGCAGGAGAAGCTGTGCTCGATGGTAATCTGGGTGATTTCGCGACCACTTTGCTGGCCAAGAAGTGCTCCAACAATGGCACCATTCTGTCCACGCTGGTATGCACGAGTGATGTAATCAGAGATCTCTAGTATTGGCAGGGGATGAAGGGCAACTTGGACGTTGGAATCGGATGGTTTCTGAGTAGAGAGAAGCTGGTTGACAGGAGGGTCCTCCATTGTGAAGGGGATGGGTGAGCCAACAAACCCAGCACACACAAGGAAGTAGGTAGTGCAAATGGGAGGGGGAGAAGACAGTGATTGAAAGGGAATGGGCTGGCCGTCTAGCTCCTACTTCTCCTCCACGCTCTTCAAAAGCTGCCTGGATGATGAAGGAGGGGTGGGGGCAAGGCTGAGATGGAAGCCTTGCTGTGACGAAAAGAGCGAAATCATGTGGCTTATCATGTGACTGAGATAGGCCCGAGTGGGGCGTGACCTTGTCCCTTAGTTCTGTCAGTTCATTATCCTGCCCCCTTTTACAAGGAGGGCCTCAATCACTGCAATGATACTGAAAAGGGATCCTTACAAGATCAGCATCATATGCCATGCCTTCAAGTGAACAAATAACCCAACCATTGAGAGGTCATAGCCTCTAGCAAACTTGACATCTTAAAGCACCATCTTCCATTTTGAAGGAGCACAATCCTAAGGCAAGCTTTTGCTATATGCAGCACAACTTCTTTCTCACACTTATTCACAGCCGGATTCTGTGGCTGGCAGCATATACTGGCCACCATGCAAGTTGTTGTGCATTCCCAGGTCTCCTTTTCTCCTCAGGCTTTGAAGTGTCAAGGAGGGACATGCCATGGCAAGTGCTGGCAATTCTCATTCACGAATCCTTAAGATGCTATTTATCAGATGTTAGTCTCCCATATTGCAAAGTTCATCATGCCATCGCTCGTAAGCTTGCTACCTATATTGAGAGGACGTCCCAAGTTGCTCCATCTCTTGGCAACTCTGACCATCTCCTGAGCCATCCTGAGCCAACTTAGCACCTTGGCCGACCTGGTCGATCCTGACCTCCCACAATCGGTTGCACCATGTCCCCCGAAACTGGAGTACAAGGACAGCGGACTGCCCCGACCCCTGCTGGGAATGGAATATCAGAGCCAGGGAAAGCTGCGCCAGCGAAGAGGACATTTGACGAGGATGTACAGTTCATATCATCAAATCCCGTGAAGAAGAGGAGAGCCTCAGGGCAGGGTCCAGAGCATCCGATCAACAATGTTCAGCCAGTTCAACCACCATGTTCTTCGGTTCAGGCCAATGTTGCGGCCACTTGCCAAGCCCCAAGCACCGATCGGAGTATCAGTACAGGAATGACTGGATTGTCGTCCTATCCCACAGCTGAGGGGGCCTATGACAACAGGGGAGCATCGGTGCCTGCCCTGGAGAACTTTGCCTTCCCCAAGTCGTTCCCCCCGACATATGTTCGGCCGCCGCGGGTGTCTGAAGCAGTATCTCCCAAACAGTTACCCGAAACCCTAGCTCCTCATCTTCTGGCGGCTGGTGGCTGCCAAACGGCACCAATGCCTCCCCTGCCGACTGTGGCGCTTGATCAGATCTCATGTCTGGATGTCAAGGGTCCTTCAAATCATGCGGCCATGGACATGGCCAGTTTCAACCCCTCAGTTGTACAGCCTCTCGCCCAGTCAGGTTACATGCAACTGAACCCTCACACTGCCATGCCATTCGCCATGTATTCGATGGGTAATCTGGTGCCCCTCTCTCACGTCGCCCCGTGTGCGAACCCTCCATCCATGGTGATGGCTGGTACGGTGGGTGAGCCAAATGGGTATGCTCATCATCAACAGGCTTCGGCCGGACCACCTCCAAGGACGGACGGCGCCATGCAAATAAATAATTCAAGAGACCCGAAAGCTGCTCCCACCCCTGAAGCATCCAAGTCGCCTCCAGTACAAGCCCCGATAGCTCACGGACCGCAGCAGATGGCACCGCACAAACCACCGTGTCTCGTCTGTGCAAGGGCCCGCCAGAAGGCCTGCCAGGGACAAGGCCAACATCTAAGTCAGGCCCAGAGTCAGGGCCATGGAAGTAATGTCCACGGGCACCCTACTCCGCTGCCTTCGTTTTGGAACTCACTCCCGCCCTTTGGCAATTTGGGTCAGCATCCTATGAACATGACCCCGTCTTTGGTTCCACCAGCCCAGTCTAAGTTGAGCCAGATGTCGACCTGCAATATCACGAATCAACTGTCTGCGGCTAGTAGCTATATGCATAACACACCTCCACCGTCCAGATCTCCAACTCCAGGCATAGCAAGCGGCGTAGCGACGTACGTCATGTCCCCACAAGGTCATCCCCATCCAGCGTTAATCGGAAGACCGCCTGCAAACCACCCAGTGTGCCATCCCAGCTCGATGTGTCCGAAGCCAAACGTCATCCCTCCGATGCCGCCGACATCCAACCCACCCACAAGCCGCTCCGGGACACCCGTTCCACCAACCTCATCGGCAAGCCCCCCAGCGGCCACGACAACGGCGGCGGCGGCGGCGGAACCACCTCTGGCAAAGCAGCCGACACCAGCAGCAGCGACGCCGCCACCTCCCGCGTCCCCCACGGCGCTCGCCAGGCGGAAACACGCGCAGAACCTGCTGGTCGACGTGGCCGAGACGGTGGGGGAGATATTCCCCTTCGAGGAGGTGGCGCGGCGCCACGGGGTGCTGCCGCGCAAGGTCGTCGAGGCGCTCGCGGCCGTGGTGCAGGTGCCGCTGCTGCGGTGCGCGACTGACAAGCGGCGGGCCGGGAAGCTGGGTGGCGAGCGCATGAGGGAGTATAGGGAGGCTAGGAAGATGTGGATGGCTAGGAAGGCTGAGGCGGGGAGGGCGGGGAGGGCGGCGGCGGCTGGTGAGGGTGGCTCTCGCGGGAGAGACGATGACGTTGTTGCGGTTGGTGCTGGTGCTGGTGCTGCTGAGAGGAAAGCTCAGGGGAAGGATAGGAAGGAGGCTGGCGTGCCGGCGCCGGCTCCGGCTGCGTTGCAACTGGCTGACATGTTGCCGCCGACTGAGTTGCCGTCGCCTCTGGCGACCGAGACTTTCACGGGGCCTTGGTAATCTGTAAGTTGAATTGGGACGGCGCCGCTCGGGAAGCGGAGTGGGCTGCTGTAGGGATATGTAAATAATATGTATGTGGATCTCTTGATTAGGGGGTGTGGATGAGTCTGTAAAAGGTAGGCTTGAAAGGGGGGCCTCTGTTTTGTGGCTTATCTTCCTCTTTCTTTCTGGAAGAAGTAGTGTTGTATGGGAACTAGCTAGGTAGGGATAAAACCTCCATCACACTTACTCTTCCTCTTTCCCTGGCCAGACCACCTCTTCCCAGCGATACTTGACGTTCTTCCATCGCCCGAGCTTCTTTGCTCTCTCAGCCTCGTTGAACCTCGACTCCTTCTTCAGAACCCCCACGTCCTGGAATCGCTGCTCCGAGGTAGCTTGCCGTATCCCCCTCATCGTGTCTTCCCTCAACGAGTCGTACTTTTGGTTGATCTCGCGGATGTGGATCGGAGGGTAACATTCGGAACAGCAGTCCTGCAGGGCGCTGATCGGTTCGTGCTGGATATTGCAGTGCGTTGTGCTCTGGTGGGTGAGCGTGTGGCCGCAGGCGAGCATGGTGATTGCCCCGGAACACATGGTTTGCGGATACGGATCGGATATCTCACGGTGAGGATGTTTGCAATGGCAGTTGAGTACTGCTGGTTGAATAGATATCGGTGCCTCAAAACTTGCCTAGACAACGATATTGGCTTCGGTTTATGTTGCGGAAGGAACGCTTCGTGGGACAAAGGCCTACCTACCCAATCTAGGCCGAAGGGAGGTGGTCCACGCCTTTGTTCCCCTTGACTAGTTACCTAGGTACCTACCTAGCCTGGTAAATAAAGCAGCTAGAATACGGGGTCTGATAACAAAGACCATATGACGCTGCTGCCTCGGTCTTCTTAAGGGGTACGTCTTTCACTTTGAACTCACTGGTCAAAACTTCAGTTCTCAAAGATGCGATTGTTATCAACTGAGTGCTAGAACGCCGGCATGCCCTTCAGCTTCGACTGTATACCCCTGGCCCTTTACTTGCTGTCTAGTAGGTACCGCTTTGGATACTGTCGGACGTTGCCTTGACTCCAGCGGCCATCGCCGGACATTGGCTACTTGCCTTGCTGCGTGTTCATCCTACTCATCTCTGTAATACAAGGACCTAGACATCTAGGCGTGGTTCGAGGAGGATGTCCCAGACTCTGCACCAGGACATGCTTAAGTGTTGTTAGTAATAACATGATCAGGATGGATTTGAATAAAGTAGCCAGCAGAACCCTCGACCGTTCGCTTGGTTTTCCGATCTCTTCATGTATCGAGGTACAAACTTGGCCCATGTGTACTTCGTGCTCACAATGTGTTCTCGTGTCCCAAAGACGACAAAGGTCAGAAGACTTACGGACGCACAGCTTAAACAGAACTGAGGCTTCGGCTGGCTTGGTTGGTACGAGTATTAGCCTGGGCTGCGAGGTCTTTTTCGCTTTTGCTGTGCACTGAAGCAATCTCGAGCGAGGATTACGGCGAGTTAGCAGGCGCGAGTGGCACCTGGAAAGGGATAGTGCGATCAAGCACAGAGCGAGGGAGGCTATGGAGAAGAAGATACCATCATGTGTAACTAGGTAGGTACCAGTTCCTGTCTTGAAGATTGAAAACAGAGGAGAGTTTGAGTGAGGGGACCATACCGATATGAAAGAGAACAAAGGCCATGTTCGCGAATATTCGCTCCTGGTTCACAATTGACTACAAAAGTAGAATTTGGTGTCTCTCTCAAACGATCAAATTTCACCGCAATGTCAATCACCACTTCATCAAGGCCTTCCATATTCTGTTTCGGCATGTCTAAGTGATGTGGGTTGTAGTTAAGTGTGGTTAGGTGATTACCTAAGGTGTCAGGGGTTTGGTTTAGTACTTGCTGATAGGGCTCTTAGTGCAAGTTGGGTGACGCGCAGCCGTCAATTTACGCGTCTCAACTCAGCTCGACATAAACCTAGTCATAAACCTAGTCACTGCAGAAATCGTCGGACAGGTCGAAATCTCGAACTGAACCTGGTTGAGATTGATATTGCAAAAACCATCACCAGCAGTATCAACAGCCAGCTAAGATGGACGAGTGGCAACCACCCCTCCCGGAGGGGTACGATCACACGAATCGCGCGTTCCTGCAAGCACTCATGAGCCGGGGGACGATGACGCTTGCCGACGGCCAGCAAATCATAGCAGCGATAGTCGGCGCCAGTGCCGGTGGCAGCAGGAACCCGGTCGATCCTGCCTCCGTCACCCAGGGAGATCTCGACGAGTACATACACGCAGCCCGCGAGGCCCTGGCGCCGCTTGACTACGACATCCGCCGCACGCAGCACCAGAAGACCAAGGAGTGGGTGTACGCCCTCATCAACGTGCACAGCGACCCGGCGACGCAGTTGGCGACCACCCACACGCCCGACGAGATCTCCTTCATCAAGCGCCTGCTCGATGCCATGTTCGACACTTACAACACCCCGCGCATGGAGGTCCTGGCCGTCGACGAGAGCCAGGCCCTGAAGGCTTCCCGTCCATCGCGGCCCGGTCGTGAGAGCAACGTGGGCGCTAATGGCGCGAGCGGCGAGGACTCACAATCGGCCGCGAAGGATAGGGGATTAAGGCATTCCGAGGTGCTGACATTGCTCAAGAGCCTGGTGGCCGAGGGCTGGCTTGAGAAGAGCAGGGATGGATTCTACAGTTTGAGCACACGGTCTCTGCTAGAGCTGTGGCCGTGGCTCATGGCGACATACAACGATGCAGACTCGGAGGACGACTGGCAGCGCATCAAGTTCTGCGAAGGCTGCAAGGAGATAGTGACAGTGGGGCAGCGATGCGCCGACCGGGACTGCGTCGCCCGGATACACGACATCTGTCACGACCAGGTGTGGCCGTCGCGGGCGAATAAGAAGTGTCCCAAGTGCGAGAAGCCGTGGGACGCAAATCGCTTCGTGGGCGAGAGGGCAGTGACATCAACCAAGGCATACCAAAAAGGTCGAAGTCGGGGCAGTGGCAGGAGAAGTAACCTTACTGAGGCCATTATTGCCCAAGAAGAGGCTGGTGGGGAGGACGAGGGCGAAATGGAGGCATGACGCTCCAGTACTTCAGTACATACATACCTTGTAGTTTCAAGGTGTCTGGGTGTCTGGCTACGATTGGAGTACGGATGTAAGAAACTAAAAATGTACTGGATACTGGCGGAGAAAATGGAAAGATACCCTGGTTTTGCCGCTTTTTGGCTGTTTCTTAGGTACCCAAGTACCTAACCTAGCCTGGGGTTGGGGGCTTTGAGATCGACCAATAGATATAGTTCCGGTGACATCATTGCCGTGGCGGCGATGCGCGGCCAGAACACCCAATGCAATCATCCATCGAGCCGCGCAAGGTCCAGATGTAAAAACAATACATAGGAGGCCTCAAAAGAGACGAGTTCTCTGTCCATATATCTATTACCTTCCATCGCCAGTAAATTTCCAATATTGGAGTGGATATTAAATATTCTCCCCGACGATGTTGGAGTACTTCGCCTACAAGAAGTTCAAGAAGCACAAGGCCGGCAAGGAGGAGCAGGGCCAAGTGCATAAGGGCAAGGAGGCTGAAGGCCCTCCGACTCCGGTCTTGACCGAAGATGACGAGCGTTTCCTTCGGCGATTGACCGCCGCCCCAACTGACCAAAACAGCGACGATGACGAACAGAGGCCAGCTCTCCCGCCTCGCGTCAGGACACCCGACCTTACCTGGGACAGCGACAGCGAGTCTTTCCGCAAGCCCAAGCAGGGGGAAGGCAGTAAATCGGAGGGTAAAAACACCAACAAAAAGGCCAGTCGGCTATCGCTGTTCCTGCGTAGGGACAAGAAGAGTCCAGAAGATGCCGATCTGGACCCAACAAGGCTCTCAGTCTCGGCGCCCGAGATCGACCACGAGAGGGACGACCTGACGCGGGTCCTTGACGACCTGAACCTGTCGGCGATGAACAACAAGGCCTTCTCGCTCTCGGACGAGTCCACCGAGCTGATGAAGAACTTCACCAACGTGCTGAAGGACCTCGTCAACGGCGTCCCCACGGCCGCCAACGACCTGAAAGCCCTCCTCGACGACAAGGACGGCACCCTGGCCAAGACCTACGAGAAGCTGCCCAAGTCCATGAAGAAGCTCGTGACCCAGCTCCCGGACAAGCTGACCTCGACCATGGGTCCGGAGCTATTCGCCGCCGCAGCCGCGGGCGCCAAGGGGCTCGAACAGGAGGAGCGCTCTTCGGGTGGTGGCGGCCTCAAGGGAGCGGCGAAGAGGCTCCTTGTACCTAAGAACCTTACCGACATGGTGACCAAGCCGGGTGCCGTCGTCGGGATGCTCAAGGCCATCTTGAACGCGCTGAAGCTGCGCTGGCCGGCCTTCATCGGGACGAATGTCGTGTGGAGCGTCGCTATATTCCGTAAGTTTACCCACTTCCCTGATCGTTCCTGACGAGCTCGGTGACTGAATTTGGTTCGCACTTGCTAACTCTCCCTGTCCAGTACTGCTCTTTGTGCTTTGGTACTGCCACAAGAGGGGCCGCGAGGTCCGCCTGGAGCGCGAGAAGTCCGGGAGGCCCGAGGAATCCGATGGAAGGATTGAGGAACTTCCCGACGACCTGGCCTTGCCTTGCCCGGAGTCGACACCAAGTGGCAATCGGACGCCCGTCACCGTTGAGCGTGAGCGTGAGCGTGAGAGAATTAGACGCTGATAGGGTGATCCACCAAACTTCCGCTGCTCAACCCCACTTGGATCGTATGGTCGTCGTGATGGATGAGTCTGGCCTGATGGGGAAAAAAACCAGGTGCTGGAAATGAGATCGAATGATGATCGAATGCGGCTGGGATATGATCTTTAGCAATAGTGTAGATACCCGCTTTTCTGAGGTGTTTTCTCCTTTTTCCTCTGGGCGTTTTCTTGTTCGATGTCAACAAAGGGGAACGAAATGGCCACTGCCTGTGGCGGCTCTGATAATAGCTTTTTTCTCAACGCAATCATGCTCTACAAACGCCGGCTCATTTCCCTACCCTTGAAACCGTTTCGCGAGTGGTACATATCTTACATGCAGTTACAGCCGTGGGTCATGATATCCAAGTCGCCCATGGCTACACGCCCGCTCAAAAGCAGTCAACGAGCCCACGACCAATCTCGAGACACCACGGGTTTGTTGCGCCGGGTTTTTCTTAGAGTCAAGAAGGCGCGGATTCTAGTCGTCCTGGACAAGTTCTTTAATCTCCTCCCGTCCCGGCGCCATTCCGGCCGTCTCCCCGACCTTCTCGTCCTTCCCGGTGCGGTCGATAACCCTCCCGCCGTCCTGCATCCAGAACGCGACCTCGTCAATGACGTCATAGACGATGTCCTCGACGATCTGCTCGTCGTACCGGTCGCTCAAAGGACGTAGCGGAGCCGAGTCTGATCCGGCGCTCAGGCTATTTGCTTGTCCCTGGGCATCGGCATCGGCATCGGCATCCCTCATCTCCACGTCTTCCTGGTTGCCTTCCGATCCCGGCGGCGGATACCAGAACTTGGGCCCGAAGTTGACCTCTGCGGCCCCTCCACGGAAGACGCTGACCGCCGGATAGTAGCCAAGCATCCCGTCGTCGAGGCATTCCCTGGCGCCCGGCTGAGCCAGTGGCTTCGACGCGGGCGGCAGGAAGGCGAACAGGTCTGTCCACGGGGTGCCCATCAGGACGCCGTTCTTGTATATCTTGATGTGCGAATGCGGCAGCGTCCGCAGCGAGGGGAACCGGTGGTTGGGGTTGGGCCCGTGCGAAGACCCTGCCGGGGCGGATGGGCCGACAGGAGATGGATTCATCAAGTCGTCGAGCTCCTTGGTCGTGTGGTAGTCGATCTTCTCGAAATAGATGTTGGCCTTGAAGCGGATAGGGATGCGGTCGCGCACGATATTCGGTGCTTCTGCGCCGGGGGGGAGGTCTTCGTCTACCAGGTCGACTGCCGGGTTGTACTCGCCCTGTACTACCTTCCGATGTAGATGCTCCGAAGGTAACTGGATTTCCAGGCCGATCACATCGCCTTGCCTCAGGTCCTCCCCGGGCGGGAAGAAATCCTTGGGTCGCGACATGTGCACTTTTTGGCCTGCCACATCCCGAATACCGTAACTATAGGCGTCAAAGCCGACAGGGGCATCTAGTGAAGCCTCTCTGCGCGCCCAGCCCACGCGGACATGGCCGTGGGAGTCCGGATCATCGGGGCCCTTATTCTTCAGGGTGCCTCGAGTCACCTTGCACTCCCAATACCATCGGCCCTCTCGCACTGCAACATTGGCCCGCGCCATCCGAAAACCCTTGTCCGTTGTAATATGTTTCCCCGAGCTGTCGAAGAACATGTGCGTCGCGGCATCCTCGAAGCTCAGATGTGGGCCGTAGGGCTCTGGTTCTGTCTGCCGGTAGTAGAAGGATGACGGGAATGCTGGATCTGCTATGCAGTCGGTATAGTGGAAGTTCTTCTTGTTGTACACACTAGGGCAACTGTCAGATAATGCTAAAATTGGGTGCTTCTCAGCTTCTCAGCTCCAGCTCACTGTTCTGAAGTCTCGAAGAACTCAATATCGCGGCCATCAGGGCCTGGTACAACGTGGTGGGTCGCAAATACGGGACCTCGAGGCGGATCAAAATCTGACGGTTTTGGCGGCGCAAGCTTGTATCTCATCGGCGAGACCTCGGCTGGAAGCGGTTCCCTCTCATTAGGATCGGGGGTCGCCCTAGAGCTGTCAGGGCCGGTCGCAGCACCTTTGGATTCGCGCTTCTTAAGGGACTCTTTCTTGGTTCGTTTCTCGCGGGCCATGGTTTGGGTGTCCTCGGGGGCCTGTATTTGAACCTTTGCAGGTGGTTTGACATCAGGATTGAGAGGAGAAGAGACAGCAGGGCTGTGGACGTCTTCCAGGGTCCGCTTCTGAGGGATAGTTGACGGCAGCCGAGGAGCTGTAGGGGTGGGATCCCTTTGAGAAACCGCTGTGTCTGTAGCCATTGTGCCTCGTCACATATATTATGCACTGTTATACTAAGTAAGAGGACTGCTAGGTTGCGCCGAATATAGCTAAAGCTAGAATCGGTGAATTGTTGTTTCAAAGATCCCTTCAAGAGCTTCAATCAAATGCAAGGCTGTCCGTGAGAATTGGCAGCCGTGGCGCGTCCACAGCGCGGTGATCCTCCCATCCAATTAAACTGCGTCTACTCCAAGCTAGGCCCGCAATTCCCTGTATTCAGCCTCGTACGCCACAACTTTTCGAGAGCAAAGCTTCGATTTGCTTTCCCTCTTTCAAGCTTCCCTTGCCAGTCCACACCTAGTCCCACAACCTAGTCCCATCGCCTCCAGCCAACATGCCCGTCGTCAAAGGAGGTGTGTGGACCAACATTGAGGATGAAATCCTCAAGGCCTCGGTGTCCAAATATGGCCTCAACCAGTGGGCACGCGTATCGTCGTTGCTAGCCCGAAAAACACCTAAACAATGCAAGGCCCGATGGAACGAGTGGCTCGACCCGAGCATCAAGAAGATCGAGTGGAGCAAGGAGGAGGATGAGAAGCTTCTGCACCTTGCCAAGCTGATTCCAACGCAATGGCGCACCATCGCCCCGATCGTTGGCCGGACAGCAAACCAGTGTCTCGAGCGGTATCAGAGACTGTTGGACGAGGCCGAGCAGAGGGAGGCGCAAGGGCTGGGTCTGACCGGTCCAGATGGAGCAGAGACACAAGCGCCGTCGGCTGATGATGTCCGACGCCTTCGTCCCGGAGAGGTGGACCCCGATCCGGAAAGCAAGCCTGCCCGCCCAGATACAATCGACCTGGATGAGGACGAGAAGGAAATGTTGAGCGAGGCGCGTGCACGTCTGGCCAATACGCAGGGAAAGAAGGCCAAGCGCAAGGCCCGTGAGCGGCAACAGGAGGAGTCGAGGCGGCTTGCGACCTTGCAGAAGAGGCGAGAGCTAAAGACCGCCGGAATCAACATCAAAGTGGTCACTCGCAAGCCGGGGCAGATGGACTACAATGCGGATATCCCTTTCGAGAAGAAGCCCACCGCCGGGTTTTTCGACACTAGCGAAGAGATTCAGCGCAATGAGTTCCAGCGCGCCAAATTCGATCCTAAGACTCAGCAGGTCGCAAACAAGCGGAAGGGAGACCAGGATGGAGACACAGACCGAAAAAGGCGGAAGGGCGAAAAGGATACGCCTTCTGCTTCTTTACAAGCCGCCGTGAAGGCCGGTCAGATGCAACGCATCCGGGAGGCGGAGCAAAGCAGCAAGAGGAGGGCCTTGGTGCTCCCTGCACCCCAAGTCAGCGAGGGCGAGCTGGAGGAGATCGTCAAGATGGGCATGATTGGGGAGCGTGCGAACATAATGGCACGCGAGAGTGACAATGATGCTACGCGCGGGCTCGTCAGCAGCTACTCGAACTTGAACACAAATGCTCCCATCCGGACGCCCAGGGCGCCTCCCCAAGAGGATCACATCGCAAATGAGATCCGAAACATCCGAGCATTGACACAAACTCAGTCATCCCTCCTCGGAGGTGAGAACACGCCCCTTCACGAGGGCTCGGCGTCGACTGGTTTCGATTCCATCGCGCCCCGCAAGCATGTCGTTGCAACACCGAACCCTCTGGCTACCCCATTGCGATCTGGTGCCAACGGTGTGGGCGCAACTCCCTTACGCCCAGGCCAGACGCCAATGCGCACCCCTCGGGACAGCTTCGCCTTGAACGCGGCTGGCGATGAGATGTCGCTCCCTGGTGGGACTCCTGCGGATGTAAAGATGCGAGAGACCTCATTGAGGCACGCGCTCAAGCAGGGGCTCACGGCCCTGCCGAAGCCGAAGGAAACTGAATGGGACCTCGAGCTACCGGAGGAGGAGCAGGAGGCGGCAACTGTTGAAGAGCTCGAGGAGGATGCTGCTGAGCGTGATCGTCGGGAGCGGCTAAGAAGGGAGGCACAGGAGGCTTTGGAGCGCAAGAGACGCACCCAAGTGATGCAGCGCGGCCTACCTCGTGCGGCCTCTCTAGATGTCGGCGCCTTGACGCAGGCTGCCCTCCAAGTGGAGGACCCGGCGGAGCGGCTGATTGCGCAGGAGGCGGCACTGTTGATGGCAAACGACGCAGTGAAATTTCCTCTCCCGGGCACCAAACCGGCGGCAAGCACAGTTCAGCTGGCGCAATTGGACGACGACTCGCTAGCCAACGCTCGCTTGATGATTCTAATGGAAGCCAAGGAGCCCAAACCCGATGACGTCCAAGCTGCATGGCAGCAAGTCAATACCAGCTCGCTTCTTCTAGGCCTCGGCTGCTACGACAATGACGACGACGATGAGGAGGACCAGCTGTCGGCCATGCGTGCTGCATTTGACGTAAGTGCCTGTGATTGAAAGCTACTTGCATCTGCTAACATCCAGACAGGACGTTCAGCAGGCTATCATCTCGTCGGCCGAGAAGGGATCGAAGCTGGAGAAGAAGCTCGCGCTGCACCTCGGCGGGTACAAGAATCGCGGCGAGATGCTGCGCAAGAAGATTGGTGAAGCCGCCGAGGCGCTGGCGAAGGCGCAAGACGCACTGAGCGGTTTCAGGACGCTGTCGGCGTCGGAACAGGTCGCCATCGGCAGGCGGCTGGGATCGCTCCGGGAAGAGGTCAACTTTCTCAGCCGGCGAGAGCGCGAGGCCCAGGAGCTGTATAGGAAGAATAGGGAGGAACTGCTGGGGCTTACGGCGAATGGGGAGAGTCATTAGGATCACCAGAAAGGGGTTGAGCTTGTAAGAGTACACTGTACTAGGATGGTATCCTAGGTCATCAACCGGTTTAGCATTTGAGGGACACACTACACTCTCTACCTACCAAGCGTGGGTTAATTAGTACCTAAATATGACCCCGACAGCGACCCCGACACACCGACATGCCGACAGTGCCCTCCGTCTCCCCTGTTTATTTCTTGCTCCCCAACCTCGGCAGCTTGACAGGGACGATTAACAACAAGTTGATCACCGCCAGAACGGCACAGCACAGGAACGTCAGCCCCAGGGCGGACTCGTAACTCCTGACCACTTGCTCGCGGTACACGGGCTCCAGGTCCCTCACGGCCTCGACGGAGCCCCTCGCCCTCTCAATGACGGCGTCCCTGTCGGGGCCGGAGACGTAGGCCTCGAGGTAGCGGTAGAAGGCGTTCTGGAGGACCAGCGAGCTGCTGGCGACGCCGAGGACCATGCCCAGGCTCCGCCACAGGATCAGGGTGCTGGTGACGACGGCCTGGCTGCGCTGCTCCCACAGCGCGAGCAGCGCCAGGAAGGTCCCGGGGAACTGGAACCCCTGGCCCGCCGACGAGGGCACCAGGCACAGGAGGAACGCCCACTCGGGCCACGTGCGCTGCATCCCCGACAGGGCGAGCGTGCCGGCCAGGAAGCCGCTGGCGCCGAGGACGGGCGCCCACTTGAGGCGGCGGGTCCAGGAGATGAGGAAGCCCGTCGCCACGCCTGTGGTGGAGGCTACCGCGGAGGGGACGACGAGGCGGAGGCCCGAGGTGGTGGCGGTGGTGAGGAGGACGCCCTGGAAGTAGAGGGGACTATCGCGGGCGGAGAAAATGTGAGATTTTGATGATGGGGTGAGAAGTTTAAAGGGGGGGGTGGGGGGGGGGAGGACAAGGTAAGCTCACATGTTGAACAGAATAGCGTTCATGAGGATGGCACCGATGAAGTTTCCGAAAATCAGGTTCATGTGTGGAGACTTGCGGACCAGGTGAAGAGGCATTATGGGCCGGGTAGCAAGAGTCTCGACGTAGAGGAAAAGGGGGAAGCAGACGGCAAATATCACGAGGGAGGTGATGACGAATGGGTGGGACCCTTTTAGAATGGCTCGGTCAGCTTGGCATTCTAACACGCAGGCGTTTGTTTCTCTTACACGGTAGGATGTTGCCTCCCAGGTTCTAATTCATCAGCAACTGAGCACGTTTTCCACAAGTAACAAGGGCAAGAACTTACCAGGCCGAGAATGAGGAACGTGGCAGACACGGCCATCAGGATCGAACCTTTGAAATCGAACGCTCTCATGGCCTCTAGAAACCCCTCTTTTCGGTTGTCGTATATGCCCAGGTCCCCTGGGACGGCGTAGATTGCGAGGACAAGGCACAGCAAGATGAAGGGGACCTGGACGCCGAATTCCCAGCGCCATCCCAGGTGATCTGCCATGGCTCCCCCGAGTGCCGCTCCTAGCATCGAGCCGATTCCGAAGGTGACGTTGAGGTATGACTGGTAGGCACCCCGAATCCTGCGGGAATTCCACCGTCAGACACAATTATGGTCGTGCGAAACGAAGGGGCAGGCAAAAGTCAGAAAGCCAGGGCGAGGAAGGGAGTGCGGCGGCTCACTCAATGGGGACCAAGTCACTTATTATGATGCTTCCGAGCGTCATCATGCCACCGGCGCCGAGCCCACATAGAGCCCTCGCAAGGATGAAACTGGTCATGCTCTGTGCCAACGCACACCAGACCGTTGCAAACAGGAATATGGTCATGGTCATAATATAAGGCGGCTTCCGGCCCAGGGAATCGGACAACCGACCCAGGAGCGGCTGGAAGCTCGTAGAGGTCAGCAGAAACGCCGTCGAGAGCCACGAGGCGCTGTTGCTGCTGTTGAAATAGGACGTGATTACGGGGTGGCTGGATGCCATGATGGTGCCGTCGAAGCAGGCGATGAAGTTGGTCGCCAGGATGCCGGAAAACACCAGCCAGAAGCGGTACACGGAGACGCCGCCGAGGTATGGCGTCTTCAACGACATGGACCCGGCATCGTCGGCAGTGTCGGCCGGGTCCGGTGCCTCGCTCTCGTCATCGTCACTCCTCCCCGCGCGAGGGGTTTCGAGGCCGGGGCCTTCCTCTTCCTCGAAGATTACCGCGCTCGAGACGGATGCCCTGCAGTAGTCATGGCTGCTGGTGCTGGAGCCGCGTCGGGGCCCTCGGTTGCCAAGACCGGATTTTCGCGGCCCCCGGAGCATCGAATGCTCGAATGACTCGGGCTCGAGCATGGGTCCGCCGGACGAGACAGACCGGGAGAGGAGGAGATCCAAGTCGCTGGCCTCGGTAGCGTCTCCGTCGTCGGTGTGTCCAATAGGAAGCGGAGCCGGAGCGGCTGGCTCCCCAGACGGCGAATCATTCCCAAGAGAGCTTCGGAGCAACGGAGTGTTTTCATTCGCGGCATCTCCGCCGTTCCCACCGTTCCCGCCGTTCCCGCCGCGCTCAGGCCCAAAACCACCCGGGGCGTTGCCAGAACCCATGGTCCGGGGATAGACCACGGCTGATCTGGGCTTGGTTTATCCCGCACCTGAGACCAGCCTGATCAGAGTTGAGCGGATTTCAATGAGGAGGACGAGTAAATAAATATTTCAAAGGCGTTCCCTATTGCCTTCTACAAAACCACGGAGTTACTAACGGAGGAGAAAAGGTGTTCCAACGGCGACGGAAGTATTTCTGGCGGGGAGGGGGAAATGCCACTCTGAGTCACCCTCGATGTCCTGGTCTCGCCTTGAGAATTTGGAGGGGCGACAAAGGCAAGCCGTTAATTACCAACCTCTACCTGGGGGGGGCGGCCGGGAACGCGCCGGAGATCGGCTGCCATGCCGACCCCGGTCGCATGGCTCTGGTCACGAGCGCCAGACGGCTATTCCTGGCTGCAGGTGCAGGATATGTTGCATACATTGCACTAGTAGCGCGATAATCGATCAGGGGGATGGCTTCTATTCCCCGTCGTTCAAAGTGCATCAGCAACTTGGTGTTTTGGGGGCTGCTCGCTGGGTTGGTTCCAATTGGCCGCAACCTGCAATGGTCTGGGATGCAATACACAGGCACGACAGGTATCCGTCTGCACAGCTAGTGTATGTAGCGGCGGGCCGGTGGGCGCTCCCGGTGGAGAATCCCCACTCCCGTCCGGGGTCTGTCCGGAATACGACCTGCGCAATGCATAGGGCGAAAAGCGGTAGCGACTTCTCACAGGGGCCCATCCATGAATCCAATTGCTTTGCTCCCCAGGGCTTTGCTCCCCAGGGCTTTTCTCCCCACTAAAAGGGGTTCAAGTTAAAAAGAAAACAGAGGTAACTACCTGTGTACTTCTAAGTGTAACCCAGCAGCTCGTCTTTTAGCTTGCATAGTATGCCTATGACCTCCCATATAGAACCAACTGGGTAACCCCGGACGCCCATTCCCGACCTCCTCACTTGCTATGACTTGCCAGAGCTGCCGGCACCAAAATGCCCGCGCCCGTAATGCCGCCGTCATGACACGGCTTCAACAGAACACGTACCGGAGCATGGCCGTCGAATTCGATGTCCAAGATCTGGTCGAGGAAGCTCTGGCAGTCAGCTAGGTAGTCCTGGAAATACGCGATGCAGCCGCCGGTGTAGCCCGCTACCAACTCCCTGCTCGGCGGCGTGTCGCCGTTGGCGGGCCCGGACGCCTTAGCCGGTATCTCCTCGGCGCAGGCAAGCAACGCCACAGTTGCCGCGGCGATGATCCCGGCCGCCCGGATCTCTATCGCTCGGGCAATGCTGTGCAAGGCCTCGGCTAGCTCTTCGGTCCACTGAAAACCCGCCTGCCCGTCCCCCTCAGGCAGTTCTTCCCTGAGCTGCTCTAGGATGGGCCGCTTGCCAGGACCGGGTCGGAAATGGCTGAGAAATGTCGTCGTGAGGCCGAATCTCTGATACAGCTTGGCCGGTAACGACCTTGGCGGGAGCCCGACAACGGTGGTCAGGTATTCGAGGCACATGATCCTGCCCAGCTCGCCCAGGTATCTTCCGGCAGTCATGTACTCCAGCGGCTGGAATCCCGGCTTCTCCCCCGCGGCGTCCAGCTGCTCGTCCCACTTGCTGATCAGCCCCAGCTTCCGTAGAGGCGCCGCGGAGCCGTTGATGCTCCACTCCGTGTTCACGGCTATCCTGACATCGACTCCTTCCTGGCCGGGGAGTACGCTGACCGAGTCGGGCCGCTTGCTCTCGTGGAGGCTGCTGAGTTTGAGTGGGATGGTGGCATTGCATCCCGTGCCGACAATCAGGCCCATGACCGCCTTTTGGCTGGCATTTGCCTGGAACTGGTAGATGAAGGACACCAACGTGGCGACTGAGTCGTTTGCAATGGCCGCGATCTTGATCCGCGGCATGTCCGGCTTCCGATGCTTATCGTAGCCATTCAGGAGGTGCTTTCCCAGGTTCAGATCGGACGTGATGGCGAAGCCCTTGCCCATGGCCATGAGCGTCGCCTCGGAGAGGGATCGCTGGACCATGGGAAAGCTGAACGTGACTCCCATGGGAAGGTCGACATCCGGGGGCAGGGAGAAGCGATCCAGGCCTTCCTGGACAACGACGGCAACATTCTGGCCGATCCAGGAAAACAAGCTCTCGGGATTCTCATTCTTCAGATGCTCCTGGATCGGCCAGGATCGCTCGAGGAGTCGCTGCAAGCGTGGTGGGCCCTGGTCATCGGGGTGAATATCCCCGTTGACGAGTTTCACGTCCGGCGTGCTTCCATTGACCTTCCGTTCTTGGGCAGCGCCCAGAAGCTCCACGAAGCCAACTCGAAGGTTAGTACCGCCACTAGACGGCATCAGTAGCTGTAACTATAACAGTGAGTCGCGGATATAGCATGGGGCCCTCTTACATGTCTATAGCGAGGAAGCTGGAATCGGGCTCGATTAGCCTAGGTTCCGCCCGAGAATGAGGGGATGGCTCTCTGGGGGAAAATTTGACATACCGGCCACGATGTCTCCCAGCGACAGGCCGCAGAATGGACTCAGAGATGGGCGTAGGTAGGAACTGGTCCAGTGACTCGGCAGACAGTCTCCTAAAGGTCTCGGTGAATTCTCGCGAGAGCTCGTGGACCACGTTGGAGTTGATTGAGAGGGGGCTCAGGAACTCCTCCAAGGAGCTGTTCAACGAAGCCATGTCTATCTAGATCGTATGCGCAAGTCCCCGAAATGGAGCACTCAGAGGCATGATCGCAGAGACGTTGAGAAACCAGGAGGATGGTCTTTGGGCCAGGCGATGTTTTATAAGTTCAGTCAGGTACGAACGAGGCTTGGGTCTAGTCGTCGGTAAATGGCCGGCCTTGTTATCGGTTTCCTCGCTGGTCTCTTCCCTTCACTCGACGCCATCCAAATGCGAAAATGAATCGTTGAACTATTCGCTCGTACTGTACTTTTTTTTCTTTTTCACCTCTGGGGCGGCTGGCCTTTTTTAGGCTCACTCCAGCCACAACAGGCATTTCACCTTGGTGTTCCTGGTGTTGCGGGTCTACACTACCGAATACGTGGCCAAGGGCGATCCATCTGTCCCTATATCTCGAGACCCCGCAGGGTCAAGCGCCTCTGCCAATAGGGCCTTTTCGCCTTGCGGGAGTACGGAGGTAGCCGCCTATAATTAGAGGCGTGGATGCGTACAGGGATCGGTATTTGCTTTTGTGGCTCAAGTGTCGACCTTCAACTTTCCAATGAGAGCCTGTTTTCCAACTTAAACACACCTCCCATCGCATTCCCCGCGAAAATAGCCCGACGTGCTTATTCGCTTCATTAATACCTCCTTTTTTGCTTCGGTTGTTCGCATCCCCGTTCTCTGTTGCAAGCGATCCAATCGTGGACGGGCGATCCGGGGAGTAGCAGCCGCACTCGATCAGGTCAAGCCCTTCCTCCCGCCGACACAGGCCACCGACGCCGTCGCTGCCATCATCATGGACGAGAAGCGCGCCATGTCGCCGATCAGACCGAGTTGCCCATCCCGCCGCACACGCCTGCCTATCACCCTAGCTCTCGCCGGCCTCTGTCTCTACCTCTTCTACCACGTCCACATCTACGTCCACCCGCTGCCCACCATCGCCGACCCGGACCGATGGTATGGCGCGCCCGCAAGCGAACCCACATCGCCAGTCCAGGCGAGCCGCAAGCTGGTCCCCTTGGAGGCGCATATCATGAGCAAATGCCCGGATGCAAGGGTCAGTCCCGGATGAGTGCAATCCGGCAGTCACGCCTGCCAACTCCCGCCGCGGCAGAAGACGGAGGGGGACAAGGCGCTAATAATGCGGCATACAGGATTGCCTGAGGGACATGGTTCTTCCCGCGATGATGCGTGTACACGATAAAGTCAACTTCACTTTATCGTTTATTGGGACGTACGTGGAAATCTTGCCCCGTCGAAGATCTACCTTTAGCCTAAGGCGCTTCCGTTAACTCCACTTCTTAGACCGACCGAGAACGATGGCGTCAGCTGCAAACACGGTCCGGCCGAGTGTAAGAGAGGCTCACCAAACCTGCCGTCGAGCGCATTCGCAAGTGTCGCCGTACTGATATCACATGATGATTTTGCAGGCTTAGGAAACATCCTCGAGCTCTGCGCTCAGAGGCTCTACCCCGATCCGAAGACCTACCTCGGTTTTGTCATGTGCCTGACGAGGAATTACAAGGAGATTCCCCAGCGGACCTTGATTGAGGACTGTGCGCTGGAGCATGCCATCGACTTCGACGAGTTGAATGACTGCGCGGCAGAGGACGACGGTGCTCTCGGGATGGGCATGCTGCGAGACAGCGTGCGGAGGACGTCAGAGGTTTGCCCACATCTCCCTTTTCTTCTTCTACTTCCAACTGTCAAAATACCTGTAGCTCTCGTCTCTAACCGCATCTTTCTTCTACTTCCAGGCTGGCGTGACCAAGAGCTGTACCGTGCGCCTCGACGAGAAGGTCTACTGCATCCGCGACGACAGTGAGTGGAAGGACTGCCCAACTGGGCCGGCCGTGAGCGACCTGGTCATCGCGATTGAGAAGCTGTACCGGTCCTCTTGAGTGGCTCGAAGACCTCTGTCCACAGCTCGCTAGCCTCGCCCAGTGTATATCCTAATGAAACGCCATCCATACCCGCATCCTCATCCCCCTGCATGACCCTGAGCCGCTCTATGATGCTGTCCAGCCCGATCGCCTTTCCCGTCGCCTGCGTCGCGCCCGCCTCCAGCTGAACGTGCACAATGTGGATGTGGAAGTGGTAGTACGTCGGCTGGTAGTGGACATACAGCTTCAGCTGGTCCTCCTCGACGGCGGGGTACACCTTTGTGGTGGCCTCGACGAACTTGGCCCTCATGTGCCGCAGCCAGGGGACGTGCCTCTTTCGCAGGTCCCGCAGGCTCCATATGTCCCGCCGCTCCACGATGCCCAGCAGGTGCAGCGCGTCCAGCGTCTTGCGGTCCCAGTTCAGGTCCGGGAGCAGCAGGAACCCCTCGTCGGCCGGGTCCTCGCCGAACGGCGTGCGGTAGATGACGTCCTCCTGCTCCTTGCGCCCCTCGATGATGTTGAACACCCAGTTCAGCCGCCCGGCCTCCCGCCGGGCCTGCATAAACGGCCGCACGTGGTCCCGGTAGATGGCGGGCGTCTCGGTCACGAAGCGGACACCCTGCCTGCTGTACTTCTTGACGTGCTGCTCGGTGCACGGGTAGATCAGGTTGATCTTCAGGTCGGCGAACGGGTCGTCGCCGTCGCCGTCGCCCTCGGGGCGGTCGATCGGCCCGCCGTTGGCGAGGTACCAGTGGTAGATGTCGTTGGCGCCGAGGTTCTTGAGCGCGCGGAGGCTGCCCGAGACCGAGCCGAGGTAGTCGGCCGACGCCGGGAAGGGCGCCCGTTCAAGCACCAGCAGGGCGGGTTGCGAGTCTATCGTGCCATATAGAGAGCTCCGGCGGCCGGCTTGGTCTAGATAAGGCCGGGCGCGGTCAGTCGGTCATTCGCGACTATCCAGAGAGGGATTTGGAAATGCCGTCATTGGGTTTGGCTTGACCTGCCTTGGTTTAGCAGGCGCTCGAACCTGAACTTGGGCACGAGCGCCTCTGCGTTGGTTGCGCTTGCAGACATTACGGCGACACACTCGCTCTTATCTTAAAGGCGAGGGGTTGCGAATTGTTGGATCCGTGGTGGGTGATAAGGTAAATTGATTGGCGTTGTTTCTCATCGCTCTTGAATGCCCCGCGCCTTACAGGGATCGTCGCTGCTAGTCCCGGCTTGCTTAGTGGCATAGGTTGTTTGACACACCTTTCTCCAACTTCCTCTGTAGCAGGTAACTTTTAACAGTCTCTCTCTCGCGACATCATTGCAATAATTTATATATTACATATGACATAAATATCTAGCCGTACCTACTCTAGTATATACAGGTAGAGAGCAGATTATCTAAATGCTTACTATTACAGACTCGCCTTTGCCTCGAGAACCCCAACGCTGCCATCCTGCAGCCGGAAATATGCTGCTACCGGCTTTTGCATGCCAACGCAGACGACCGGCGGCGACCACATCTTTCTCCTGCGTCAGGCACGGCGCCGCCGCCCTTGATTGAGGTCTGGTCTACGGGCCGACCTCGTCGGCGCCGTCTAAGGTTACACGTCCAGGAGGAGCCTACCATGGGACAGGTTGCAACCTTGCAAATGTGTTGCCTCGCCACCTTTCAATGCAGGCGCATTGGCTCACCCCCTTAACTTTAAAGCCAGAAGTTCACCCCAAGTTCACCCCAATTGGTGTCAGTGTAGTGTAGATCCAACCTACTTGCGGCGCGGCACTTATCATTAGGTTGTTGGTCGTCAAAAGTTATCAGATGGTGACATCCAATGGAATGTACTGCCAGGTACCCCGGTACCGGTACGGAACTACAAACAGAATCACCGGAAGGAACCCGGGCCGGCGAGGATGGCGGGGCCCGGGCATGTTGTACATCCCCCAAAGCCAGCCATCGGACCGGAGTATGCCGGCGTAGGGAAAGGGAAAAGAGGGGTGGGGGGCGTGAAATGATATGACGGCAGAAGACAGCTTCATCCAGAGAAGCGCCTATGAAGATGCCTCCCACGTGCACTCGTGTAGTGCGGAATGAAGCCCGTTGTGGTACACGCGGTAGATTGCGCCAAGATTTGGGTAGCTTATGGCGCTGCCGTATCGGGAATGGGGTGTTGACTAGATAGGGCTTCACCAAGATCTAGCCTAAGCTAGCCCTATAGGATTAGAGGTCCTGGCAGCTGCCTCAGTGCCGAGAGGCATCCGGTAGAGACGATGAGTCGGCCAGTCGGGCGAAATTCTACGAAGCAATGGCTCGCCGTCTCGGAGGTTGGGCGACTAGGACGTCAGCAAAAGTGGACGGACGTATCTCGGAATATCTCGTGGGATGGAGGTGTTAGTGGAAGCGACATCTGGCCATTTTCCCATCCTCATCCCACGATGCCCCTGCGCTCGGTGTCTGTGACTGGCAATGCCAGAGGCCGATCGCCATGCCTCGACGCCACTCATTTACTATGAGGCCGAGGCAGGCCGGCCAGGTGTTGAGGATGGCACCCCCTGCTGCTTGCTCTGGGATGGATAGGATCAAGGACAGCTTTCATGCAGAGCAAAGGGCGGCTGCCAAGCGCATAAGGAGATACCTCAGAAGGGTGGGGGGCCACAGATGGAGTCTGAGTAGATCAATAATTAAAGAGTGTGATATTATACGGAGGTACGTAAGGTAGGTAGGTATCAGTAACTCAATGTCCAAAATTCCCTTGCCCGATTCTCCATACACCGAAACCCTGGAAATGCTAGCATCCTTCCAACCGCATTGCTGGAGGTGTCAACTTTTTATATGCTCACGAGCGCATGTGTCCCCAACCAGTACATCAGCGAATGCTTGGGAGCCCCTTGGAACCGAAAATCATGATCCGTCGCAGAAAGCAGCTCGACTCCCGCCCCTTCCATGGTCTTTTTCTTTTTCTTTTCCATCGTAGATAACTTGTTTCGTCCCGGCGCGATATCCCGGCCGTTGCTCTGCCCAAAAATGCCTCTCTTTTAAAAGCTGTATCCAAAAAATTTGCCTTTGTTGTACTCCGGTGCTATGCCGAGATTCAAAGTTGGCCGAAAACAGAGGACTCAACGACGCCCGGGCAGATAAATAGGCACCTCGTTTGGTTCGCGCGATGTTCCGTCCAGGGGTATATATTCCACCAATGAACCCCCGACCCAAAGTAATCCGTCTTCTTAACTCTCCACAGTGGGAGGAACCAGATAGATAGTTGTCTCGCTCCTGAAAGTGCAGCCTTCTCTTTCCATCGTCCATTTTAGTTTCCGCCTGACAACCGACAGTCGAGCAGCCCCAGCACCGGAGATTCACATGGTGTTTTGCTGGCACGAGGGACTGGAATATACCGTATTCGCCTCCTGGGATCGTGCCTATACCTCCTCGAGGGGGCGTGAATGTTCGTAGTAGCCTCCCGAGTGAAGGCCTGGCCGAATCGAGCCGTGACCCATGTGCATAACCCTCCCGATCATTGGTCGCTTTACAGAGCTTCGTCTGGTCATCGCATCATGCGCGTACTCTTGTACACCAGCTTTGGCATAGTCATCTCTTCATCCATGTCGTCAATCGCCTCGTCTACCTCGAGCTCATTGCTGGCTTCCTTGGCCGAAGAGCTTCCGGCGTGGTCGCGGCGCATGTTGGGGGGCCGAAAACTCCTCCCCTTCATGGGGTCTTCAGACGCCTTCTGCGCGTCACGTCCCTCCTTTTGGGCCCTCTCCATCTCCTTGACGGCCAGTTCCTTGGTCTCGCCGAGCCAGCGCTGGATCTTGGTGACCTCATCGGTGCAGTCGCCGTCACGTAAAAATTGGTGGGCAGCATGCTCGCACGTGCCTTGGACATGCTCGAGCCCCTTATCTAGCTCATCATAGACGTCACGGCCCTGGTCTGCGGCTCCATAAGAGCCTCTGCTTCCGAAGCCAGATTTGGTCCCTGGAGCGTGCAGTTGCCGTCCGGTAGCCGTCATCGGGACGTTCGGTTGCCGGCTGATGGTCTGCATCCGCCGCGTGCTGACATAGCGCAGGGCCGGAAGTTCTGCCGCACCATCTTCGTCGTCTCCTTCGGGGATCAGAGAAGCCTCGAGCGGAGCCTCAGGTGCAATGGTTGTCGACATCTGCGGCGCACCGCCACCAGCATGGCCTGCGGCCGGCGCGTCTGGGCGGTCCACACGCATCCCCTTGGCGGCTGTCCCCACGGTGTAGATCTGGTCCTCCTGCCCGTCCTCGTCCTCGTCCTCGTCCGGCATCTCCAGCTCTGCCAGGCGCTTGATCTGCGCGACCTTGGCTGCCATCTTGGCCTTGCGCATCATGTTCCGTGACGCGCTGACAAACTTTACCAGTTCCTCGAAGAAGCTCTGCACATAGCTGTCGTAATACACGATGATCATGCTGCGCGTGCGGTACTTGGGAGTCGCACCCTCGGCCGAGATGACCGACTCGGTCCGCTGCCGCTTCCGCAGTGTGGCGCGAGCCCGCGCCTGCCCAGCTGCTTTCACCTGGTTGGTTTGCCGCTGAAGTGCCGAGGGGGTGTTGGAACCGGCCGGGCTAGACGGCGGTTGGGCGTCGGAGGGGGTGGTTTGCTGTTGGGTGCCGGCGGCAGCCGACGTGTCCAGCGGGTTCGACGTCGGCGCGGCGGGGTTTTGGAGCGGCGGCGGCGGGCCGCCGGGGTGCGCCTCAGGCTCGTCTCGAGGCTTCAGCGACTCGGTTGAGCCGCGGTTCTTCATCGATCGGGCAGGTCGGGAATCGCCACCGGATGCCCCACTACTCCTGTCCGTCACCTGGGACAGCTCCTGCTGGCGCTGCTCGATCTGGCCATTAAGCTCGTCGAGTCGCTTGAGCCAGTCGGGGATGTTGGTGACTAGGTTCTTGAGAGCGTCCATGGTGAGATTCTCCTCCAATGCCGCCTCTTGGTCGTCGCCCGCTCGTCGAAAAGAAGCCGTCTTGGGCGTAATGATGGGCCAGGGAAGGCGGAGGCGCGATCCGCCACCGGCACTGGAGTGGACCTATTCTGCACTGCTAGAAAGGTGACCAGAGGACGGGAAAAGGGGGAAGGTAGGTTGCCCGAGTGTTGAGATGGTCGCGAGGCGGGAGCGGGATCGATAAGGGAGGTTGAGGGAGGAGAAATGGAAAACGGAGACGAGATAAACGGGAATGCTTCGCAGCGCCGTCCAAGGTCTCAGGAACAAGCAAACATGGTAGATAGATTTCAAAGGCCCGTAAAAAGGTCAAATTGGCGACAGATGTGACGGCTCGAGGCTGCACGGGAAGCTTCGGCGCCTGAGCTGGAATTGGATGGGGTAGCTTCGAAGTTATTAGAAAAAAGAAACAACAAAGCGTGGAGACATGGAGATGGACGGGAAAAATAGGTCACCCACCCTTGATGTTTCCCAGGCTGTGGGCTTGATTGGTGACCGGAATTTCCTCCAAGGGTTTGATCGACGGCTAGTAGACAAGCTCCCTGCTAACTAATAATAAGCTGATGGAGTTGTGGGCTTTGAAAAGTGACAGGTTCATTCAAGTGTACATCCGTACCTAGTGTCCACTACGTGGGGGAAGCAAAAGGATTTGAGTGTGTGTGGCAGCGGATGCTCTCCCGTCCAGATATTTCTAACGCACATTATTAAGTTACCTTACGGAATACGTATACGGGATACAGTGTACTGGTCAGTCCAACCAGAGGTACCAATTACTACCTGCCTCCGCTAGCAGGGAGATCGACAGAATAAGCCCGGGGGTTCCGTCCGGAGCATTACAGCTCCCAAGATAACAATCCAATAAATATACCTTAACTTTTGATTATTTGTGTCGACGGTTGAGTTTGGGGCTGTCTGGAAACAGACATTAGTCCAGATGGATTTGCATGTTCAAGGCCTTCCGGCCTGTGCCTACTTTTAACCTTAACTTAAAAGGTTGTCGACATCACGCCTATCCCACATCCCACATCCAGTTCGCAAGAGCACATATGTTTGTATAAAGTACCTACTCTGCGACTTACCTAGGGAGGTACTCCGCACTGGTCCATTTTCATATGCACTTCTTCGCTTCTGCACTGGCGGCCGCTGGCCACCACTGCAGCAGCAGGTCGTATCCAAAGGTTCAATTCAACAGTTTTGATCATCCAATCCCTCTGCAATCCGTTGCAATGTCTGCGGCATCACACGACTAACTCTGGCCCTGTTCATCTTCGATCTGCGAGCTCTTACTGAACTGAGGCAGTTGGAGGTTGGTAAACAGCCGAACCACCTAAGCGCTGTGCTTAAAGAAGGAAGTGCAATGATTGCATAAGTACAACCTGAAAGTACAGGTAGTGACAAAGACGGGGCGAGATCCGAAAGGGCTGCAGAGACTAGGGGGGTACAAGTGTGGTCACTTTCACCCCACCACACCAGTCACTTTCCATTCTCCCACTCCCTTCTCGCTGCGGCATCAACAAACGCATTTGGGGTTGAGTTGCGACTTGCGCAATGCCAACCCTAGCCGTCTCTACGGAATACTCCCCCCTAACCGGCAGGCGTGTTGGACATGGAGACTTTGGGTTTTGAAAGATAATCAAAAACCTATGCCGCTACCTCTACACCATGTCGAGCAGTGAGTGAGTGAGCAGCTGTTTCCCCCGAAATAGGGCTTTCCCACGAGGGCCGCCACGAGCAATATTAAGATACCTACCTCTAGAGACTGCAAAGTAGCCCTCAAGCACGATGACGCCCACCTGAATATAGGAAATGCAAGGCCAGCTGCGAGACGCCCGTCAGCTTAGGAATCGTACCGCTTGGCGGCTGGTGCGCAATCTAGGTAGGACCACATGACTGACGGCATGGTCAATTACATCGAGTGTTGATACTTCCAACTCTCTTCTGTGCAACAGGAGGATCACCCGCGGGCTCTCAAAAGGGCGCCTCGAACGGGTTTGATTCGATGCTTTACGAGATCCGTTGGTGCCGTGCTCCCGAGCGGGATTATACTCGTACGTCGCTGCGGTGTAATGTAATGGAGTTGTAAGAACAAAGAAAATAAAACAGGCACAGACTGACAACCAAGTTTGTACCTGAGGAGCGGGCTTGACCGATGACTTTCGGAAGGACGTTGGAGGACGGATGATGGACGATAGATCTGATTTAGAAGTGCTGCAACGGGCCGCATGATTAAAGTGGGATTATACTACGCTGTTGGTTGGGCGCATGCGAGGGCTACCGCAATGTGCCGTCGTCTATTGGCCGCTGATCCCGGACCGTTCAAACAGGAATGCAGTTCCGGGCAGCAAGCCAAGAGACTGACGAAGCAGGTCGACAAGTCCGTTCCCACTGCAACATAAAGAGGGCGAACAATCTGGAACCGCTGGCCAGTCGCATGCTCCTCCCCCTCAAGAACTGGCGAGCTGGCCGCACTCTGCTGTGATTTACTGCGCATGTACCGGTCTGGTACCTCCGATGGGCAACCAAGTCAACTCAACTGTGCTTTTGGAGCTTGAGAGAGTTGAGCCAACAAAATCATCAGCCTGGCGCCAACCTCCTTTGGTGGCTAAAGTTTCGGCCCAGAGCAACCGTTTTCGTCCGCGATCCCTGCCAGGATGTGACTGGGGGGTGGGCTGGTCACGAGGTGTTAATTCATGATTCTCATGATATCGTCTGACAATTGTCGAAGAGTCCCATATCTGTTAGTTGTTAGTAATAATAGTCCGGGAGAGAAGCCGAAAATGAGTCCGCACCTCACCAACTCGCTCGAATTTCAATCTTATGCCTCAGGGGGAGTGCACAACGATCGCCATTTTCCCGCCCACAACAGCGGCCCGTAGACAGATGATGACGAGCTTCCTTGCCCTAAGACTAGGTAAGGCAGGCGCGCAAGCCACATTTGGCCTCATGTACAGATACGGACTTAAGCCCCTGCTCTTTACGTGGCAACGCACGTGGCCACATTTGGAACTTACCAGGGAAGATCTTGGCGTGAACCTGGCTCCCCTGTCAGCAGAAGCAGCCTGACAAGGGTAGGCTTACCACAGAGGACACAAGATGTGCATTTTAGTTGCTAGGATAACATATTTGACGCAGCTTGTCAGGGCGAAGAGTATTGTGCCAGGTCTGTCAAGTTGGAAGAAGTTTGCTAGAAAATAGGTATATAATCACCTACCTACATAGTACACACAGATAGGCAGGGTAATCCACATGTGATGCTGATCTTGGACAACTGCAATAGACGGAGGGAAACCGAGGTAGGTCTAGATCTCCAACCTGACCCACAACCTACAGCCCAGCAAATTTGTGGGCAGACAATCGCGTTATGCCAAGTCCAGGGCCTCGACCAACTCCTTGATAGCCCCTTTCTCGGCCCTGCCCCAGTCGACACCCTTGAGCCTCTCTGCCCGCACGTGGCCAACTCCGGAGATGAGACCCCACAGCTCATCAATCACCATGGCCCTAACCCGCGGCCAGGGGTGGAAGAGCAGCGCCCCAAGCCGGCGCCTCGCCTGCCTACCGCCGTCGCCGTCGCTCCTCGGCTCCCCCGACCCCGGGCCGCCACCCGCCAGCGCGGCCACGGCGCCGTAGACCCTGATGCAGGCCTCGATCTTGCGCACGTTGCCCGTCTTGTAGCACGCCCTCTGCGCGCCGAGGCACAGCGCCGCGCGGTCGACGACGGCGGGCCCGCACCGCGCGAGCACGCCGGCGCGCGCGAGGAACGCCACCATCTCCAGCGACGGCACGACGACGCGGTCCTCCAGGGCGCCCCGCCGCCGCCACCCGAGGTTGCGCGCCAGCGCCGCGCACACGGCGTCCCGGGACGCCGGGGACCCGCCCCCGCCGCCGTCGTCGTCGTCGTCGCAGAAGTCGGTGAGGGCCGCCCGGCTGGCTATCACGAGGTCCTCGTTGCCCGTGTCGGCCGACGACACGTAGCCCGCCATCAGCTCGCCCATCCACCGGTCCGGGTCGGCCTTGGCCGTGGCTGAGACGGCCGGGTGCAGCCAGTCGTTGGAAAGCAGGTCGAGGAGGAAGCGGAAGTAGGCCCGCGAGGAGAAGGTCAGCCTGCTGAGACGTGCGGCGTGGCTGGTGGGGGTATGTTAGTCGAATGTGTGCACAAGGAAGGTGAGTGTGTGTCTCTTACTCTGGACCCAATGCCAGTGCCAATGTGGTCTGCGCCTCTACTCTCACTCTGTCGAGCTTCTCCGCGGCCAGACGCAGGATCCTCAGGAAGAGGCTGCTAGATACTAGGGTTTGGAGGCCCTCGGGCTGTTGTTGTTCGTCGTGCAGGGTCTGCCAGAGTGATCCCGTGGCTCTTATCGCCTGTAGTCGTACGTGTGAGCCAACGTCGCCTCTAGCATCCGTCGTGTAGTCGTCCAGGCCCTCTTCTACGAGGCCAAGGAAGTCGACAGCGTTCTGCTTCAGCATGGCGCTCTGCGTCAGGCTCTGGAGGATGGACACGCGGGTATCTATGTCCTTGTCGCCCGCCCACCGCTCGAGGATGGCATTGCAGATCAAGGCGCTGTCCTCTGGCTGGTGGAGATTGAGAGTCGACACGGTCGGGTAAGCCTTGACCAGTGCTGCAAACTGCCCTCCGACGGATCCCGTACGAGACGTCGGAACGAGCCTGACAGCTTCGGCCCATCTCCGAATTGTCTCCTCCCGAACGTCTGGTTCGCACACGGACAGGAACACCAGCCCCGTTTGGGATGTCGCCACGATGTTCTCGTGCTCTGACCGTTTCATCCACTCGCTCAGGTTGGAGCTGATGAGAGGTACCAGAGTGCGAATGCGGTGGCGTCTCGACTCGCCTACCGAGTCCAGGGCCGATACCATGTCCGAAAAGCGCTGGGTGCCTGTCGTTGAAGAGACGAAGACAGGGCCGGGCAGGATGTTTACTGAAGGCAGGCTCTCGGTCTCACCATTTGGGCCCAGCATTGCAGCCTGGAACAGCGGGAATGATGAGACCACGAGACGGCTTGCTGCCTCGGCGACAAGCTCGGGCCGCCGGTGGGTTTTGGTTTTGCAGTCAGTGAGAATCCCTTCCAGGGAGCCCATCACCTGCCGTAATAGACCATCCATCGTGGCGCCAGATGGCGGTTTCCTGCCCTCGGCCGGATCCATCAGTGCCGGAAAATGGTCCAGGACAGCTGCAAAGGCGAGTAGGAGTCCATGACGTTCCTCGACTTGCCGATGTTGCAGGAGCCGGAGGCGCTGAAGGACAACTTCAATAGTACCGCTCAGCTGTTGCACCGGGTCGGGGGATGAAACGACAAGTTCGGCCGCAACGACCCCAAATGATGCCGCGGCGACCCTGCGGGCGGCGGGTTCAACATCTCCAATACCCCTCCAGGACAGTAGAGCCTCCAGCATCGCCTCACCGTACTGGGCGGCTAGTCTGGTGGCTTCCAGGGCCACTTGTTGTATGGCTCTCGCCCGCAGCGCCACGGCGTGATAATCTACCGTCTGGACCACCCAGATGCCCTTCTCGGCGACATCGGGATGCCTGCCGATTAGTTCTTGCAGCGCTGCCGAGGAACCTCGCCTGATGTTCCCGGCCGGATCCAGCGATGCGGTCACGATAAGCTCCGTGGCGAGGATCTGCAGGACGGAGGATTGGGCAGGGTGATGCCTGGCCGCCGAAATAGACTTGGTGGGCACGGCCAGCAGCTCCTTCGTAGTGTATCGCCTAGCAATGGCCCATATGCCGAAGCATGATGCATCCCTGACATTAGTTCCAACCGTGTTTCCGGAGGAGCTCCTCTGCTCAAACGACAGGCCCATCAACAGGGCTTGAATGATATCCGACAGCTTCTCCGCCGGTGGAGATCGTCGATAGAGTAGATGAGACAGTGTTAGCATCAGACCGTGCCATTCCAGGGGGTCAACCGCGCTGAGGTCTCTGGTCGGCGCCGCGGACGGATTCGTAGGGTTTTGCGTCCACAACACATTCCGACTCAGGGATTCCAGGACTGCCTCAACGACCTGTGACGCCATCTCCATATCTAACTTCAGGGTGGTCACGCTCAAGGCTTTACTGGCCGCCAAACGCACTGGCGTGTCATTGTCAGCGAGACGTTCCAGCAGGTGGCCGATGGTAGTCTCGACCAGCTCGGTCCCGGCCATGTCCAGTTGTTGATTCCGTAGTACCAGGACAGTGATGGAGCGCATGACCTTAATTAGCGTCTTTCTTGCCAGGGCCGACGAGGTTATGGCGCCGACCGAGTCGGACGAGGCAGCGTGAGCGGCCTCGAAGATTTTAAACAAGTACTTGTCCATATCCGACGTGTTGGCCGAGGAAGCCAAGATGCCGGCAAGGAAGGAGAGCACGCCTATGTGGTAATAAGACGTCTGGGACGCAATGTCCTTCTGGAGACGAAGGGAAGCAAGAGCCCACTGCACCAGGGCGTCCAGGACGCCGAGGTCTTGCATATCCCGTCGCATTGCCACCCGTACAAGCAGGGCCTTCGCTGCATCTCTCTCCTTGCCCGGGGACGCCAAGTACTTGATAGCCAGAGGCAATATCCTGACGGTAATGGCCGGGAGATTGGCGGGCCACTGGAATCCGGGAATGGCTGGCAGTTCCTCCTCGTCAACGTCGACAGACGAGATGGTCGCCAGGTCGAAAGGGGCCAGGAAGAGATGCGAGAGCCAGAGCAGCACGACGTACCGCTGCTCCCACGTCCACTCGACGGCGGCGGGATCTATCTTCCGCTCGGAATCTTCCAGGGCGGATAATAAGACGTCGAGATATCTGGTCTCATTGTTAAGGAAGCGAACGACGACCTTCTCGCCGCGGATCTTGCAGAAGGTGTACAGTATCCTGCAGATGCCGGCAGACAAGGGCATCAAGAGATCCGAACGCGTTGACAGGGGCTTGGAGCGCCTGCGGGTCTGGAGATACTCAAGAAAGCTCTCGGCCAAGACGGGCAGCCATTTCGGTAGCTGCGGGTCCAGAAGCTGTGGTAGTTCCTGGAACGGGTCCAGCAGCTTGAAATAAAAGAGAGCTCACTGATCAGCTCGAAACTTCCAAAGTCCCCCAGGGCTGGGTTGTGGGCCATACACACCGTGGAAACCAACCGGCCCGTCTCACGAGAGCGCACTCGCCTTCTGACGATTGTTCCCCCAGAGCCATCGGACTTGCGTAGATACGGTAGAAGAGACCGATCAAAGTCCTCAATCAGGTCGCTCGAGATCCTTTGGAGCTTGATATCTTGGTCCTCCTCGGGTGCGTCCATGTTTGTGTCGCTTGCCGTAGTCGCTCGCCGAAATTGCGGGCAGCAAAGAAATCAACGAGAAGCAGACAACCGAAATGGTTTACGGGAAACTCAACATCACATGCGATGGCCGATCGAAAAGCCAAATTGCTCATTCACGAAAGTGGTAGCTGGAAGGTCCTTGGGCTTGATGGAGTCGCAGGCTCTGTGCTTGTTGCGAGTTTCGCCAGCAATCCCGGCTCCTGCAGCCAGCCAAACACGGGACCTCTAGGCAGCCAAGCTTTCTCGATTTCGAGAACAACACGAATATCAAGAACAATACTGCGGTATCTCTCTCACTCGAATCTCAATCTCATATATACCATAAATATTGCTTGCCTTCTTTCGGCTTCTCACCAGGCAAGCTTATATCATTGTATCATTTCATCCCAGGCTCTTCAGAATCCTGTCAAAAACAACCCCCAAGGAAATTCCGTTTTTTTTGGGGGGGGGGGTACTCCACAACATCAATCAATTTTATTCAAGCGGCAAGGAAATACCAAGGTTTATGTAAATTGACATGTGCTGTATCTACGCGTCCGTGGCGTCTATGAGGTATGTATAGTACCAATATTTCCGCATCAAATGCCTTCTATTCCCGGTTACGCATCAAGTCACCGGGTCGCCACATTTACTACCAAAGAGAAACGCCCTTCCATGTGCGACCACCCCATGAGCTCCCCGGCCCAGTAAACTCAGCCTCTCCCCGAACCCAGTGACAGCACAGCAAATCGAGCTCCGCCCCGCGACTATCAGCGACGCACGATCACGCAGCCCCAATCGCGGCAACCAAGGCATCCATGGCGGAGCTGTGCGTTGCCGCCGTGGGTCCGCTACCGACATCGTAGGGACCAGACCAGACGACGCCGATCCTGCCACCCGCGGGGTTCCGGGCGGTTGCCCAGATCGAGTCGGCGTTCTTGAGGATGCTGACTTTGTAGGCGTCCTGCGGCGCCGCCCGCTGCAGGTAGCCCAGGTTCCGGACGAAGATGCCCTTGAACTGGCTGGCGTCGGGGCCGCACTTGGGCTCGCACGCCGCCTCGTGGATGATGCCGTTGGCGTCCGAGAGCAGCGAGATGGCCGCCATGGCGAGGGCCTCGGCCTCGGACAGGTACGACGGGTCGCCCGTGGCCTTGGCGAGCTCGACCAGGCCGCCCAGCACGACGCCTTGGTTGTATGACCACGTGTTCATGCCGTTGTTGACGCACGTGCCGTCGGCTCTGATGGTCAGGCCGTCGTTGATGTGGTTGTTCTTGTTGATCATGCCGCTGTTCTTGAACCACGCCCACTCCTCCTTGGCGATGTCCAGGAAGTAGCCCTGGTTGCTGGTGACGCGGTTTGCGAGGCTGGCTGCGAGGCTGAGGTACAGCCCGTTGGCGATGGCATTCTTGTAGGCCCGCTCCCTGCTCCACCAGATACCGCCACCGCAGACGTCGTCTGTCCCGTTCTTCATGTCCTCAAAGATGAGCTGCGCCATGTCCAGGTATCTGTCATCGTGGACCAGATCCCACGACCGGACCAGCGCCAAGGCCCACCAACCTTCGTCGTCATAGAAGTCGTTGAGGAAGCCCTCAAAGCCCCGCGTAGCAAGACCAGACCGCGTCTCAGTGCTCGTCACAGTGTAGGTCGACTGTATCATGCCCGTGGACGACATGGACTTTTGAACAGCCATGGGGGTCTTCTGTGCATTGGTAAAGGTGTTGGAAATGATGCCGGCAATGTCCAATGTGTTCGCGTCAATGCCGTCTAGGGTGGCAAAGTCGGCGAGCACCGTCAGGCAGTTGGCGCTGTTCCACCACCCGGCGGTGTCCCAGAGACCCTGTCCAGTATTGTACCAACCCTGAAGCGTGTTGACGGCTGTAACGGTGTTGCTGCTGTATATGGCCTTGTCTGCTCTCTGGACAAAGTGGGAAGAGACAAGAAAGACGCCCCGAGCCGCAAGACCACCCCATCTTGTGGAAACCATGTTGGAGATCACGAGTATTATCCTCAGCTGGAGGGTTGGAAGCACTTCACCCCGGTGTAAACCTCGAGTAGGCTGAGAGTCCAAGGAGGAATCAGGGCTCCAAGGGAAGAAATGGCAGATGGTATATAGGTTGATGGGGAGCAACACAAAGCATAATACAGCAAGCTGGAGCCATTGTCTCCGTGAACCTTCAACTGGGAGGTTAAATAAGGTTGACAGTCGTCCTCCTCTAGCCGCATGGGGTCGGGGGGCCTTGTTGGGCCAGTTTTTGGCAGCGAAACCAGCTGGCTGGGCCATGATGGTCTCCTGCAGATATCACAAGGTAATTAAAGGTCGGTTCGTCACCTCGTCTCATGCCTCTAATCTGGCCCAGACCATGTGCAGGGCGGTGCAACCAAGATCCCTGGTGGCTTGAAGCCTCAGCTACATATGAAGCCAAAGCCCGTCCACTGGTGACCCCAGTGCTCCACTAGCGATGGAGGTTACAAGTCACGAGAGGAGGCTGACAACGCAGCTATAGTGAGGCTGATATATGTGAGCTGCAGGGAAACACGGGGGAAACGGAGATGATAGGCTGACCTGGTGTTTCAAGATAACATTGCCGTTATGCCTGACCCAAAGACAACTTCAGCAGGGTCGAATAGAGAAACAACTGTTTCCACTCTTTCAACCTCTCAGCGAACTTTGCGCTGGCCCCATGTGCATGGGCGAGTGTTTCAGATCGTCCAATCTAAGGTCTGGAGCGCTAGTCTCATATAGTTGACATTCCTGAGAGGGAAGCCGTCAATGTAGCAAGACCTAGCTAGCAGTGTTCGGAAAAGGCCTGAGTCGTGATTAACTATCCACAGATCTGCTCTAGGAAAAGGGAGATCAATGAGGTTCTTTACGGATTTCGCCGATCTAGATTAGATTTGGCATGCTCATTGTTGATTGTTGATTGCGAATCAGGTGCCGGCCATACCGAACAGCTAGGCAACGGTCGATGCTGCTAACTTTGATCACATAGGTTGTGGTTGAATCAGAAGAGTGCAAAATTAGGACTCATAACCCGAATTATCGTCACCCCCCCCCCTCCCCGGGTTCAAGCGTTAGTCCAGCATCAGATACCTAGGTACAGAATTAGATGCAGTTTAATTATATAGGGGTTAGTGTACAAGGTACCCACTAACAGTTGTCGAACCCTTAACTCACCGATCAGCAACCTTACTGCAAACTCTCTGCCATCTTCAACCTTGAAAAAAAAAACCCCACCCCTAGTCAACGCCACTTCTCGTTGTCATGTCTCCCAAAAACCGAGCGGCCACCAAACAGCGCTTGACTAGACCAACTGGGGAGTTAAGATGCGTACAGAGTATGTTCCCCCAGACCTCGACCCGCCTCCGCATTCGGGTCAGCCCTTCCGTTCTCCGCACCCTCTTCGGTGGAGATCGGCTCTGTCAGTGACGGGCTGAGATTGTACTGGTTGCAACCCCTATTGCCTGTATTTATGGCGCCCAAGCCCACCGGCCACCTCATCCGACCCCCGGCTGATGTCTCGGCCTGTAGCTAAGTCCCCGATTGAGCCGGCCAAGCCCGTGCTTCTGCTTCCTGCCTGTCTCACAGGGGCTTGGCGCTACTCAATGTCACCGAGACCTCGGACCAGCTGATCCTCGCCGATGACGACCCCTATGCCGCCGTCGAGAAAGGGGTCGGGGCGGTTGTTATTCCCCACCCTGGACGGTCACAGACTGCTAGGCACCCGGTCTGGCAGCGCTGGAATCGGCCCTTACCCGGACTGCTGCTGAGTTCCCTCGGGCTTCAGGACGTTGGGAAGGCCCAGCCCACTGATGAGCCATATTCGGGCACCGATTTTACCGGGACTAAGTAGGGAGCCATCGTGATATCCGACAGCTACTCAAATCCTGGCCCGATCCTTGGGCAATATTGATTCCCAAGAACGTACGAGGCCGGCCTGTACGTATTCAGCGATTCCAGCCACCTCGCTTCCCACAACAAGACAACACCCTTCTTGCGGAACCTGCAAGAGTTCAAGACCATGTTCCAGCCTTACTCCGACACGTGAACTCACCTCATCATCAACGAGATGCAATATGCGCCACCTCCCGAGCCAAGCATCCACGAGAAACAAATTGTTGTCCGCACATGGGAGATGCCACGGGTGACCATTACGTGCAACATGAGTCAGACAACTTCACCAAGTACACGTTTCAGGACACGTAGAGCGAGCACGACGCTCACGGCCTGTTTGTTGACGGCACCCAGTCTCCTGACAACTCGACTTACCGGCTATGTCTTGTCATGAACACAAGGAAGAGCCTATGGCGTCCCCTTGCATTCGGTCTTGACCATGGGTGGCATCTTCAGCACTACATCGTGTCAAACCACCACGGTAATCAGACGCCAAACATGCCGACAGATTCGACAGGACGTCCGGCCCACAGTCCTACCACTTCAACAAGTCCCCCCCTGGCGCGATCCTGCACAGTATACCGGTTCCACCTGTAGTGCCGCTTTCTACGATTCCATCCATTACCGTTATGGTGCTGAATCCCGTCACACCGGCCAACCGCACCACCCAGGCGCTCCCCATCGATCTCCCAAAACGTGCAACGAATCCCATTGTCCGCGCACGACTGACCTGCCATCCAACTCCCCCCCCCGGGACGGCGTCGACTTCATGCCAGGGCCAGCACGGGCGACGTCGCGAACCACCCGCAACTGCATCACCTACTGGAGCGTTCCTTCGGCGTGGCGCTCGGTCAACCCCCGTTCCGCCAGATGCCCCCCACCTACTACGGGGCCACGGTGGCGCCTGGACCGTCCCGCTTCGGCGTCGCGTGCGGGGAGACCCCGATCCGGCGGAAGACCTTCACGGTGTGTAGCTTGCGGGCGCCCAAGACCGCCGCCCCCTGGGAACTCTGACGTCTGCAACTCACCAGCGAGCCCTATGACGGCGTGCAGCGTATACCGCCGACGTCGGCGAGGGAAATGATCGTCTGTCCTCAACCTTCCTTGGCAACGCCACCGACTTCGAGAGCGCCATCCTGCCGGGGTCAGTCTATGTAGAGTACGACGCTGTGAGATTGGGGATTGTCTAGTAAACTTACTTCTGGCAGGTTGGTCGGCTGACTATGTACTAGGGAGTATGAGTAATGTTCTTTTCTTTTCTTTTCTTTTTTGCCCCTTCTTTTTTCTTTTTTTGCTCCGCGCCATAAATACCAAACCATGTATCCCCCTTAAGCCATGCCCCAAAGTACAGTGCCAGGAGACAACCCACAGATGACTATCTGGAGGTGAACAAGCTCACTCCTATCTTTTTGTTCTCAATAAGTATCATGCTCGGTTCTCTCTAAACCCATACGTGAAACGGCCGAGCTATTCTCACCTCCCTGCGATCCTATCGACGGGTCAGAAGGTAAGCAAGTGTTGCGGCGTTTCCCCCCTATCCCACAAGAGGGAAGATATTGGATGCCGTGACGCCCCCTTCTAAATGGCGCCTCTTGAGAATTTTGCTCGCTGAACCGTGAAACATCGGCAGTGATACTCTCACGTAGGCCAGTTCTGGACAACACAGGCTAGCCTGGCAGAGCGAGTGTTTTTCTTTTTTTCCCCTTCTTTCCTTCTTCCAACTTCTTTCTCTCCGTTTCCATTCGTTGTACTCACCGCCCGTGCCGCTCCCGTTTTGCCTAGAAGCAAACCCGTCGGCTGGTACACGCCCCGCCCGTGTCGCACATAGTCTTGGTTACGCTGGGTAAGGCGAGAAGTGAGCGGCAGCAACGGCTACCCGTCTCTCGGGGTGGGCGGTCAATCGAGATCGTAGAAGGTTAGGAACGGGGATAAGCGGCCCCGGGTAGGACGTGGCAGGTCTTACATGGATCATGGGGGTGGGGAGTCTTAACGAAACATGCAGACAGCCGAGGGAAACCCGCGGCGCATGTCATTATGGAGTTGTGGAGGAGCGACAAGCTCTGGGGCTAGTTTAGATGAAAGAGTTTCGAAAGCCGAAGGTTGACGGGGACTGTGGTTGTACAAAGACCGGCGCGGATCGTACACGGGCCGGGGAGAAGGGCGTCGTTTCCGGGGAACTGGCCACGAGAAACTCGGCTGGGCTTCCTATCTGCCCCCCTCCTTGCGTCGATGTTTCCGGTCACGTCGAATCATGTGCGACCCCAAGGGCTCTGACGTAGCCTCGAGCCCGCGCAGCCCTTGGCCGCGGTGAGGACGAGGCTGAAACAGGCGGGTGGTAGGCGAAATACTCCTGCAACATTACCTTGCATCTGGTAGCATAGCATACGCACCGCTAGGCATGGCATGTGGATCGATGATGAAACTATGCGTACGCCGGACGGGATAACGGGACGAGAGCGCTTGCCCTTATCCTATCCGGACGACCTAGAAGCGAGGTGAGCGAGGTGGGCGAGGGAAAAGGGCACACGGGACCTGGCAGTTGTCAGCGTGGGGGGGAGGGGTGGGGACGGATGTTGTTTTACGAGTGGTAAAATCTGGGCGAAGCTCGTGGCATCAGGCGGTTGGAAGTCAAGGAGAATAAGAACCCCGTCCAGGTGCTGTTGTGTCACTAAACGAGACAGGAAAGCATTCTTTTGACAGGTGTCAGGGGGGTTGAGAGTAGTGGGACGCTTTATCCATGCCGTGTAAGACAGAAGTCAGCCTCAAGCTAACTTGACCGCGACACAGAAGATGAGGAGCCTTGATCCGACGATAACGTCGGGATTCGATAGGATGACCTATGTGGTCTTGTGTAAGAGCAAACCGTAAGCCCACCGCCAGTACTTGCGTACACTTTCTTTCTTATCCCAATTTCTTTCCTTCTAATTCCGAGACCAACAAGAAAGCCACCTCCTCACCGCCGGTTCAAACGCAATTTGATTGGCAAACACAAACCATCCACATACCCCATTTCGTGAGAGCTGACATGAGAGAAGACAAACAGTGACTGTTGCCAGAAATGACATCTTTTGCTTTTCCCTCCCATTTCCCCTTCTATTCCCTGTTCCAGTCCATCCCCCCAAATCCGTTTGCCACCAGTATCCTGTCTATGTATGGGAAGCCACATCTCTTTCTTGCACAAATCCTGAACGCAAAACCGAAGGCATGGAAAAAATTGAGAGGCGAGCCCGAGACGGTACTGAACAGTCGCAGACGTTCGAGATGCCGCTCGCCAAAATCCCGTTTTACCCCATACGCCGTGTAACTCCCCGTTATCTTGATATGACTCAGTAGGAACCTTCCTTCTGTCTTTCCTTTTTTTCCGTTGGTAATTTTTTCTCGTCCAGGAGAAAAGATAGCAGCTGAACGGTTCGGGCAGCGGAGCCTGAACCTGGTGGAGCTGGGGCCGTTTTAGGATGCTGCTGTCTCTGAAGGGCAACTCGAGTCCAAAAGAGAAATGGCCTCCCTTACCACTCTTCCAGAATAAGGCCCCCCTGACAAGAGAATCTTAAAAGAGGATCGGACGATGCTGAGACCAGAAGCTACCGGTAAGTTCCGTGTCAATGCCGTGCGTCAGGAACTGTCGAAATCGGGTTGTTGTCTGCCGAGGCCCCTGCCGGGCACCATTAACGAGATTGATGGCGCAAAGCTTGTATGGAAAATAAAATTGGTACCGGGCAACAAGAGAAAGGGGCATGTGCCATCGATGCTGTTTCGCTTGCGCTTCCCTTTTTTTCTTTCTTTTCCTCCTTCTTTCTGTTTTCGGGGTTGGGGGTGACGAAGGCTTGCGGTCGAGAAACAAGCCCGGCCTCTTCTGCTAGCTGAGGTCAGTTCGGTGTGCTCAGGTCTCCAGGATGCTGGTCATTTTCGCAAATAGTGGGGTCGCTTGCGCCCCCGTCAGCTCGATGTGAACAATGCTGGCCAAGAGCGCAGGTTTCTGATCCACTTGGCAGCGCTTCCGGGGAGTCCAAAGCAATTCGAAAAACCAACGCTCATAAGGGCAGTATTTGAGGGTTTGATAGGGGCGGAACTGCAAACTCACCCGCAATCTCGTCACCGTCAGAGCCAGCCAAACCAAACAGTCCATACATTGCGCACGCAAGAGAGAAGCACGAAGGCTCACTCTCAGGGCGTGGGTGCAGGGTAAGGCAGTACCGGCTTGGTCGCCCAACCTGCAGCCATGCGCAGTGGAGGCAGGGGCCCCGGGGATCAGGCACTGTGAATGCAGGCACGACATGTGTGGAGCTTGCAGTACCGGCATTCGAAGATCCACCAGTGCGGTCCCGAGTGGCACAGATTGCACGTCCATTGGATCAGCGTGTTGTCCGACTTGATCATCTTGAAAGAGTGCGCGCAGTTGTTGGCCACAGCCATCTTTGCCCGTAGGAGCCACTGGGAGAGGAAACCGGGGCCGTGGAGAAAGATGTAAAGTTGGTGAAGGCAGTTCCCAAGTCCGTGTGGGCTTTTAGACTCGGGTTAGTTGACCGGTGGATCTGGTCTACTTTGACCTAAGCAGGAGCTTGGAGCACCCCAGTTTAGCCTTTGCTTTATTTCTTTTTTTGGAGGCTCGATCTTGAGCTTACCTTTCAGGGCGATTTTATTGATATCTCTGCTTTGGGATTTTTTTGGGGATGCAAGTCGAGGCAGGCTGGGACGCGGTTGTCGAGGTTGTTGCAAAGGTGTCTCCTGTTCTAGATCGGTAGCGCAGGCTTTCTGTTGAAGGTTTAGTGAGGGACGAGGTAGACGAGAGACAAGAGATGGCAGGACGAGCGAGAGGACTTGTTATATACTGGGGACAGGAAGAACAGACCGACTTGTTGTTTGCTAGCATGGGATCCGCAACGGGAATCTGATTGTAGGGCTGCAGTCCCGGGCGGGAGGGAGTCTGTGACGGTGGCTCCTTGTAATCGACCTTGACTACTAGGCTTGTGGGACCGAGACTGATCGTACGGGAACTGGGATGGATACTAGGGACAAGGAGTATACACCAGACAAGCCAGAACCACAGTCAAAGAGTCAGAGCCAAAGTCTCAGAGAGATGGGCCCGGCCGAGCCGCCAGAGCCAGGTGCTGAAGCACCCAGATCAGAGCCAGGGCTGAATTGAGTCCCGTCCGAGTGCCGAGAAGGTGAAGGTCACCGAGAAGGTGGTATGGAGGTCACCATTAATCAGCATGGATGTACGTTGTAGAGATGACGAGAGTCTCTCTCGCTCCCGTCTCTTCTTCTTTTGCTTTTTTACCCCCTCCCGCCCACTCTCCTCCTCTCTGGGCGCTGTAGCCTGGATTGGATGCACACGCTCGCGCATTCCGTTTTATTGTATGAACTAATAATTAGTTGGCACCTACCTAGGTAGGTACCTATGCCTTAGATAGGTAGGCTGAGGATGGTTCATTCCATGTTCCATGGCTCATGAATGGGAGAACCGAGGGTTCCCTGTCTCTGTCCCGCTCCCGTTTCCACATACGGACCCCCTGCCGAGTCTTGGCGCCGCTTTTGGCCGTTTCCGGGGGGGTATATCGGCTCGATTTAAACCAAGCCTCAACTCCAACGGCTAAAACGGTGCTTCTGGTCGCTTTCTATACCCCCGGCACCATTGCATATATCAAACATACCTGCCGTATATTTGCAGCGATCCAAACGGGGAGCATTTTGTGGGGCTAGGAGGACGGAAGTTTGTGACAGGTTGCAAGGGTTGACAGCCACTCGGTCGCGGCTCTCAACGACCACATTGGCAATGGCTTGCCATTGGCCCGAGGACGTGATTTGGAGCACTCGGGTTTGTCCTAGTAACACCCTGCATATTAATGAAGAACGAGTTGCCTACGGCTCGAGGATGTCTAGAGGTGCAGTACCTTACGATTACTGGCCCATCCAGGTACTATATGCTGGGCCGGGCCGGTCTGGCACTCCCTCCAGGGTAATGCTTGCCTAGGTACTACGAATGTGGCGTTTGTAATGGAGCTGTCATCTACGGAGTAGGCTGACTGACATGGGACTGGGAAGCAAGATGGTGGATCTTCCGATCGAAGTGCCAGATTCACCGATGAGACGGGACCGGTCAAAACTAGCAGGCATGCGGGACACGTCAGCTGGCGGAGGGCATCCAGTCAAGTCCGCGGCGCGCAGACACGATTGGGAGATACCTATTTGAGTACCTACCTACCTACCTAACCTTGGTAGGTGAGCGACCTACTGTTTGTATAAGTCAATGATCCACGAACCGCGCCGCGGCACTACCCGGGCCCGGGCAGGTACGTATTTAAAACGTATCTACCTATTCAGACCAGTATAAATTAGGTGCTGGCTGGGCGTGCTAGTGCAGACCGACAATCGAAGTAATCTGGAAAAGACTTCGCTCACTCCGAACCTCGACCTCCTGGAGCGGGAGGAAGGGACAACCTGGCGAGGAAAGGAGGGGGCATTACATGCGAATATTGGAAGTCTCCCAGCCCTGTCCTTGCAGTTTTCCCGCCATGCCCGCAGGTCGTGTTCCGGTCGTTCGATGGCCTCCTATCCCTAGTTCCATCAATGCGCTGCACATTCTGGTGGCCACACAGGCAACCTTGTGGTATCACCTTTTTCTTTTCTTTTCTTCTTCCCTCTTCTGCCATCTTCCTTCATCTTTTTGGGCCCTTTGTCTTCTCTCCTTACCCTACCAGGAATAAAATGCCCTGTACTGGTCGATGTGCAAGTGGGCCAAGCAAGGTATGCCATTCGCCTTGGTAGCATCCACTGGGAAGAAGGGCACTTTCAAACTTTCCCCTGATCGTCTCGGATCTTCCACTCCACCAGCACGATCTCCCCAGAGAGGACCGAGTTCCAACCCAAGACACACTAATTGGTCCCATCCCCTCAACACACCCCTGGAAAAGAACTTTCTGGAGGTAGTGGACGAGCCTTTGGTAAGGATCCCACTAATGCACCCAAGCGAACTTGGCGAGCGTAAGCGAATTGCGCCTCATCAGGGGACCCCTTCTAGCCCACGCGTTCTAGGGACCCATTGGCTTGGACCTGCGGCGACTTGGTGGGTCAACGACGCCATCATCAATACTACCTACCCTATTCTAGAGGCAATCAAGTTCGGTGAATCCTTTACGTCGTAATACCTGTTTCGGCCTTCTGTCACAGTCGGTGCCATGAGAACAGTCTTACAACTAATAATCTCCATATCCAAGAGTGCACCGATACAGGTGGGTAGGCAGCCAGTAGCGGCCTGGGTGTCAGGCCATCTATGTTTCGTGCAGGATTGCAGCTATTGACGGAGGGTCTTGACTGACCATGTGGAACGATATCCCCACTGACTGTCAAGCTCCGCCAGACCACTCTTGCCATGTGGCCTCCTTTCTTGCGTTGTATGCGTAATTTAACGGCATCGAGCCCAAGAACCTGATGGGCACGCACGAGAAGCGCTGACTGGCTGCTCAGACTGGACAACAAGAAGCGCGGAAGATCAGATTGCAAGATTGCTTCCCACCCAATGACATTGGATCCCCACGCAGTAGTGCCAGCCAATTGGCAGCATTCCGTCAGCTCTGCTGACTTTCAGTATCTGCGACCGCAACTGCGGCCGATGGATGGAACCATAATTTGTCCCGAAGTACCGTACATGGGTAGGTACTGTACCTAGGTTCTTCTTCCCCTTACGGATCCGTACGCTCCTACAGGACCCATTCAGTACCATTTCTTGGCAAGAGCCTCATTCTCGGGTTTAGACCCAGTAACCTACTCCTCCAATGTACTTAGTAACGAGCTAAGCAATCAACATTGTCACTCCCTGCCTATCTAGTCGTAAGTAGGCATGGAGCTGGAGTTGCCGTTCACCTCTTCTTTACTGCACAGCGCAAGGCATAGGCACTACCTAGCTGATCGCTGCTAACGTCTCAGCAATTAGCTTAGGGTGTGCTCGAGCTTCACCGCGCGCACTAACTGCTCTATTCCTGCACCAGTACTCCGTATCTGTCTTCGATTGATATTTAACTCGGGTCACTAATAAGCAGGTTGAGGGCGACACCGACCGGGTGGGGTCTAGTTTGATGCGGGCCCATCTGGTCTCATCTTTGGGGGAGCCGGTGAGGATATGCGATCCGTCCATGATTGGCTGGCTGAAGTCGCTAGGCTAGCAACAACCCGCCATACAATTCAACGGGGAAAATCAAGAAATGCGAAGATGCGATCCGTCCCTTCCAGCATCACACCTCGTTGGTTGGCGGCCCGCATATCGACTGGTCATTTTTCATGGGACTTGGATGTTCTATTTGCCATTCAACCTGTTTTATGCCGCTGAGCGCTCAGAACGCTCAGATCAAAATGTCTTGGCGGGGGAGTCAACCACGAGCACGACACCGCTTCCCCCAAGAGCGTTCCAGGCAGCTCGAGGTTTAGACGATTTCAGAGCAATGGCGACATCAACGCATGATGGAATGTCAACAGGCCGGGTCCACTGCTGGGTCTGCAACCATGGCTTCATAATTAAAATTAAGAAACAGGGCATCCAGACTTACACCACATGGTCTAATGCACCTGCAACCCTTTCCGGGCTCCCAGCTGCAAGCCGGCCTTCTAAAACAACAGATAGAAGAATGTAAAGATGACGAACCTTAATGATAGCATTGACCACGATGGATGATCGACGTTCCCCATGTCAGGGACTTTCTGACGCAGCACCGAGGCAATCCCTTCTACCATTTCGGGGAGCCGTGCGAGTCCCTTTTTGGTTGTATTATACATGAACTTGGGGCTTGGACGAACAAGGCACGGGCCGCGTAGCCGTAAATAATATTATCTACCTACTTACTGAACGTCCCCTTTTCTGAGGTGGTCAATTACACAGGATTTACACCGAGTTTGAGCACCTAGATGGTGTGACAAATGTTCGACTTCCTCAGCTATGACGAGTTCGAGTTGGGCCTCACGAATGACGATGCTCGCCGTGTTCCCGATCCCAACCCTCACAAACGTCATGTTATCCCTGGGTGGAAAAGCCCGCCTCGCCCGGCCGCCCCCTCCCCACCACCCTTTCGCCTCGAGGCTGGCAGTAAGCCGGCGCGCCAGCCCTGGTTAGCTTTTGCCTGGTGTCATCTCCTCTACTTGTTGGCCCGCCTCTGGGGGGTCGCCGACCTGTGCCGGCTGCTGAATGGCACCACCTTCTTCCCCAGCGAGAGGAGTCGCCGACGCCGTCGCGCGTTCGAGACCCTTCATCTCCAGCAACTCGTGGTCGCTGTTCTGCCTTTCCTGAAACGAGAACGCCTCCGACAGGTTGACTGCAAGGAACGTCTTGGGCAGCTTTACTCTGCAACACGGAGAAAGAAAGAAAAAGGTTAGCATGCTTGTGTTCCATTCTGGGGGCGATGTGGCGATGGGGGGACACATACTGATGGAACTTTGCCCTCAGGGTCTCGATGACCTGCTTCCAGTCTCCGTGAGGGGTCAGGCTCCGGCGCGGCGCGCACCCAATGCAGTGCTTGCTGTCGAGCTGGACGTCCAGCGGGTCGAAGACGTGGCATCCGGGGCTGATGGTGATGCGGATGCTGTAGGCAAAGCTCGGGGTCTCGTCGGTGCCGGTGGCCGGGTTCGCCGGTATCTTGGTCTCGGACTCGTACAGCTCGAAGCAGATCTGGGAGAGGTAGTCGAGCTCGGGGATGGTGCTGCGCTTGATCTTGGTCTCGATGCCGCCCTCTAGGATGCAGTTGAGCAGCGTGTAGATGTGCGATTCCTTGGTGAAGTAGAAGAACCCCTTCGCCTCGTCCGACGCCTGCATTTCTTCGAGGTCCTGCACAATCTCCTTCAGCAGGGGGAGGGAGGTTAGAAGTCCGATTTCGAGCTGTGGAAAGGTTATTTCGGTCAGCATTATTCTCCCTGTGACTCAACGGTTTCAGATAACCTCGCTCACCTTTTCGCTGTCCGATATACCATACTCCTGCGGGCAGATGAAGTCGAAAAGCACTTTGGCAAGCTGATATAGTTCCCTCAGCGGTTCGAACTTGGCGTCTGTCTTGGCCTTTGTCTGATGTGTCCCCTTGAACAGATGGAAGTACTGCTCGGGAGGAGCTTCCTCTGCGTGGCGGAGTCCGTTCATCCACGACCGGCGACGGAAGATACGCTTGACGGCTTTGTTCGCATCCGACTTGTCAATCTTCTCTATCAAGGCGCCGGGTTGGCCCTTCTCCGCCTTGGGGTCATCCGGAGCCTTCACCCCTGATGCACCACCATCCTCGGTTTCCTTCTTCGAAGCTGAAGCCTGCGGACTCGTCTTGCCCTCTTTGCCGCTCCCGCCGGAAAACAAGATTCCGTACTCCTCCTCGAGCATGCTCTTTGGCGGCGTGAACACCCACTCGAGAAACTGGCGGTTGTGCAAGGCATCGAACTTCATCGTGTCGTATAGCTCCGAGATCTTGCTGGGATCCACCTTGTCCCCGTCGCAGAACTCGGTGAACAATTTCTCCCACCTCTCACGGAACAGCTCGGCATCTTCACCGCAGCACCAACGAGCCTGGATGCTGTTTACCGCGTTGGCCTGGGAGAGCGACGAGGCCAGGGACGAGGCCAGGGACGAGTTAGAGCCGCCCTCGACCGTGGTCTTTTCCCCGCCCGGGTTGGATATGGCGTTCAGGGAGTTGACGGCGCCGCTGTATAGCTTGCCGTAGTTGTAGTGCATCACCCGCCGGTGGTAGTTCATGAGCTGCGCCACACGCGTCTGCACTTCCGAAGGCTCGGGCATGTTCTCCGGCCACGCGAACTGCGGCGGGCGCTCGTTCCCCTTGCGCAGCAGCCCCTTGAGCTTCTTCTTCACCTTGTCCATCTCATCCTTGGCGGCGTTCGAGTCGTCCAGTAAGTCCTTGCGGACCGTGATGAAGTCCTCCGGCACATCCTTCTGGCCCAAGAAGCTGGCGGCCCAGATATGTGCACTTGTTGTGACTCTCCGCTCGCTGCTGGTGTAGACGTGGACCTCGTCGAGGATGTCCCGGTTGAGGAGGAGCAGATCGTTGCGCATGTTGTCGCCGAGCTCCTGCGACTGGTACCTCGCCGAGTGTGTTGGCTCACCACCCCATTTGACGATCAGCTGGAGCTTATCCAGAACAAGACTGTTCTCTGCTGCCGTGAACTTGGACATGGTTACGCCGGATAGGGAGTCATGGCGCTTGGGCTGGCGCTGTTTGGCCGCATCCTCCTTGGAACTGTCATCACTCTTATCCCCCAACTGCCTGTGTGTCAAGACGGGAGACTTCTCGTTCTCGGACATGACGGCCTTCTCCTCGAGGGCAGTCAGCTCCTCGGTCTTCTTCTTCCGGAACATTGGCTTGATCTGCACCTTCGTGCCCGCCCAGCCGCCCTTCTTCACTAGCACATTTCGCAGCGCCCGGAGCTTGCCCCTATCCTCAACACCGGCAATCATTGCCAGGTCCACCGCATCTATCACACTTCCAAGAGCTGCCTCGCCAATCAAGAGTACCTCCTCCTGATGGCCCTTGAGTAGCTCGATGAAAGGTTCCGTGTGGAAGGTGAATTTGTACTTTTGCTTCGGGGTACGGTCTGCATGCCGGATGACGGACACCATACCCTTCAACTTCCAAGAGTGTTTCGGGGGCGGTGGCGGGGGCGGCGTCTGGTCCCGACCATTCTCCTCGCTAATGCATACCTTTGACAGGACGCGAGGGGTTGCCGGAACTGTAGACGGCGCCGTGGACGGCACGCTCTCGACCACCGACCCCTGAGTTAACAGGGGACTCGTACCGCTGCTCTGCACTTTTGAACTCAGGCCGCTCTCTGATTTCACCGAGGTTCCAAGTTCCGTCTGCAACGGTTGTGGTTCTGAAGGGCCTTCCACGACCGAGGCGGACGGGGCGGAGGACGGGCCGCTGGGAGCTCTGCCTTGGATCCCAAGACCAGCACTAGGCTCCTTGTCCTTGCTTAACAACGACGAGCGCGCCGTCGTGGGATCGATTTCCGAGGGAGCAGGTGAGGGCATCGGTGGGGTCGGGCCGCCTCTCCGCAACCTCTCCTTGATGAACATGTCCTTCAGAATGCTGGCGCATTGATCGTAGTACTCGTCGTTATCCTTCACGAAGCTCCAGCCGTTGACGTCGATCACGTAGCTCTTGCCTCCGGCTCGGAGGAAGTCGAACCCGCAGACGCGCTGCCCAAAGGCAGTGGAAATCTTGCTTGCGATCTCCTTTTCGTCGGCGCTCAGGCCGGTCACGTAGCGGACCTCCTTGCCGTGGGTGTTGCGCCGCACAACGCCGTCGACGACGGGCGACTTGCGAGTTTCTGCGTGGCAGTACGACGGCCCCACGGTATAGGCCTTGACGTCTTCGGCGTTGTCGACCCTCATGAACTTCTCGTAGATGAAACTCTCGCTTGGTTGTGAGATGGCGCGAGGCACAACGAGGTCCGGCACGAACTCGCTGCTCTTGTTGCCGATCTTGCGGAAGAGCTTCCGCGCCCCGCCGCCCGCCGACTGGGGGAAGTAGATGATGATATTGTGATCCTCGCCGCTCGTCGGCTTCTCTACGAAGGGCTTCTTGAGCTGGATGCCGTCGACCGACAGCACATCACCGTCGTCGAGGAGCTCAACCCTTTTGGGTGCTTGCATTTGAATCTGGCTCGTAGGCTCGAAAGGGATGCCGCTGGTTTCCTTGACGTGCTTGGCAACGTCCGGCGTGAGGACCTTGGGCCCGCCATCCCGGTTGACTTCCAAGCGCTGCGGGGTTGGGACGCCGATTCCGTCGAGGAGCCAGAGGCACAGGCGCCTGTCCCAGAGGATTTTCTGCATGGGGACGTCATTGACACAAAACGGCTTCCGGGCTTTGACGTAGGCAATGGCTTTGTCCAAGGGGAAGCCATCGGAGTAGAAGGATATCAAGTAATCGCTGCATAGCATGTCAGACAGCAATCTTAAATGGGGGGAAGAAGTGGGAGAAGAAGATATCGACAGCGACGAGGTGCTGCAAAACGGATGGGGGGATGGGGCTGCTTTACCACATGGGCCAGTTTTCGATCTCTTGATTGCTGCGTTAGCTTCTGTCTAGTGATTGGAGGAGTTGTGTTTCCTTTTTCCATCTTACCTTCGTCAAGAATGACCTTGTCTCCGAAGACACAGACGTCAAAGTCGCGGTTCGCAATGAGCCGGTTCAGGATATTCCTGCTTGGTTTGCTTCTTGCCTTGATATCCAATGCGCAGACACCGATGACGCCCCATGGCGCCGGCTTGATCTCCTCTCTCTCCCCTCTGTGCAGTGCCCGGTCGCTGCTGGGACTGTGGCTACTAGCCGCAGTGCTTCCTCCGCTGAACCTCCGCTTGGCCCGGCTCCGTGATCTGGTTGGCTGGGGCCGCGGCGCGCTCGTAGGATCGGCCCCTCTTGCAGGCGCCGCCGATGGGGGGTTTCGCTTGACCACTTCGTTTAGGTGGGGAACATACGACTCGCGCGGGGCTAGATGATGCCCGGTCGCAGAGCTCTGGCTCCCGGTGGTCACCGTGATGTTAGACAAGCCCGCCTCCGACTGGGCGGCGGAGCTCAGTCCTCTCCCCCCCGGCGGAGTCATCAGTCCGGACACGGACCTCTGTACGGCTCCGGTGCCGTTGACGCTATTGCCGTCGCTCCCGCCCACGGAGGAACCCGAGGTGGGCACGCCTCGCGCCGAGGTTAGGCTGTATACGGAGCCCACGCTCACGCGTTTGCTGGGGTCGGCATCGGAGAAGGACGAGCGGCTGCTCATCAGCGCCGGTTCGGGAAGATTGCGTTGCTGAGCCTGGGGTGACTCCGGGTATGAGCCGGGCATCAGACGGGGCGTGTCGACGTCGTCGGCTTCTATGGCGAAATCCCTCTGGCAGAGCGAGCTGGGAGGGGGGAGCCCTTTCACCATCGCGATATCCTCGTTCCAGTAATCCGAGGTTATCGATTCACTTCGGCTGTGCGAAAGAGACGACCGAGGACTCTTCAATGCCTGGGGCTGTTTGGTTTGGGGCCGCGAGATGGGCGGAGGCATTGATAGGCTGGCTCGCTCGGCGTGGGTCTCTGTCGTGTCTGCCTCTGCATGCCTGCTTTTCCGGGTCGGGATGGTAAATGAGGCAGAGGAGGAGGAGGAGAGGTCGCGGGAATGGGAGGTGGACCAGGAAGGCCGAGAGCGGGAGGTGGATAAGGAGCTCTCTTGTGGCTGCTGCGGTGGCGACAACGGGGAACCGTAGAGCGGAGCGGCATCTACAGAGCGTCTCGAGCTAACGCTGGCCCGGCCTGAGTTAGTTTCCATGGCGGGCGACGCCAGATGCTACATCGTACGAAGAACGGAGGAGAAGTTGGGAGCGGCACAATCTTGACCGCCGGACCAAGCCAAGCCAAGAAAGCAGCTAGAGTCTAGGCCTTCTATACGGCTGTGTACTATGTTGGCCAGTCGGGGATTTGTGGTTGCCAGGAGCATAGAAGTAGATGGACTTCAATGCATCTGAGCAACAACTTAAGTCAGTGGGTACTGTTCCCGTTATTAGTGCTCTTTTTCGACCTTTTGTTCCTCTCTCGCCCCTGTTTTTCATTATTTTTTCCCCTGGGGCGGATTGCCCCTCCACTCCAGGAGAGGCGGCAGGGTTGCAGGCACTAGATATTCGGATGGTAGCACACAAAACGGGAATGGGAAATCTGGTTCATAAAGCCTGGATTCACATAGTGACGGGGCGGTATAGGTCTGGTAGGGGGGGGAGCCAATGACGTCTAGCGCTTCTTGGACGAATTGGCTCGCACATGGGTCGTATTATTTCTGGCTGGGCCTTTTGCACTAGCATGTTGGTGCAGGATGTAGCGCAATTGAAGCCCCACCATGTCAGCTAGGGCGATTTCGGCGGTCAGCCACAAGCTGCTTCTGGGGAGTGGGGCAATGGCGTAATGCAACCGAATTTTCTTCACCGTCCGGCTTCTTTTATTTGCTAGAAAAGGATTCTGCTGGTCACATGACTAACTTGGGCCTCGTCCTTGTTGGGCAAATGGTCACGCGACCAACTGTATTTTACATTAAGAGATATTGTATGTGTAATGGATATATAGTGATTTATTGCCTGATGTTTGGCTATGGGTAACGGTGCCATTCCTTCGCTGTTTTCAATATCCTGATAGAGACATTTCAAGTTTGGAGGGGCAGCACCGACCGTAACCCCCTTCTCACTGTAATCTGCACAAATAATCTTTGTCGGGCCTGTGCACCATTATCAGTCGCAAAGGGCAAGTGGGGCAAGGCTAGATGTGGGGTTAGGAGAAAGATACCTAAACCCCAAAGCTCATTGGGTGGAAAATTTAGACACCCTTCCATTAACGAGGCTGACAACGTGAATTTTTGTTCAACTAAATATTTAGTCGCATCTTCGCAAACCTGTGAACCAATCTGGTTGATGCAGAACGAAGCTCTTGCCCAATTACCCAACGCGTGAGCTAACACAATGCCTCACTCAGACCATGATGGTCCCCTTGTCAAGCGCCAAAAGGTGAATGCTATTGTTCAGCATCAGTCAGCCTCTGCCAAGGGGTCGGCCATCTTTGCACCTTTCCGGGTATGTGATGATTCCGAAGCTGTTTGGAACCAAAAAATGATGCTAAAAGACATGTCCTCCCTAGACTGTAGGATTGGTGTCACCAACCGATGTTCCTTTCTCATCTATACCTCTGGGAAAAACTACCTTCCAGATTACAACCTCGGTCGGCCGATCACTCCAGACCTACGACCTCAAGCGTGGTCTCAATCTTGTCTTTGTTACTCGGCCACAGACACCAGCAGACATTACAGCAACCCATGCCTGGAAAGAGAAGGTGTTCGCAGCCTGGGGCGATAGGGGAAATGGCGGGCAGCAAGGGTTGTGGGTTTTCCAGAGAGGAAAGAGGGTCGCCGAGCTCGAGTTGCCCAGCGACCTGGACCAACCTATCAAGCAGATCCTCATATTCGGCACATGGGTGGTAGCCTGTGCGAGGACTAGGTTAGAGGTCTGGAAGTCAACCGACTTGCAACATTACACGACAATCCACCTCACCGCAAGCAAAGGAGACAACGAACTGACAGGCGGCATTTGCAATATGCCAACATACCTTAACAAAGTATTTGTTGGCCGCGGTAACGGATGGGTTGAGATCTGGAATGTTAGTACCGGCAAACTGATTTATACGATCCTTCCACCGACGCCCGATTGCGGCGCAGTTGTCTGTCTCGAGCCAACTACTGCTCTCTCCCTGTTGGCGATATCATATTCTCAAGGGCCATTGACGGTTCACGACATATTACGAGACAAGCTTGTCATCCAACTCAACGCAGGAACGGAAGATGCTCCCGTTAGCGCCATGTCGTTCCGAAGTGACGGCCAAGGCGCAGGGCAGGATGGCAGGAAAGATGGCGTCTTGGCTACAGCCACTCTGGCCAGTGGAGACGTTACGTTCTGGGACTTGAATAAAGGGGGTAGGGTCATGGGCGTTCTGCGGAGCGCACACAACCCTCCGTCCCAAGACGGCCCTCTCGTTCGTGGCGGGATCAGCAAGATCGAGTTCCTCTCGGGCCAAGCCGTAATCCTGACAAGCGGCCGAGATAACTCGCTCAAGTCGTGGATCTTCGATGAAACGCCCTTCTCCCCTGTTCCACGCATCCTGCATACCAGGAGCGGACACGCTGCGCCCGTCAGTTGTCTGCAATTCCTGCCAACTGACTTCGACGGCGCGGAAGCTGGCAACAAGTGGCTACTCAGCGGCGGGCAAGATAGGAGCCTCTGGGGATGGAGTTTGCGCCGTGACGGGCAAAGCTCGGAGCTCAGCCAGGGCAACATCCGGAAGAAGGCAAAGAAGGTTGGTATCCTGGGCAGCACGGCCCTCAGCCATGGCCCGACAACCACGCTGGATGACCTCAAGGCACCGGAGATAACATGCATCGCCACCTCCCTGAACAGAGACGGCGGGATTGGTGCCATGCCGGGAAATCAGCCCATATGGCAGAAAGAGCATGGCAAGTCCAAGCCGACCGATGCCGAGATCAGCGGTATGACTGGATGGGAGAGTGTTGTGACGGCTCACAAGAACGATTCTTGGGCTCGCACCTGGTTCTGGGGCCGGAAGAGAGCCGGGCGCTGGGCTTTCCGAACTGGAGATGGCTCCAATGTCTCTACCATCGCCATCAGCCCCTGCGGCACCTTTGCCCTCGTCGGGTCCGCGAAGGGCAGCATTGACATGTTTAATCTGCAATCTGGTCTACACCGGCAGCGGTTTCCTTCCAAGCTGACGCCAGCACAGGCCAGGCACCTGAAGATGCAGCAGCTGAAACAGCTGGACAACGCCACCCAGCTTCAATCGAGATCTCAGCCCAAGTTCGCCCAGGGAACCGGAAAACACGTCGGCTCTGTCACGGGCATTGTTGTCGACTCCATGAACAAGCTCGTCATATCCTGTTCCCTGGACGGGACCATCAAGTTCTGGGATTTCCTTACGGGCGGTCTTCTGGATGAAATTGACTGGGCACCCATGACGGGCATCACGGGCTGTCGGTACCATGCAGCCAACGACCTGATCGCCTTCTCGTGCGACGACCATTCCATCAGAGTGGTGGACATCGAGACGAGGAAGACCATCAGAGAGTTCTGGGGCTGCCAGGGCGATGTCAACGATTTCTGCTTCTCGAATGATGGAAGGTGGATCGTCGCAGCTTCGCAGGACTCCCTGCTGCGGGTGTGGGATCTCCCTACCAGCCACTTGATCGATGCGTTCCGGCTAGAGAGGCCTTGCAAGGCTCTAGCTTTCTCTTCTACGGGCGAGTATCTCGCAGCAGCCACGGAAGGCGAGCTCGGCGTGCACATCTGGACCAACAGGGCGTTGTTCAGGCACATTCCGACGAGGCAGATCTCTGAGAAGGAGATTGCCAGCATATCCAACCCTACAACGTCTGGCGAAGGTGGTCAAGGGCTTTTGGAGGGCGCCTTCGACGAGGAGGTAGCGTCCGACGACGGCGATGCTGTCTCTGCTCCCACGCTTGATCAGCTCAGCTCGGATATGATGACGTTGAGTCTGGTGCCGAAGAGCAGATGGCAGACTCTCCTGCATCTGGATCTGATCAAGCAGCGAAACAAGCCGAAGGAGGCCCCAAAGGCTCCGGAGAAGGCACCCTTTTTCTTGCCATCGGTCGGCGGGTCAAACCCGCTAAACTCTGGCGAAAGTGCCCAGGCCAACGGGGCCGAGGATACCAAGTCCAGGATCACAAAGTTCGACCGGAGCCGGTCCGAAGAAGCCTTCACCACGAAGCTTCGCGAGGGAGCCACTTCCGGCAACTGTAAGTCCCTCCCCCATCAGAGTGTCGTTGTCTGCATCACGCCGCTAACCCCCCATCCCAGACGGAACCTTCATCGAACACCTCAAGTCCCTCTCCCCTTCCACCGCAGATCTCGAACTGAGGTCTCTGTCGCTCGGCGAAGGCGACGACGACGAGGCCAACGAGCTGCTGCACTTCATCCGGGCGCTGACGTGGCGACTCGTCGCCAGGAGAGACTACGAGCTCACGCAGGCGTGGATGACCGTCTTCCTCCGGCTGCACTTCGATCTCGTCATGGAAAACGGCCCCTGCCTTGGCGCGTTGCGCGCGTGGAAGGAGCACCAGGAGAGGGAGCGGGACAGGCTGGACAACCTGGTCGGGTATTGTGGCGGCGTGGTTGGATTCCTGAGAAGTCCAAGGACATAGTTTGTGCGCGCCATGGTGTTGCTTGCGTCCTTGGTTAGAAATAGCAGCTTAGATTCACCTTTTTCTTCATTCCTCGCTGGTGCGGGCGCTTTCACACTCGGTTAGCCCGTCTCCTTACCTGCCGCCCTACTTTAAGACCGGCCTCTGCGCCTCTGCCCGGGCTGTTTATCCTAGTTCACTATATTACAAGATAACTTCATCGGCCAAGGTATGTAAGTGCGAGCTCAGTCATCAATTGTCTACAGGCTTAGATAGGCGGATCCAATGCTATAGGTTGATCCGTTATTCATCAGAGGCAAGCAAGCAGGCGGTGTCTCAAGTCAGGATTCAACAGCTCGCATTTCAGATATGTATATTCCGTATAGATAATCACTCGTAAGCTGAATTCCAATATTGCCATCAAAAGTTTCTTGTACAACTTCCATATGTATGTATACCGCTCTGCCCGCGCACGTCGCCCAAACAAACGCTCTAAAGTATGACTGAAGGACTGTCAAGAATATCCAAAAAATAAATAAACACCATAGCCACCGGTCCGGCCAAGACCCTCCGCGCTGGAGAATCTTTGGTCCAGGGACAAACCCGTCCCGAGCCCGCCGTCAACTCCCCTGTTATTCATTTGATGCCATCATTCACTCATCCCAGATCCAACGAGGAGGGCAGCCAAGATCGTCATCATCCGACCCAGCCAAGCCCCAGATTTCCTGCCCACGGTCCCTTTTTGGTTTTTGAAAATCCTAAAACAAGATGAGAAAACCCCCAAGAAGAAGAAAAGAGAGAAGAAAAGCAAGGAAGCATGCAAACAACTCCAAGGCAACCCATTGAAGGGGCCAACACAGACGCCGGTCCATTTATGAGGGAGGACACTGGAAGCCACCGATCCAAGGCCAGAGAGAAGACGTGAATACCCACAAAGTCGAGAAAACCGAAAATCAGACAGATCAACAAGCAAAATAAACAATAACGAGGTTTAGAGCGCCAAACCAGTCCCGTCACCAGTCCATCGGTACAATGCCAGAAGTTCCCTTCGTCGCTGATGCTGCTCGCCAAGATCCTCCGGGACGCGCCCACGGACTTGGGCAAGTGCACTGCGCATTACTTTGCTGAAGTTTCGCTGGTAGAGAGAGTCAGCATTATAGGAAAAAAAGGTTGGGGGGGGGGGGGGGGGGGGCACAGTGTGGTAAAAAAAAAAAATTAAACCCTTTTGGGTTGCAAACACCCAAACATGTTTGGCACGAATTTGGGGAACCCACCC